AAATTAATACACAGAAGTCTGTTGCATTCCTATACACTAATGATGAACTAGCATAAAGAGAAATCAGGAAAACAATTCCATTCACAATTGCATCAAAAAGAATAAAATACTTAGGAATAAACCTAACCAAGGAAGTGAAAGACCTATACACTGAAAACTACGGGACACTCTTAAGAGAAATTAAAGAGGACATGAATAAATTCATCCCATGCTCTTGGCTAGGAAGAATTAATATTGTCAAAATGGCCATCCTGCCTAAAGCAATCTACAGATTCAATGCAATCCCTATGAAAATACCAACAGCATTCTTCAATGAACTAGAGCAAATAGTTCTAAAATTCATATGGAATGAGAAAAGACCCCGAACATCCAAAGCAATCCTGAGAAGGAAGAATAAAGCAGGCACAATTACGCTCCCTGACTTTAAGTTCTCCTACAAAGCCACAGTAATCAAGACAATTTGGTACTGGCACAAGAACAGACCCATAGACCAGTGGAACAGAATAGAAAGTCCAGATATAAACTCTAGCATATATGGTCAATTAGTATATGATAAAGGAGCCATGGATATACAACAGGGAAATGACAGCCTCTTCAACAGCTGGTGTTGGCAAAACTGGACAGCTACATGTAAGATAATGAAACTGTATTATTGTCTAACCCCATACACAAAAGTACTCAAAATGGATCAAAGACCTGAATGTAAGTCATGAAACCATAAAACTCTTAGAAAAAAATATAGGCAAAAATCTGTTGGACATAAATATGAGCAACTTCTTTATGAACATATCTCCCCAGGCAAGGGAAACAAAGTAAAAATGAACAAGTGGACTATATCAAACTAAAAAACTTCTGTACAGCAAGCGATACCATCAGTAGAACAAAAAGACATCCTACAGTATGGGAGAATATATTCATAAAAGACAGATCCGATAAATGGTTGACATCCAAAATATATAAAGAGCTCACGCACCTCAACAAACAAAAAGTAAATAATCCAATTAAAAAATGGACAGAGGAGCTGAGCAGACAATTCTCCAAAGAAGAAAAACAGATGGCCAACAGGCCCATGAAAAGATGATCCACATCGCTAGCCATTAGAGAAATGCAAATTAAAACCACAATGAGATACCACTTCACACCAGTAAGGATTGCCACCATCCAAAAGACAAACAGCAACACATGCTGGCAAGGATGTGGAGAAAGGGGAACCCTCCTACACTGCTGGTGTGAATGTAAACTAGTTCAACCATTGTGGAAAGCAGTATGGAGGTTCCTCAAAAAACTAATAATAGAAATACCATTTGACCCAGGAATTCCACTCTTAGGAACCTACCCTAAGAATGCAGCATCCCAGTGTGAAAAAGACATATGCACTCCTATGTTTATCACAGCAGTATTTAAAATAGCCAAGAAATGGAAGCAACCTAAGTGTCCATCAGTAGATGAATGGATAAAGGAGATGTGGTACATATACACAATGGAATATTATTCAGCCATAAGAAAAAAACAAATCCTACCATTTGCAACAACATGGATGGAGCTAGAGGGTATTATGCTCAGTGAAATAAGCCAGGCTGAGAAAGACAAGTACCAAATGATTTCACTCATATGTGGAGTATAAGAACAAAAGAAAACTGAAGGAACAAAACAGCAGCAGAAGCACAGAACCCAAGGACTAATAGTTACCAAAGGGAAAGGGACTGGGGAGGACGGGTAGGAAGGGAGGGATAAGGGTGGGAAAAAAAGAAAGGGGGCATTACGATTAGCATGTATAGTGTGGTGGGGGCACGGGGAGGGCTGTGCAACACAGAGAAGACAAGTAGTGATTTTACAGTATCTTACTATGTTGATGGACAGTGACTGTGAATGGGGATTTGGGGGGGACTTGGTGAAGGGGGAGCCTAGTAAACATAATGTCCTTCATATAACTGTAGATTAATGATACCAAAATAAAATTTAAAAAAAAATTTATTCTCATTCAAAAAAAAAAAAAGAAGAAAACAAATCCTACCATTTGCAACAACATGGATGGAGCTAGAGGGTATCATGCTCAGTGAAATAAGCCAGGTGGAGAAAGACAGGTACCAGATGATTTCACTTATATGTGGAGTATAAGAACAAAGCAAAAACTGAAGGAACAAAACAGCAGCAGATTCACAGAACCCAAGAATGGACTAACAGTTACCAAGGGGAAAGGGACTGGGGAGGGTGGGTTGGAAGGGAGGGAGGGATAAGGGGGAAAATGGGGCATTACGATTAGCACACATAATGTAGGGGGGGAGGGTCTCGGGGAAGGCAGTATAGCACAGAGAAGACAAGAAATGATTCTATAGCATCTTCCTACACTGATGGACAGTGACTGTAATGGGGTATGTGGGGGGGACTTGATAATGAGGGGAATCTAGTAAACATAATGTTATTCAAGTAATTGTACATTAATGATATCAAAATAAAAAAAATTTAAATTAATTAACTTGAAAGGCATTGAAGAACTAAAGGTTAGAACTAAAACTGTAAACTCTTGTAAGAAAACATCAGGGCAAAGCTTCATGACATGGATCTGGCAATGATTTCTTGTATATGACACTGGAAGCCCAGGCTTCGTCACAAACACTCATGCATCAGACACTATCCGCAGACAGAAAAGGCAACCCATAGAATGGGAGAAAATCTGAGAAGTGATGAATATCTAGACAGCAAAAAGAACTCCTAAAACTCAACAACAAAAAACAGTTAATAAATGGACAAAGGACTTGAATAGACATTTTTCCAAAGAAGATATACAAATGGCCAATAAGCACATGAAAAGATGCTTGATATCACTAATCATTCAGGAAATGCAAATCAAAATCACAAGATAGCACTTCACAGACAGCAGGATGACTATGAAAAAAAGCAAAAAAAAAAAAAACAGAAAATAACAAGTGCTGGTGAGGATGTGGAGAATTAGAACACTTAGGCACTGCTGGTGGGAATGTAAAATGGTACAGCCAGTATGGAAACAGAGTGGCAGCTTCTCCCAAAAAATTAAATACAGAAGTGCCACATGACCCAGCAATTTCATGTCTGGGTATATACCTCAAAGAATTGAAAGTAGGGACTTGATCTTTATATAATCATTTTCATAACAGCAGCATTATTCACAGTAGCCTAAGGTAGAAAAAATCCAAATGTCCATCAACAGATGAATGGATAGCAAAGTGTGGTAGATACATACAATGGGATATTACTCAGCTTTAAAAGTCATAGAGTTCTGACACAGGTTATGACGTGGATGAACTTCAAAGACATTATACTAAGTGAAATAATCCATTTATAAAAGGACACACATTATATGATTCCACTTACATGAGGTCCCTCATGAATAGTAAAATTGATAGAGACAGAATGTAGAATGATGGTTGCCAGGGGCTGCGTAGAAGTGGGGTAGGAAGTTGGTGTTTACTGAGTACAAATTTTAAGTTTGGGAAGATTGAAAAGTTCTAGGGATGAATGTGAATGGTAATGGTGGTTGTACAACAATGTGAATGTACTTAATGCCACAGAACTATGCTTAAAAATTGTAAATTGTATGATACATATATTTTACCACAATAAAAAGAATTGAAAAAATAAAGACAACTTTAACTTGTAAGATATTATTCAAATTTGCTAAAACATTTCAAGTTTGAATTAAATTTTGCACTTTCAAAACAAAAATATTATACCTTACAGTTCTGTTTTCAATTTTAGCACAAAATTCTGTTTATTATTTTGTGTTCATAATATGTATGTAAATTTTATTAGTGCAAATGGTCACAAAGAACTGAGGTAACTTAAGTTCTGTTTCTTCTCCTTTATTATCCCTTACATCATTTATTCTGAAACTGCTGTTTAAGCCCAGGGGTAAGTAGTGTCACAGAGCTGGAGATACCAATTGAGCCCAAAGCAAGCTTGAGTGATTCCAAAGTATTAAGACATTACTTTCAGAATGAACGTGTGTGTCTGAGTGTGTCTCTATGAGTCTGTGTGTATCAAGAGGCAACTATTTGAGTTACATTTCTCCTAATTAACTTCCATGTGGAACACAACACTTATTAAAAGATAAGTAATAGATTTATGCTGATTTGAAGCTTACATATATAGAACTAAAACTCAACTGTATTTGTAGCAACTATTTAGAACTTAGACCAATAAAATATTTTTTTCAGGGAGAAGCATTTTGTAACTGACATTATTTAAATTGCTGATGAATGGGGATAATAGAAAGCAAACCAATTTTTAGTGCTTTTAATCATGGTTCTAAAATTATCTGCAGACAATACACCTTTATTGCCCACTCCTGGGGCAGACCCCTACCCTCACCCTACCCTTGGTGGGCCACTCCCAGAAATCTTGGTAGCTAACTCCACCTGGCAACAGTGGACCAGAGCTGAGTGTCAGGGGCTGCCCTTTGAAGGCATTCCAGTTCTCAACTCTTAAAAGGACCTTCCTAGGTATTTCCTGCAGAAAGCCTCCTCTAACATTCTCCCCCCCCTTGAATCTAGATCAAGTATTTCCCTTTATGTTCCCATAGCACCCCCTGCCTGGTTCTGTCACTGACCTCTTACACTGTTAAATTATATGTCTCCTCCCACTTCTAGGCTGAGCACCGTGAAAGGAAGGACATGACCCTAAGGATCAATTAGTTCTCAATGTTCTGACCACTTCAGGACATGTCTCACATGGCTGTTCCTAGGCGAATAGGCTTAGGAAGGGGGCTGGTAGTACACAGGAGGTGTTTTGAGCTGCCCCAGTATGTCATGGCTCCTCAAGATAGGTGGGGACAGGGGTCTTGCAACTAACAAAACTCTTTTATTCAGCTCAAGGAATGCCTCTCTCATATTACCAGCCCTCATTTTCAGGGGAGGAACTTGACGCTCACAGAGCTCAGGGCAATCGCCCACAGCTATGCAGTGAGACCCTGGCCAAGCCTGGACACACACTTCCTAACCTCCCAGCCAGGACCCCGCACAGACCTGCATCTGGTCCCGTCGGCTCCGACCTCTCCTATTTTGCCAATGTGCTCTTTTAACCACGAGAGGGCGCCAGATGCTGGTTCGCTGGGAAGCCGGCCCGGGTTTAGGGTGACCTCTCGGTTGAGGGGGGCCCACCCTGACCAACGCCGGTGGAGCTGGAGATTCCATCCAAAGAAAGGGTGTATTTTGGGGGAATCCTGTATGGGAGCCGGGGTTCAAGAGCGTTGGCGGCTGGCATGGAAGAAGAGCATTTGTGGCCGCCTCTGGTCCTGCCTGGTCTGGCCTGTTGGAGAAAGGGGCGGAGTGAGGGGGGGCGCCTCTCCAGAGCCGAGGGCTGCTGCCTCCGCCTCCATTCTTATCGGGCTCGCTCAGCGCCTGGAACAGATCGGACATTCCTAAGTCTCCGGCGGGAGACCAGGAGGCCAGCCTCTCTGCAGCCTGGGCCAGTTCTCCCAATGCCCGCCCGGCCCCAGGACTTCCCGGAAGTGCTCTGCTGTGCCCAAGGCCCCAGGCCCCCCGAACACCGCTGCCGTCCTAGAACTCGCTCTGCTCTCTTCCCTCCTGCACTCCTGGCTCCTCCTTCCAAGCGTATGGGATCAGGTCCAACCCCTAGCGCCAGACCTGTATGAGAAATTGTTGCCCACCCACTTCCAGGTCAACCTCATTATCTGTCCGGCTAAACAGGGCTCTCTTCCAGAGTTCCCTCTCTCAAGAACCATACCAGTGTCCATCTGCTTCTTTGACCCAGAAAGCTTGTAATCATCCTTGGTACCATTGTTTTTCATTCTCCATGTCCGTTTTTTTTTTTTCTTCTCTGAATGTCTCTTGGTTTTTACTACTTCCCAGACCAAGTGCCCATCAACTCCTACCAGAATTGGTGTTCTTGGATTCTTTACTGTCACTCTTCCACCTGCTTCAGGTGGAAATCCTGATTGATACTCTTTTCAAATTGTAAGATCTGATCATGTTACCCACCTGCTGAAATCTTTCAACAGCTTCCCAGTGCTCTTGGAATAACTCTCAGCATGACCCACAGGGTCCTGCATGCTCCATCCTACCTCTCTGGCACCACCCATGTTCCAGCTACACTGGCCGCTTGTCACAAAGCCTTTGCCTGGAATCCCACCTTTTAGCCTTGTTAATTCCTCTTCCTTCAGATCTTGGCTCTGCATTGCTTTCTCAAGACCACCCTTCTTGGCCCCCCTAACCAGGTCGGATCCCTTATTATTAACTCTCCTAGTACCATGTAATTCTCCCTCAAGTATTTGTCATAGTTATAATTGTCCATTTGTTTGTAATGTTATTTAATTCATGTCTATTTCTTCCACTAGACTGTAAGCTCCACGAGGGTAAGGACCATGTAAATTTTTGCTCATTTGAAAATCTCCAGCACAGTGATTACTATCTTCCTGGCACATAGAAGGTGCTCAATATTTATGGAATAAATAAGTAAATGAACAATAGAGGCCTAAACCTCTCTCATCTATCCGAACCTCAGCAATCACTTCTTACTTGGTTCTCCCAGTATACAATCAAGTCCCTATTGGTTTCCCACCCAACAGTCGGAGTGGTCTAATAAAAATGCCAATCTGACCATGTCACACTTCCCACTCCATTTAATAACCTTCAGTGGCTCCCTATGCTGTTGGAATAAAAGCCAAACTCCTGACAGAACCTTACAAGGCCTTGCATGATCTGGCTCACCTCTTGCCAAGCTCCACCTCCTCAACGGACCTTTCTTGATTCAACAAATATTGAGTGCCTATTGTACCAGGCATTGAGGATTCAGTGGTGAGTAAAAACAGACTCCTTCAGATTTGCATACACTCCTCCAGATAGTCAAACATACCTTCCTCCCATGTGGGGGTCTTTGCACATGCTTTTCTCCTTGTCTGAAAAGTGCTTCTTTCTCCTCCTCTGTTTTTGCCCAGTCAACATCTTCTCAGCTATCAGATCTCAGATTAAACACCATTTATTCAGGGATATCTTATCTGACTCCCCAGCTTAGGTCCCCCTTGTTAGATGCTTTTATTGCTCCCTATATTTGACCTTCATACCTCTTACCATATTTTTCTATTTTCACATTTGTTTGTGTTATTTGCTTAATACCCATCTTCCTACCAAGGAAGCTCAGTGAGTTTGTGTCTGGTTTTTGCTTACCATCATATTCCTCTGGTGTTTAACTGGTGCTCTACAATTTATTAAATAAATGAATGAATGAGTAAATGATTCTCTTGTAGTATTCAGAGGATATTGCCTTCAGGGAAATGTTGGGCCTCTGCCTCAGTGTGATTATGAGCTGGGTGCTGGGAAGAGTTCACAGTTCTCACTGAGAAGGTCTGGCAACTGTGAATCCTTTCCCTGCCCCTTCTCATTCCCAGCATGCTGTGACTTGCCCCCCACCCACCCAGCTCTCCCCATTTTTCACATGCCCCAGCACTGGTCCTGCTTCTGCTACTCTACAGCTTCCTACAGACTGACCCCGACACCTGCAACCCTTCTGCCTGCTCTTTTCCATATGGCTGGCTCCTCATCTTTCAGGTCAAGTTTAAATGCTGCTTCTTTAGAGGCCACCTTCTCTGAGTAGGTCTCTGTTATTGCCCATCCTTCCATCCAGTTCATTTGCTTCATTGCATCTCACAGTGGAAATACATTTACGTATGTTTGTCATCTGTGTCCCTAGGTAAGTAAGAAGTGTTTGGCCACACGTAACAGCAAATCCAAGTCCACTGGCTTAAACAGTAAGAGAACTTGTCTAGTGGTAGGACTGGTTTTGGGTTGGTTAATTCAGTGATGTTCTCAAGGACCTAGGTTCTCCCCCGCTTGCTGCTCTGCCATCCTTGATGTTGGCTTTGCCCTCAGGTGGGTTACCAGGACGGATGCCGCAATTCCAGGCATGATAGCTGGAACTTCACATCTTATAAGCAGGGTTTTCTCATTTATGTGTCTTAGTTCACTGTTGTTGTGTAACAAATTATCACAAAACTTAGCAGTTTAAAACAACATTTATTCTTACAGTTTCCAAGGTTAGAACCCTAGGGGTGGCTTAGTTGGTTGGCTTGGGCACAGGGTCTCTCATGAGGTAATTGTCAAGCTGTTGGCCAGGGCTTAACTGATGCTGGAGAATCTGCTTCCAAGCTTATTGATGTGGCTGTTGGCTGGGGGCTTCAGTCCCTTCATTTATGGGCCTCTCCATAAGGCTATTCTCAACATAGAAGCTGCCTTCCTCCAGAGTATCCAAGAGCGAGAGAGCATCCAAGACAGAAGCTGCAGTGTTTTATGACCTAATCTTGGACATGATGCACCATTGCTTCTGCTGTGTTCTGTCGGTCACTCAGCCCAGCCTTGTTGCAACATGGGAAGGGACTATGCAGTGTGAACACCAGGAGGTGAAGACACTGTGAAGTCATCTTAGAGGCTGACTACTACATGGTATTTTTTCCAAAAGTGAGGAAGACTCTCCAAGAAGCCCAGGGGGCCTTTTTTTTTTTTTCCTACCCACCAACCAATCCCTGGAGGCCTTTCTTTACATTTCTTGGCTGCAGCTGTGTCATGTGTCCACACCTAAACCCATCACTATGAGGAGTTTGAGAACACAGTTTTTGGCTCATTACAATCACAATTCACTGTTGGGCCTAGGATGCACTTTTGTTGAAGCACAGGGTGGAATCCAGGAGAAAGATCGCCACCGAACAAAATCGGGATTCTGTTTGGAATAAGGAAGGGGCGATGGGAATGGATGTTGAGTAGGCAACTCACAGTGTCTATGACAATCACCTGCTAGACTTTCAACTCCATGAGAACAGAGGGTTACATCTTTTCCTACTACTGAACCCCCAACATGTAACCTACTGCCTGGTACTGAGTAGATGCAACCATATTTGTTAAATGAATTAATGAATGAACTCATGACAAAATGTAAGGCAGGGAGGTCTAGGACAGGTACCAGGTAGGGGCAGATATCCCCAGGCCCCCACCACCAGCCCCAAGGATGGACAGGACTGGCAGAATTAGTCTCACTTTATTTCTGCAGAAGTTCGATCAGATGCAATAACACTGATTCCAGGTGAGGGCAGGGGGCATGGGTACCCCTAAAGCAACCAGTATCCTGTGGCCCAAGGTAACCCCTATCCCCAGATCTGGTTCCCCCACAGTTACAGTTAAATAGAGAGAGGAAGATTTCCCTAGGGAGTCTTGGGAGGGTCTGCCTTCTGCATCTCCCCTCCTCCACACAGAGGCATCTGAGCACAAGCTATTTACAGTATTCACATCCACTGTACCCCACCAAACCAAGGCAAATACTACAGGTGGCCCATTCCCAAGGGAAGAGGCCAGAGAGGCTGTGAGTGTGTGTGTGTATGGGGGGAGGGGTGTCCGCATGTGTGAGCACACGAATGCACTGAGGGGCAGGGTCTGGCTCCGCCAAAGAGACATCAGTCTATAAGGTGCAGATTAAAAATAACAGAGAGGACCCACCCCCAGGGGCCCAGGCCACTTCTGGCTTTGTTCTGTCTCTTTCTCTTCCAGACATCCTGACAGGTGATGCAGAGGAGCTCTCACAGCTGTGCCTGGTCCAAGGCAAACCCTTAAAGGACTTCTGGGGAAAAAAACGGGAGGAGAAATAGTCAGGGAAAACCATGCCAAGCTCAGAGGACTGGGAGTCTTCAGAGTGGAGTGTGAGGGAGCCTCTGGCAGAGCTGGAAGAGAGGCCATGGAAGGCTGCTGGGAGGGAAGGCTATGGGTCCAGGGATCCCTACCTGTGACCTGTGGGGGCTGCACAACGGCTTTCTTGAGGAAGGCTTCTGCCTCTGCAAAGGGCAGGAGTGCCTCTGGCGTTCGGCCCAGACTTTTGTCCCCAGAGGGTCCCTTAGGGGAGAAGCCATTTTCCTGGTGTGCTGGGAGAGGCTGCAGGCCATTCACCAGGGACCCCGGTGACTCCTTGCTCGGCAGGCTGTGGATACAGAGGCCAACGCTCAGGCACTTCCCATCCCAGGACAGCCCAGGCACCCCACAGCTCCAGCACGACCCTACCTCCCTGCTCAGTGCCCCTGGGATTGGAGCTGTACCTCCACTGAGGCTCCTGGGAGGCCAGTTCCTCCTTCTGCAAAGCCTCCTTCTGCAGCCCTGACGGCCGAGAGTCCCCAACTTTCACAGGGTCTATCAAGGAAAGGAATGGCCATCAGTTAGGGCCTGGTGAGGGGAGGAGGTCTAGGATGGGGTGGCAAATGGGACAGAGATGAGAACAGGGCCTTTACCTGGGCTGGAATTGTTTTTTGCCTCATTTCTGTCTGGCTTCTGCTTTGAAGAGGAAGAGCAGTCAGACTCAAGGGCTTCCACCAGACTAAGGTGCTGAATTCTATCACTCCCTGCCCCCAGAAGCTGAGGGGCACACCCACAGCCTCCTTCCTCCACCCTCAACGGCTTTCCCCAACCTCCCTTCCTCACAGGGCCTCCACTCCCAGCACTGCTCTTTGGGGAATCCTGACCTTGGTTTCAGCAGCTTCTGACTTCCGAGTCCTCTTCATTATCTCCTCCAGACGCTGTTGGGAGGCCCGACATCAGTTAGGCCCAAGCCCTGTCCGATTCCTAAACTTCCCACCAGCCGGCTCCGGTCCTAAGTCTCAGGGCCTTTCCACTCACACCAATCATTTCCAAACCAGGAACCAGAACTTGCCCCAACTCCTGGTCCTGCAGTTCATACACCCAAGGCAGGGCCCACCGTCAGCCCCGCCCACGGGCGCCAGGCCACGCCCACGGAAGCACCGCCCGCTACTCTGCCTACCTTCTTGCGCTCTTGCCGCTCCTGCTCCTCCCGCTGGAAATGCTTTTCCCGCTCCAGACGCTGCCGCTCCGCCTCTTCCCGGGAACGAGCTTCGGCCTCCTCTTTCTGCCGGAAACCTCCGTGAGCTTTAAGCAGCTGTACTCCAGCCTTCCCTCCAGGCCAGCCCCCAGCCCGGACTGCCCACCCGCGGACCTGCTTCTGCAGCCGCTCCTGCTCCTCCTGCTCTGCCTGCGCCTTCTCTCGGGCCTCTTGCTCCTCCCGCCTCCGGGCCTCCGCCTCCCTCTCGGCCCGGGCCTCGGCCTCCCGCGCCAGCAGCTCCTCTCGCATTCGTCTGGGGGACAGAGGGCACTCGGGATCAGTCCCGCGCTACTTCCGCAGCCTCAATGAGGGCCCCCTCAGTGCCTGAGGGCGCACTCACTTGTCCCTTTCTGCCTGCAGCCTCCGCTCCTGTTCCTCGCGCTCCCGCTGCTCACGGGCCTGGCGCCGCTTCTCAGCCAGGAGTCTAGTGGCCTCTTCTCGGTCTGTGGTACCCGCCATTGGTTTGCTAGGGGTCACCGCGGTAGCAGCGGCTGGGGGTGAGGTCAGGACGGCTGGGGGTGAGGTCAGGACAGTGGCATCTGGAGTGGGATCCAGGACCAGGAGTTAGTACACCCTAGCACAGGCACCTCCATCCCCCTTGCCACCGCCTCCTCTGGGCCCGGGCCTCCGCCTCCCGCACCAGCTGCTTCCGGGACTCAAGGCGGCCCAGTCGCCCAACCTCTGCCATCACTTCCGAGTGCTTGTGGTCCTCCCTTCTGGCCTGTGTTCTGGACCTGGATCTGCTAAGGTAGAAGCCTGTCCTTCCTGTCTCCCAATACCCAGTCCACCGCCACCTCTGGGCTACCTCTCTCTCCTTCACACAGGCAAAAACCGGCTTCTCTTGCCCTGCCCACCTTTCGCTCCCCTCTCATGCCCACCTGCGGGGGTCTCCACTGTGGGCTGCTCCTTCTGGGGCAGGGCTGGGGTGGGTGAGGGTGCTGGTGAGGCTGGGTCTGCTGGCTCCTTCTCGTCACTGGCCTTGCCTTTGCTCTGGCTCTTGTCCTCAGGTCCTGCTGTGCTGGGGCTCTCCTTTGCCTCGTCCTTCCTCCGAACCCTCCCCTTGGGCGATGCAGTGGTGCCTCGGGGAGACGGTGGTTTTGGGGGCAGAGCATGGCCTGGCCCTGGGCTGGGGCAGGGAGAGGCAGGCCTGTGCCAGGATGTGGAGGGAGAAGATGGCCGGGCCTTGGATTTGGGACTGAGAGAAAAGGGAAGAGTGAGGCCTTGAGAGTACAGGGTATACACCCCCCGACACACACACTGAGTATGTCACTTCCCCAAGGAAGTGTCCTGTTTCGCCCGCTACCCAGGTCAGCACCCTGCTAACAGAATATGTTCTCACAGAACCAAATTATTTCCTTTTAGAGCATATATTCCAGTTTGTTATCACATATTCATTTGTGAGTCTTTGTATAACGTCTCTCTCCCCAGTGGCCCTGTAAGATTAACAAGAGCAAGAACTAGGCCTGGCTTGGCTCACCCTGTGTCCTCAGCACCCAGAACAGTACCTGGCAGATCCATTCATTCATTCCACAGGTATTTGCTGAGTGCTTACCAGATGCCAGGCACTGTTCTCGGTGCTAGGATACCTCAGTGATCAAAACAAAAAAGCAAGAAAGATGGAAAGAAAGAGAAATAGAAAGAAATCTGTCCTCAAGGAGCTTTCATTCTAGTGGGTGCCCTACAAATAACTGCGAATGAATGGATGGCAGGGCCGGTGGCTGCCGGCCCCGCCCCCGCGCGTGCGCACCTGAGCTCGCCAGCGCCGGCCGAGAGGCGTGGGCGCGAAGGAGGCAGCGACTGGCGCTTCTTGAGGCTGCGCTCCCGGGCCAGGGCACTCTTCTCCTTCTCGTTTTCCCGCTCCTTGTCCTTCTTCTCCTTTTTCTGAATCTGGCGAACACGGAGGAGAGCGGGGAAAGAGGAGCAGTGGTCAGTGGCGCCGCGCTCCTCCGCCGGGCTCCTGTCCCCTCGCCGCGCGGCCACTTACCGGCGAGGCCTCGGGCCGGCGGCGGACCTGGGCGGGGCTGCCCCCAGTGCTGGGCTTGCGGCGATCCCCGCGCTCCCCGGCAGGGGCGCAGCGATGCACGCTTCGCGGGGCGCTGCACAACGGCGTCAGGGGGCTGGCGGAGGCCGAGCGCGGGCACACGGGCACGGCTGCAGAGGGATGAGCGCGGTCTAGGTGCATTCCTTCGGCGAGGCTGGCCCCTGCCCCGCCCCTCGTGCGGGTTCGCCCAGGGCCGCCGCCCCTACCCTGGTCCCGGCCATTGCGGGGCAGTGTTACTGCACTGCGACTCCGTGCCAGGAAGGAAAGGGTGGGCGTCATCAGACGGTCCACGATGCTGCTCTCCCATGCGCTCAGCTGCAGGCTGCGATCTAGAGGGACAATACCAGAAGGCGGTTACCGCAGAAGGCCACAGTAGGCAGAGGCATAGGGAGACCTCCAGGTGCCAAGCCCAACGAGTTTCTCCCAGGAGGACTCTCCTTCCAATCATGTGGGGCCACACTTATCTGCCCTGGGGTCTGACCTCCACTGCAGACCCAGGCAATAAGACACTTCCCAGGGCAATGTGTACATTGCTTGAGGGTGCCCTCCTACCACTCTCCCAGGTGAAAGGTCTCTGAACTGTAAGTATAGAAAGGAGCTACCCAGGATGGTGGGACTCCGAATCCTACTGTAGGGCCCTCCTCCTCCTCTCGGAGGGCTGGCCTGGGGAGGCATGACCCCATGGATTTGGGGCAGTGAGGGGTCCCTGTGCTCCTCTGACTCATGAGAGTCCCAGCTTTTAGGTGTCCCATGCCAGGGACAGGCTGCCAGGGGGCCTGACTGCCCTGTGCCATCGGGCTCTGTCCCCTCAGCTGCTGGGTTATATTTAAGCCTCAGTCAGGTGGGGTTGGTAGAGCAGCTGATTTGGTTGCTAGGGAACAAAGCAACCAAATAAAGGCTGGAGAAACTTATAAATAACTGTTACCATGGCCCCTTCACATGTGAGCACCAGGGCATGGTGGAGGGCAGGGGCCATGCCACCCTGGTTCGCCACCCAGCTAAGGCCATGCCTGGGGCTCTGAAGCCAGAGAGGGCGCAGATACATGGAACACAGAGGGCTCCAGGGTGGAGGCAGAATAAGGGGCCTTCTCCATACACACAACAGCCAGGCCACTCTGATACTTGGGGGCAAGGCCACCTGCCTAAGGCTAGCCTAGGCCAGCTGGCTGTGGTTGGAGATGAGACTCCCTGCCCATCCCCTTCCTCCACCTACCCGCAACCCCACCTGCTCTTAAGGCCCAGCCAGGCTCTCTGCCTGCTGGGACACTGCCCTTTGTCTCTGTTTTCCTCCCCTGCAGGGTACACCTCTGTCCTCAGGGTCCAGATCCAAATGCCGGCTCCCCCAAGGGGCACAGAGGCCCAGGTGGGATAGAGTGGGGATGGAGACCTGGAGTATGTGCGGGCTCCAGGGACCTGGGGTTCTTGCTGAGCTCTGGAGGAGGCTTGGTGGGGGCTACAAGGTGCTCTGGAGGGAGGAGGACTGGGCCTTCTCTTACTTCTACTGGGGGAGTTCCAGAGCGTGGCAGAGGACTTTGAGAGCCGCTTGTTGATTATAGAGTCCACGTGTTTGGGCAGGTTTACTGCCGACACGGAGCACCTGCTCCCACCTGGAGGGGAAAAGACACGGCATTAGGGCCGGGCCAGACAGGAGCCAGGGGGTGCACTGAGGCCTTCCATGCAGGATGCTCCGCGGGCAGGGTGGGAGAGGGAAGAGTGGACAGGCCAGGAAGGGGAGGAGGAGGCAGACTTGACTCTGGGAGGAGGGGTGGGTGACCAGAGACAACCTGGATTGGGGGAGCCGACGGAGAAGGAGCAGAGGAAGGAGATGGAGTAAAACTTGAGAAACTATAGCCTTTCTGACCAGGAAGGCATTCCCTAGGGCTGGGCGCTGCAGCCCCTCCTCCCCAACCACCCAGCATTGGCACTTGCTGACATTGCCCAGCCAAGGTGCTATGGCTATGACACCCACATACTGGGAAAAATGCAGAGTTGTTCCTAAGTAGAAGAACCCATGGTCACAGTCACTCGTACAAATCCACGTGTTCATACAGACACACGAAGACATGCAGGCATGAGCATAGAGAGTGGTAGGTGTTTTCACATGCACATGAGTGTGCAGACATGCACAGATATAGAAACACAAACACTGATGGATAATGTGTCAGACCCAGATGCACACAGGCACAAACACAATGAAGCAAGTTAATCGTATTTTTAACAGCTGACATTTGTTGGATGCTTACCATGTACCAGACACTGTGCTGGACACCACACACATGTTACCTCACTTGATCCTCCCAAACATCTACCTACAACCTTGGAGGCAAGTAGTATTGTTATCCCCATTTTACAGATGAAGGAAGTGAGACATCGAGAAGTTAGAGGTCAAGTGCCAGAGCTGGGATCCTAACCCAGTTCTGTCTGACTTGAGAGTTCTTACTGAAGTACACAAGGCCACAGACACACCAAGGCAAAGGTATTAAGAACACGACACCCAGATCCATGAGCACATACAGCAAAACATACACAGCTAGGAATACTGAAACTTGCATTACATAAAGACTTCCAAACACAGTGGTACATACATGCCAGCAAAGAATCAGACAAAAATCCATGATGGCCCTACATGAAGAAAACTCAGAGACAAAAATCTACCTTCCAAGACAGGTACATAAGGGGGGTGATAGTTTTCTTTAAATATCCAGTGTCTGCAGGGAATTAAAATGCTGTTTTGTGTATCATCAACTAATAACAGTTGACAGGAACAAAGAAGGCTAATCTAAAATGACAGAGGTTTGAGGAGCAAGCCCAATGAAGAGAATCTGCCTCCGACTTGGTGGTGGACGTCCTTGGGAAGGGACACCATGGTTTACAGATCACTCCAGAAGACACGTAAGTCACCTGAAGCAAATCATACCTGCTGCACGGAGCTGCCAGCTCCTGGCACTGAAGCTACTCCCCTCCCCAACTCCTCAGGCCCCAACCTTGCCCAGCCACCCACCAGCCCCTCCAGCCCACTCACTGGTCTTACGTCCTGGGGAGCTGTGGTGCAGGGCCCCTGCCCAAGACCAACGCTGCTGCCGGATTTCAGCCCACGTCTTCTTCACTGACCGCTGGATAGCTGCTTCATAGCGCTCCTGAAGGAGAAAGGGGAGAGGAGAGAGGTATGAGCTCAAAATCACTCATTCCTGGGAGAAAGGCCCCCTGGCTCCTGTGACATGCCTCCCCCACCCCTAGAAGCTTTGCCTGACTCATTGCTGGTAACCAAGGTTACTGCATCCTTGCTGTGATTTAAGACTACTTGCAACAGATCCCTTTCAACTTGTTCTGGGGGAGCTTTTCACTGTTCTTGAGTCATTTCCTGGGTGTATGAGTGTTTCTCTGAGGATAGAAGAACAGGGACTCTCCCTGCCTGTGGCTCCCAGGTGGAGCCATGGCCTCCTGGCACTGAGGATCCTGACCTTGTGACTGTGTTTTCTTTTCAACCTGAGGCTTCAGGGCAGGGCCAGGCCACCTTTTCCCTTATATCCTGATGGGTGCTCAAGCCAGGACTCTACTCACGTTGTGGAGCTCAGCACACTCACACAGACACATCTCTGCACACATACAAATACACATACGTGAGGCACACATGCAAATATCTGTACTGACAGTGCATGGGTCCCACACACGTGCAGAACCAAACATGTCTGCAGTCACACAGATGCCCAGATGTACACTAAGGGACACAACTGCAGGCATGAACACAGGTGTGTATACACACTGAGCAGTGTACAGATGTGTACACACACGTGTACCCAGATCCGTACATACTCAGACAGAAATAGGCCCAAACGCACCTTGTTTTTCTCCAGCTTCTGCCGCTGCCGCTCCTCCAGGGCTGCCCGGCGTTGCTCAGCTTTAAGCCGCTGCTCCTCTAGCCGCCGCCGGCGCTCCTGGAGCTGCTTCTCCCGCAGCACCTTGGCCTTCTCCTCCTTCTCTAGCCACACTGCCTTCTTGGCCGCTGCAGGAAAGGGGTCCCAGGGGTGTGAGGGGTCTGCAGCGGCCAAGCAGGTCTCCTCCAGAAGTGGCCTGCCGTGTTAACCTGGCCTTGGGTGGGTCTTTGTCCTGCCAGCTTGGGGAGGGATGTGCCTCCACTCAGACTCTTCCCTCAAATTGCAGGGCTTCCTAAAGACAGGCTCAGGCTTCAGAATGAGGGTTTCTCAGAGGGGAGGCCCATTTCTCTTCTATTGTTCTTATGGGCTCTTGAAACTGAAGGAGAAATAAGTTCTTCAGTACCTGATCCCTGTCTGATTCTGGGATCTGCTGGACAGATTTTCACATACTGTGATTAAAAGCATGGGATTTGGAGTAAGATGAGGCTTCCGGGTCTGAATCTCAGCTGCTCCACTAGGTGTGTGGCTTAAGGCAAATGATTTGGTCTCTCCGAGCCTGTTTTCTCATCCTCAAAATGGGTGGAGAGGGTAAAATGGGACACCACACGTACAGTTCTTTGCACACCAAGCATAATGCAGTGTTCCTGCAGTGTTAGTGTTACTGATAGGATGCCGATGGTGACGATGGTGGACATGACGCTTCCCCAGTACTCACCCAGGTACTTGGCCCGCTCTTCTCGCCGCTCCTTTGCCAGCTTATGTCTCTCTCCTGCCTTCTTTACATCTTAGTAGAGGGAACAAGAATCGACTTAGGTGAAGAGGCTCCCCACAGAGGGAAGTCAGCCTCAGGACCCTATCTCATCCCCACCCCAATCCTTTCCCATGTCCTTTTGGGCAGAAGATAGTCCCTCTGGTGGCATCACCCAGGGCTGGAATCCTGAGCCAAGGGGTTTGGGCCCAGGACTAGGGGCATCACACATACCTTGCTTGGTGGGAGGGCTGTCAGAGGCTGGCACTGTTGGGGATGGTTGGCTGCTCCTTCGAGGAGGCCTGGCATCCCGTGGGCCTGTGGCTGGTGGAGTGGGTCCCCTGATCTTCACTTCTGAGAAAGGGGACTCTTCTTGCTGAGGGGCTGGCCTGGGCCCAATTGGTCCTGGGGGGCTCTCTTGTTCCAGTGAGAGCTGCTTAGGGCTAGTGGCATTCTTCAAGGCAGGAGGGGTATCCGGGGGAGTGTCAGGGACCAGGGCTGATGGTGGTGGTGGTGGTGGTGGTGGTGGGGAGGGGTCACCTTCTGGAGAAGGTCTTGGCTCTGAGGGAGTCCTGGCTGCCACAGCTGGAAGACCAACATAAGAGGAGAATCAGATTGTAGATCTGTGCCATCAGTTCAACATGTAGCTCTTTCCCTGTCCAACTGACTTACTCATTCACTCACCCAACATGTTAATATTGAGTTTCTTCTGTGTGCCAGACCCTGTTCAGACATACTAATGATATAATGATGAGAAAACAGCCATGGTCCCTGCCTCTGTGGAGCCCATCTTCTAGCACAGCAGGCAAAGAACTAAGTAATTCCAGTTTAGAATAAGTACTATATCTGTGTGCCACATATCAGAGATGGTTAACCTACATTTGGGGGGCTTCCTGAGGAAGTAACCATCAAGCTGAGGTCTATAGGATGAGCTGGAATGGGCAAAGCACAGAGGAGAGGGTTCTGGGCAACAGAACATTTTCAAAGAGGCAGGAGGGAGCAGGGTGTATTAGAAACACTTGCTGGTGCCCCAAATGGTAACAAGTGGCTTCCACATCTGCCTCCCTCACCTTTCTGCTTTACTTGGGGCCACAGTGCCCAACCCAGGCCTTGTGCCCAGAAGGTGCCAGGGCTGGGCATAGGGGACTGGCCAAGGGGAAGGACACAAGCATGGGTGCAAGTGGGATGCCCATGTTGCAAAAATTCCCAAAGGGGAGGGGGGCAACCTGCCACATCCACTTAGTAATCATTTTTCTCTTCCTACCACTCTCAGATTTTTTATTTTAAGACATAAATAATTGCAGGTCCTGTACAGTCATTAGAATTACTAGAATAATTCCTTTTCCCTGCAGAAGACATCAAAATGCCGTGTAAGGACGCCACATGATTTGGTATGTACAAGTATATACACACATGTGAGCACATGTACACTACAAGACAGTGGCAAAACAGGCTTCAGAGTCAGTCAGATGGGGGTCCATCCTGATTTCACCACCTCAAGACAGGAAGGGAGGGCCTGCCCCCTCAGCAGGTAGACTTGGTGAGCTGTGCAACCTCTTTAAGCCTCAGTTTTCATATCTGTGAATGGGGATAATGAGCCCGAGCTGGTAGGGATGTCAGTAAAGTGCCTGGCACAAGTCATGTGCCAGCAAACACTTCCCTCCCTTCCCCTGTGGGTCTTATGAAGCTGAGAGGAGAAGCCTCTGCACAGTGAGCCCTGGTGCCATCTGCTGTTCCCCTTTGGGCACTGAGGGGACCAGGGGGGGTCATAGCCACTGGCCTGGGCTTAGAGAGCAGGACGAGCGTCTGTGGGGAGGTGAATCTAAAGAGGCGTTTTTTGCTCCTATCAGGTGCCTCCAACTATCCTAGGTCCTCTGCCCTGGGAAACCTGGCCCTCTCAGAGGTTGACAAACTCCCCATTCCTGTGGGTGACAATGTGTGTATAAGGAGGTGGCACTCTCAAGGAGTTACCCTTGGGACTCTGGGCGCCTTTTTTCAGGGAGAAGGGTGTCCAGTGGTTGAATATCTGCCTGAAGGCAAACTATCTGAATATTAATTCTAGCTTCTCCACTAACTGTGTGACCTTGGACTAGTTACAGACCCTCTCTGTGCCACAGCTCCTCTTCTATAAAATACAGATATACCTACCTCACAAGATTATGGTATTAGTGATTAACAGCAACTATTAAGTTACATATTTTTTGAGGACTTTCTATATTCAAGGCATTATACCTTTATTAGTTTTAATCCTCACTGACAATTCTTATGAAGGAGGCACTATAAACAAAAAGAGGTTAAGTAAAGTGATTTGAGGTCACTCAGCTGGTAAGTGAAGGAGCCTGTATTTGAAGCCAGCATCTGTCACCAGAGCCCATGTTCTCACCTACTGCACCCTCCTGCCTCTGCTTAAGGCAGTATGAGGTAATACATGTTATGCAATGAACTGATCTGAGGATACTTTCCCCTCACTCCTTCCCTTCCAGCTTCCTGGGCTCCAGGCAAGAGCCCCAGCTAAGGCCCTTGTCTCCCTAACCCATCCCATTCTGCCAGCCTCTAGGCTGCATAGCAGCCCACCTAGCTTTTCCCACACCAGTAGAAGGCTGCCTGGTCACTTGCTAGTCTATTTCCTCACCACTTGTAAACTCCTTTCCAATGCAACAGTATATAAAACTAGTAGCAACTACTCAGTGAGTATTTACTACGTACCAAGAGCTGAGCTCGGCCCTTTGTATTCCCATCCAGCATCCCCATATGAGTTCTGAGGAACAGAGATCCTTATCTGCATTATACAGATGGGACAGTCAAAGCTTATCCTAATAAGTGACTTGCTGAGGGTCATAGAACAAGTACGTGGCAGAGGCAGGATTTGAACCCAGGACTGTCTGGGGCCAAACGGCCTAGGTGTGTAAGCACTAAGCTTGAAAGCTGAGGGCGAGGGCTGTGTATTGCCTCTCCTAGCACCTGTGCGTGCTACAGGTGTTGCAAGGAACACTGGTAGGCGGGTGTTGGCTACACCTAGGCAAATTACACCCAGTAGGCAAGAGAATGAATCTCCAACTAGGTCCTGACGAGTTGTGTGAGGAGAGCCTGGCAGGAAGGAGAGTGTGAGGCCTGGAAAAGCCCACACCTGGGCATCACATGCAGCACAGGGGAAAGGTCTTAGGCTTCAGAGTTGGGCAGGCCGGCCTGGGTGGGGAATCCGAGCTCTGCTGTGGGACCCTGGACAAGCCCTGAACCTATCTGAGCCTCAGTTTCCTCACTGAGTTGTTGGGATTGACAGTAAGAAAGTATGTCGTCTCTGGCACATGGCAGGCTCTCAGTAACTAGCACCTGCCTAGAAGAATCTGTCCACTTCTTCCCATCTCTGCCACAAGAGTCCACTTGGGTCAGGCTTTCATCCCCACTGCTCCCTGACACAGCTCTTCTCAAGGTCGCCAATGACCTTGGCATTGCTAAATCAGCCGGCATTTCTCGGTCCTTGTCTTGCTAATGGAGCAGCTGCCTTTGACACAATTGATCCCTTGGTGCTCTTTGAACACTCTGTGCTTGGCTTTGAAGACAGCACTTCTCCTGGTTTTCCTTCTACCTTGTTGGCTGTGACTTCTCCATCTTCTTTACTGACCACTCCTTAGCTTCTTAACCTCTCTGCGCAGGACTGCCCCAGGGCTCAGTGGAGGACCTCATCCCTTTTCTGTCTACACACACTCCCTCGGTGACCTCATCCAGACTCATGGCTTTAAATACCATTGCTCTGCTGATGACAACCAAATTTGTATCTCCAGCCTAGACCTCTCCCTTGAGTTCCAGTTTTGCTCATGAAACTCCCTACTTGACACCCATGGATGTCTTATAGACACTCCAAACTTATATCCAAAGCTGAGCACCTCACAAAAAACCCTGCTCCTCCACCAGTTTTCCCATCTCAGTCAATGACAAACCCATCCTTCCAGTTTCCTAGGCAAAAATTCTTGGAACCATTTTAGAATCTTACCTCACACTCCACATCTAATCTGTCAGCAAATCTTTTTGGCTCAATGTGAAAAATATATCCTGAATCCAATCACTTCTATCTACACTTCTGTCATCTTGGTTCAGCCACTGGCCCTTATAAAAGACCCCTGCTACCATCCTTTGTTCCCCTTTGGTATTTTCCCAACACAGTAACAGAGTGATTCTGTTTAAAAATAAATCAGACCAAATCACTCCTCTTGATAAAATCCTCCCAAGGTGCCCCAAGTCATGGGAGGAAAAGCCAGATGGCCTCCAAGGCCCCTCAGGATCCTCCCTCTCTTCACCCCTGCTCAGAATGTTTCAGCCACTGTTCCTTAAAGGTGCCAGGCATGCACCCGCCTCAGGGCCACTGGCTCGCCTTTCTCTCTGCCAAGAACTCTCTGCCCCCAGAATCAGTATATTTCCCTCACCTCTTTCAGGCCTTTACTTCAATGTCCTTTCTTCCCTGACCTCCTATTTAAAATGAAAAACTGCAATTGAAGTCTCCTCACCTTCCCAACTTTTTTTTCTCTCCAATTCTATTTTTATCCATAAGTATTAATACCATTTTAACACTATCTCCCACTGCTAGAAGATAATCTCCATGAGGGCACAAATTTTTGTGTTTTGTTATCTGTTCTATCTCCATGGCCAAAATGGCCTGGCACACAGATGCCCACAACTATCTGATGAATGAAGGTCCGTGAGCTCCACCCTGGCAAGTATCACCAGCACCTCTCTTACCTGATTACAAAGTCCTCCCACTGCTCTCCTGCCCATTCTCACTCTTCTTTCCATGGGGCACCCAGAGTAGTTGTTCCCAAATACACATCTGATCATCATACTCTTTGTCACATGAAACCTCTCTGTGGCTTCCCACTGCTCTAAAGGTAAAGACAAAATTCTTGAACCCAAGCTACAAGTCTCACACAGTCTGAATTCCCTGTCTTTCAGCAACTCTCTTCCGCTGTCCTCCACCTCTTGAATCTCCTCTCCATGTCCCTACTTGCTCTCTGTACTCCAGCCACACTGACCGTCTTTTAATTCAGGTAACCATCCATGCTCCCTCCTGCCACAGGGCCTTTGCACATTCTCTTCCTTCTCTTTACTGAGTTAACTCTCATTTACCCTTTAGCTCTTAGCTCAGTCATCATTTCTGCAGGCAAGCCCTCCCTGGCCTTTCTGATTGGGATAAACTCCCTCATTACAGTCATGATTTCACATGCCTCTTGTTTGCAGCCCTATGAGTGTTACAGTTTCAAACTTCCTTGTGTGGCTCTTTTGTTATTATCAGCCTCCCCCTAGACTGTGAGGAAGCCCTACAAGGACTGGGCCATGTCTGCTTTCTTGCTGCTGCATCACGAGCAGCTACCACAGTGCCAAGTACATGGAAACGGTCATGAAATGCTGTTGCATGAGAATAAAGCGCTGTACTCAGAAGGCACTGTGGCCTAAAACAGGGTGTAGAGAAGGAGATTTTTACTTGAATAAAGAGAAATCCATGTGGCAATTTACTGCAAATGAATAAACACTTCAAGAGAAGCAAAACAACTCCATCTCAATTGAGTCTGAGCAGCTTCCTGGACTAAGGCATTCAGGTAGAAGTTAACAGAGCTAATAGTGAGTGTTTACTCCAGTGGCTCAGCAACAAAGACTTCTCAGGAGGCACACAGCACATCTGGAGCTCTTCTTCTGACCTGGTGGACCATTGAACCTGAGTACAGATATTTTCCTGAGAATGATGCAACTCTGACGAAATGTCATTGGGACAGTGTTATCCAGGACAAATTGTATTAAGCCAAATTAATTCCTTGGTTAATTATCTATATAATACAGTGAAGCCAATTTCTGATTACCCTCATTTTCAATCAAGTGAATGTGATTTTTCAGCTACTTCATTTTTGGTCTGTATCAAATTGTGAGGTTTCAACCACTGTTAGTTTTATTTTGCTCTGTTGATATCTACCAGAAGTATTTGTTTAAGAACTGGATAAGGGACAGATAGCTTGTATTTATTTCTTGACACACAGAGCATTAGCAGGGCAGAGGTGTGGGAACTGGCCATAGGGTCAGTAAGCTTGTCTTCTCAAGAGCTCCAAGAAGGCATGCACCTGGGGTCTGCGGCAGGGTCTGGGCCACGTCTCTCAGAGGACCTGTCACATGTCTCAGGGAGCCTACTCCCCATCTCCATCATCTGGTAGCTGGCAGTCCTTTCCTCTTTCCCTCTTCCTACCCCAACCACTGCTGCCAGGCCAAATATTCCCCTCAAACACTGATAGCTCAGTCTGGCTTTTCTGTTTGCCTGCACCCCTGCCTCCACCAATGGGAGAGCTTGTGGAGAGAAGAGACTGGGTCTTAATCCTTGCAGTCCCAGAGCCTTACCCAGGACCTGCCCAGAGCAGAGTAGGAGTTCTGTGTCTGTTTAATGAAAATCTGGTTGGATGGACGGCTGGCTAGCTGGCTGGCTGGCTGGCTGGCTGGCTGGCTGTGAAAGGCTACCTAGATAGCATGGGGTCACTCCCCCAGCTGCTTCAAAGCCTAGCCTCTTTAACCCTCAATGTCTTGATCATATTAGAGCCCTATGTGTGCCCTGCCAGCTCCTACACCCAGGAAGGGAAATAAACTAATTGATTGAAGCCCTACCTCATCAGGCACTTTCTCTTAGGTAATTCTTATAACAGCCCTAAAAGGAAAGTATTATGGATGGTCCCCGTTTCACAGGTGAGAAAACTTACTCAAACAGGTTAAGTGAATTGCTCATGTCAGTGTCAGAGGTTGGATATGAACCTGAGGCTGTCTCACAAAACCCTGATGTCACACTGTTTCTGGTAGGCGTCACATCACCCCTCCCAAAGTTCCTGCCTGTTCCCTGCAGAAGGAAATGATTTGGTGATTCCCCCAGGAGGCTGCCCCGTGATGGTGAAGGGTGTAGGTGGGGCGGGCAGGCACTGAGCTCAGAGCGCAGGAATGCAGGGAAGGCAAGCTCCTGCCCGGGCTGGCCACTAGGAGGCAGGAAGTGAGGCACTGGCAGGGAGTGGGGGAGATTGGTCCTCCTCCAGGGGGCAGAGCAAGCAGAAGGGGATGCACAGACAGCACCCCTGGGTGGGGGCAAGGGAGGCAGAGGCAAAAGGCAGAGAGAGGCAACAGGACAGTCAACAGGACAGTGACCAATATTTCTAGCCAGAGCCCTCCTGGCTCTCTCAGCACTTCTTAGATGGCAGTGCTAGACAAGACAAATGACGACAGGAGGCTGACAGGGAGACAGAGAGTACACACCACAGAGAGGGAAACACCCAGACAATGTGGGCAGAGCCTACACAATAGCAAGAGTCAGGACATATTCTTTCTCTCATACACACAGGAAGAAGACTTACTGGGATTCAGAACTCTGCACAGATAGACACATACTCATATCCTTAGACACACACACACACTGAGCCAGGCAACCCCTCTGAGGCTCACACGAAGCCTTAGAGACACAAACACTCATAGATACAATGTCCCCAGTATATTTACATAGCCTCATCCAAGTCAATTCTGCTCTGCCTCTTCTGGGCACACCTTTATCTGGGCCCAAGGAAAAGTCCAACTGACAGTAGCAATAGCTAACGCCGTGTCAGGCACAGCCAAACACTTTAACACATCAGTGCATTTCATCTTCACCACAATCCTATGAGGTAGGTATTAGTCCATTTTACAAACAAGGAAACAGATTCGGAGAGATAAAGACACTTACTTAAATCATACAGCTGGTGAGGGGCAATGCTGGGGTTTGGACACAAATCAGTGTGAGTCTGTACCTTCACTCTGTTACCCAAAGTGGGCAGCTTCCTGGGTTCCCCTCCTGGAGAGATCTGGGCTAGGAGGACAGGGATGGGCAGAAAAGACAAACCCTGAGAGATGCCTGATTGTGAGGCTGGGACAGAGGGGACCTGTAGGGGGCAGCATTACTCCCGGCCAGAACTCAGAAGTACCAGCTCTGAGAGCGAGTGAACTAGGAGGGGGCAGCCTGCTCCAGCAGTCCTGGTAGCAGGGTACCAGGGCCTGGCTGTAGGTGTCTGTGGGTGATAAAGCTGGGAGCCCAACTGAGGCTGCAGATCTGAAGGAGCTCTCTGACTGGGTTGGCAGCCATTGTTCTCAGCCTCCAATCAGGAGCGCCCACTTCCTGTTATTTTAGGCGGCAGGAAATGACCCTATCCCGTAGCGGGGGTTAGGGGGGCCACTATGGCCCTCCCTCAGCCCCAGCAGGGTTGCCCACGCGGGGGCCTAGATGTTGAGGGCAGAGGCCCAGCTTTAGGCCAAAGCCTGAGGATAGTCCACTGGCTGGATTGTCACCACTGCCTGCATCCAGGGCCTCCTCCTGGTCTGACTTGTTCCAACTTGGCAGGATGCACAAGGGACCCAGGGCTCTACTGGCTCTCCTCCTGCCTGCCAGAGAAAAGACCACTAGGTCCTCAAGACCAAGATCCCCATAGATGATCAGCCATGCAAGAGAAGCAGGCCAGATTCTATCATGGCTGGCTTGGTCATGATAATTCAGCATACAGGTTTGGTGTACAGTCTTTAGAGTCAGATGGACGTGGGTTCAAATTCAGTCACTGCCAGTTCCTAGCTGTGTGACTTTGGGCAAGTGACTTTCCACTCTGAGCCTCATCTATAAAATGGAGACGATACTGTTCCCTACTCAGGACTGTTTTGAGGATCAAATGAAACAATGCACATGACACGCTAAATAACCATTATGCCTGGCACAGAGATGGCTTTTTATAGGAGTGGGAGATGTTGAATCACCTGGGAGTCTATTCCTGGTCCACATCTCCTTTTACAACTGGTGATGGGGGCAGTGATGCCATGCTCTGCTCCCGGCAGGGCAGAGCTGCAGCTGAGAGGTGCCAGAGGAGATGCTGAAGGCTGTGCCCTGGGGTGCCAGGCAGAGCTACCACAGCCAACAGAGCTGCATTATCTGGCTCCGTGGCCCAAGGTCCAGTGGGACCCAAGGACACGGCTCCCAACTGCTTGTGGCCTAACTTCCAGCCTTGGTCAGACCCAAGACCTGCCCTGACTGCTCTCAAGTGCCACCACTCTAGTCTGGGTCCGGCTTTCAGCTCACTGCCCACTCCTTCAGCCCTGCCATACCAGCAGCTGATGCCCATTCCTAGGGGGAAGGGGGAGTAAACTGGCCTAATGCCCCTTCCTCCTTATTTGCATATGTACAACTGCACATTAGGGGCTCATTAGAGGCCTCATTACTGGGTCCACCAGCCCAAGTGGGGACTGAAGCTGTCAGTGGGAGGTTCCAGTCAGGCTGGCTGCTGTATGTAGAGACATGGCTCATTTTGCCAATCTCAGCAACTTGTACTCATCCTTTCAGGTCCACCTCCAAGGCCTCATCCCCTATGATGCCCTCCACAAGCAAAGCCCACAGACCACTGCATCACCATTACACCAGGGGTTCTCTGCAGTGAACAAGTCTGCTTCCCCCACTGGGCCAGAAGCTCTTTGGGGTGGGGGGTGACTGGTTCCCTTATCTGCCATTTGCACAGCCAGCACTGAGCTGGCACATGGTGGGCATCAGTAAGGTGTGCTGGCTGGCTGGCTGCACCCTTCTCCTGGGTCTTTCTCCTCCCCCCACTGCCTTCCTCTAGTACGTGGGCCCCTCTGTTCTCCAGATACATCCTGGCTCATGTCTGTCCAGAAGTTCTTCCCTCCTCCTTGCCCTCGGTTCCACATTTACCACCTTAAGTTCTAATTCATCACATCTTACAGGTCTCTGAAGGCAATAAAAAACAAAACCAAATAGCTAGAGTTTATTGAGCATTAACTACATGCCAAGATCTAGGCTAAGCATTTTATGTATTCATCAAATGATCTCAATGTCTTTGTGAGCTAATTTCTAGCATTATGCTCATTTTATAGATGGGAACATTTAAGATTAAGGTTAAACAACTTGCCTAAGACCACACAGTAGTAAGTTATGAAGGGGAGACTTAAAACTACTTGATTCAAGTTTACACTCTTAAGCAAACTGACCCCCAGTTCCCGCCTTCACCTTCCACATATTTTGTACCTCCCCGCTGGCACCAGTTCCGATGAGCACAACCACAATAATGGTAATAACACTGTCCTGTGGGCGTCTGTGTGTCATCTTCCTTTAGATACATCATCTCTAACCCTCACATTGACCCCACAAGGTTAATAACACTCCCTCCATTTTCCAGGGGCATAAACTGTAGCCAGAGCAGGTAAGTCACTTGCTTCTGTTCATGCTTGTCCCCTGCTCTGTGTTGCCTCCTGTTAATGCTCAATGTGTGGAGGGGGCTCAAAGAGGGCAGAGATCACACTTAGAGATGTACTCTCAGTGTCTCTGACCAGTGCCTCAAACTCACAGGGCACTATCTTTACTCTCTGGAAGGTGTTGGCTCATAGGGGCCCCTGTCACCTTTAACTTCTCTCTGTGTAGGGAACAACCACCATCCTGATTCAGGTTCCCATGTAACTCTGTTTTGGTCTCTGTATATAGAAGAATCTTTCCAATCCAGGACACTGTATGCAGGCTCCCCCCATCCAGGCCCCCCAGTACAGCCAGGCATACTCACCCCCATGCATTCATATTCAGTCCAGGCATCCCACTCAAGTGCCCTAATTATAAATTAGCCACCCACTCAGGCCTCATCTATGGCCTAATAACCACCCCCATTCAGGCTCCGATATATATGCCAATGCCAGGGACCTCAGATGAGGGGGCCAGCGAGCAGACGGAATGGACCCTGCCTAGGCTTCCTTGGGTGTCCCCTTTCAGGCTCAGCAGACTGACCCAAGTGCCATTGTTCCAGCACAGCCTGTGAACCTCCTGAACCACACCAGTCTGAGAGCCTCCCCTCTGTGCCCTCCAGCTCCCACACCCACACGGTCCCCTCGAAGCACCCACGCTGGCACGGGGAGGAGCCCACCCACAGCCAAGCGGCTCCACCTTGTCCTGGGCTCTCCGCACCCACAGACACTGTTTCATCCTGGGCCCATGCCCCAGGGGGCAGGGAGGTGACGGGATTAGGCTCTAGGACTCTATGGAGGTGTGAGGTTGGGGCCACCTCCCCTTGAGTCAGTGAGAACAGAACTTGGGTCCTAGGTAATTATGCTCTTCCCTCCCCTTCCAGGAAGAAAGAGAAAGAGAAATCCCTCCCTCCAACACCAGGCCCAACCAGAAACCTGTCCCCACCCCCTCATCAGCTGCTCGCAGATCCGAATGGGATTTGCAGAAGTCCTAGGCACTGGTGGTTGGTAGGGTGAGGGGAGGGGAGCTTTGATGGTCTGGGGCCTAGAAAGAGAGAGAGAGAGAGTGTGTGTGTAGTGTGTGTGTGTGGCTGGGGGGGGGGGGGGGGTGTCCAAAGCCTCGGGCTGAGGAATGATGGAATGATGTGGCAGGTCCCGGGAGTGCTGGCCTTCAGCCTTCACCTCATTCTCCCCGGGAGAAAGGCCCGGAGAGGCTAGGAAGGAGGACAGCAGGATAAGCAGATTTACTTCTGTCCCCTTCCTCCCAAAATTGGGCTGGGTGGGCTCCAGAGTAGGCCTGGCTGCAGGGGAGGCGGCCCCCTGCCCAGCTCCCGCCCTCGCCCCAAACAATGCCGCCTCCCCCTCCCCCTCGCCTTTATCCGGCGGGTTACTTGGCAGCCGCCGCTAGAGACCTCCCCCACTCCTCCCCTCCCTCCTTGCCGGCCGGCTGCAGCAACAGGCCCTTTGCGCGGCAGCTGGAGGGATGGGGTGGGGGCAAGGTCTGGGCCAGGGCCTTGGTATGGAGGGTGCCAGGGCCTAGGCTTCGGTATGCGGGTCTCCAGGCCTGATAATCTGTACCCCCCAATACACACATTCAGGCTAAGGTCACACACATGACCACCAGGGAGGGTGAGGACAGACACCCCAGCTCAGGAATAGAGGATCTTCAGGGCCTGGAGTGGATCGGGAAGGGTGTGTGGGCGGGCAAGCCGAGGTGGCACTAGGCTGGGGCGGAAGGGTCACCCCAATAACTCTTAAGTGAGGTGCCCGCGGATCCCGCCGCCCAGTGCGTCCCAGCGCCCCGGGTGGGGGAGGGGGCAGCTGTCAGAAGATGCGTCGGTGGCCCCAAGCTGCCGCCGCCGCAGCCTTTATTTTTAAACTTCCAAGTGGTCAGAGGGCGCGGCGGGGAGGGGTCCCCGCCCAGCGGGCCAGCCTCATCCTCGGCCTTTCTGGGGCCCCTCGACCTCTCCCCATCTCGCCTCTGCGTGGCTCCCGCGTACCTGGGGGTGCGTCGGCACCCGGCTCGGCATTTGGGCCGCTCTCCATGGCTGTGGCGTCACTGGGGGGCCTAGGGGTCTCAGGGGCGGCGACGGCGGCGGCCAGCGGCCAGGATAGGGGTCCCGCGGCGCATCACGCCCGGCCCGGCCCGGCGGGCAACGACTCGGAGGCCTGGGCGCTCCGGAGAAGATGGAGGCTGGTTCGGCTGGTGGCCTTGCAAGGCTCGGAGTCGCCGGTCGCCCAGTGTCTGTCGGCTCCGGCCGCGATCCCGCTCCCTGCCCGGCGCCGGCCCAGTCCCGGCCGCGGCCCAACCCTATTGTACCGCCCGGGCTGGGCCTGGCCTCCTCGCTGGCGTGTACCAAGTGCGCTGCGGGGAGGGCCGCTCTCTCAGCGCCTGGGGACAGAGCCGCCGCGCGCCCGCCCCGCCCGCCCCGCCCCTGCCCTGGAGTGCGGGGCCTCGAGCCTGCTGACACTTCTCCTGCGGCCGCGACGGAGGGGACGCCACGGCTCCCGCGGGCCGCGCGTCGAGCTGCCTCCCCCTGCAGCCCCGCGTTGGTACGCGCCGCAGCGCGAGAAGACTATGTAGGGAGCGCTCTGGTGACTCATCCGCTGCTGGAACTGGGGGGAGCCGTTGGGGGCGCCCCCAGTCCCACCGTGGAGCCTGGGAGCTCCGGCTCTGGGCCCTTGGCAGCAGCTTCAAGTCTAAATTCTCTTCCGAACCCCCCTCAAACTCTGCCCGAGGGACGTCGGGAGACCTTACGGAGGGCCACAAGGAGACCCCTGAAAGGGCTATGCTTTCTGTCCCGGGTGATGGCTGGAATGGGGAGAGGCCCGGGAGCCTTGCTGCTGACCTTTCTGCAGCATCCTACGGTTGGCATCTCCCCTGCTCCTCTGGGGAAGCTATAGGCCTGCACGGATGCTTTATGCAAGTCTAATCTGCTGGGGCTCTCTCGGCTCCAAGCCGGGTGGTCCTGGCTCTGAACCTTCCCACTCCCATCAGAGGACCTCTCCAATCTCCCAGGAAGGATTTTCTCCCCTGTAGCCTGTTAAGGAAGGAGTAAACCCCTTCCGACTTCCCCCAAGTAGCCATGCTTCCCAGCCCTCCGGAGTGGTACCCAAATCCCCTTGTTAGTGTCATCAGAGGTGGGGCCTCAAGCCAAGTCAGGCCCAGCCTGGACAGCTAGAGTGGGGGGCTTGCTGGGAATGTGGATCGATGCTGGTGCTTCAGGGATTGACAGTGGAGAGGAAGGAGGAGGTGCAGCTGGGCCCTGCCACCCCCTCCCTGCCCTTTGTCCTGACTTTGAGAAGGTCAGTTCTCTAGTTCTCCATTGTCCAGAGATTAGGCCCAGTGAGATGCTGTCCTGCCCCCCATTCCCGCCAGCGTCTGCTTCCTTTGAGCAGCTCCTGAGAACAGCCATTTTAAGAGGGAGGGTGGAGAACAAAAGGGTCTGGGTCCCAGGCAACCTGAGAGTAGTTTGTCCTGGGAGGAGTGAGTAGTTCGGAGTCTGAATACTCTTGGAAGGGCCCCTGGGGAGGGAATAGTGTCCCCTCTGGCTCAAAACTCATTAGAAAAGGATGATGGAAGGCCTGCAACCAGCGCTGGTATCCTTAAGCTAATGTCCTAACTTTTCTGAAACTCGGTTTGAATACCTATAAAATCAGGAAAAACAAAGTACCATAAGGTATCATGGGGTCATTATAAAGGTTAAATAAGGAAGTGGAGAGGAAGTGTTTAATGAATAAGGATAATGATGGTGATGGGTAATCTGCTTCAAAAGTAAAAGTAAATTAGGAGGAGGAGCAGATCCCCCAATCACTGTCATCAGCCATCCATCCGCAGAGTGATGGCACCATGTGGGTGATGGAATCCACGACTATCCTGTGTGATATCAGAGGCTTCAGCATGTGCATCTTCCAGAGCTGAACAGGCCCCACACTGAGCCAGGCAGTGACTAGACTCAGAAATCATGAACAAAATCCAACAGAGGAGAGCCCTCTGGGATGGTTCTTCTCTTTCCTCTGTCTGTGGTCTTGAGGTTACTAAAGAGACAAAGACATATAAGTAGGGAATAGTGAGATACCCTCACTGGCTAGAGCTCAAGAATAGTCAGGAGGGAAGTGGTAGCTAAAGATGAAAAAACAGGCCAGGAATGGCTTCTATAGGAGGATCTGAATGCCAACTGACATGATCTGCATGATGTAGTGGACAGTGGAGCTGTTGAAGGTTCTTGGAAAGGGGAAGGGTGAGGAGTCTTTTAGAACTGTAAATCCTCTATTGTGTCTAATGATCTGGGGTTGACTCTAGGAACTCACTGCAGAGACACAGTGATGTATTCGTCTACATCAGTGGTTCTCAACCAGAGGCATTTTTGTTCCCCAGGGGACATTTGGCAATATCTAGAGGCACTTTTGGTTGTCACAACTGAGGGTATTACTGGCCAGAGGTGCTGTTTAACATGCCACAACGTACAGGGCCACCCCAGAGCCTAGTCACTGGACCCAAAATGTCAGTGGTGCCAAGGATGAGGAACCATTCTCCAGACTGAGGTGGAGGCACCTGCACTCCCTCACAAGACCACAAGACGCTACCAGCAGGGCATCTGGGGGGTTAGGCAATGTGACAGTTTTCCTGGCCAGTCCCAGAAGGCTTCCCAGTTGATGGGTCCATGGTAAGTCCTGGGGGGATGACTGAGGGGGAGCCAGGAAAGTACCAGTGTCCTGTGACTGATTACATTGGAGTGAATAGGTGGATTCTCTCCTAAATTCTTCCCACTTCTCTCCCGATTGACCAGGATCCCAGGCACATTCCAGGCTCCAGCAACTTAAAGGATTTAGAGTAGGTGTCTCTCTTTGGGTTTGGGACTGGGTAACACTGCCTGGGGACCCCTCAAGACCCCCTGAATATTATATCCCAGAAAAGAAGCAAGTGGGGACATTTGCAACGGGCTGACGCTCCAACAGAACATCCCACCCTCTTCTGTGAGGGGCAGGGACTTCTGTCATTGCCTTCCCTACTGCCCAGGGCAATCACCTCCCCCTCCACGGAAACAGGCAGGAATGAGCCATTAACCACATGGCTGGGCTGAGGCTAGGGAGCAGATCACTGAATGGGGATCAGAAACATACCCCTTTCCTGCTATCCTTAGGGGGAGTCCAGGAGCAAAAGCATTTGTAACCTCCCAGGTTTGGTGGTGCAGGGTCCAGGATGAACCCAATGGAGCCGTGAAGGAAATCACTCGGAGAACTGACACAAAGATATAAATCAGGACAGAGGCCCTGGAGGCCACCTACACACCACAAAGTAGGAAGTGGGAGGGGCCTCATGGTGGGGGCAGCAGAGATAGCAGACACCAGATTCTAACTTCCACCCCACCCCCATGGCACTGTATTGCAAAGGAAGGGGTCACTAACCCAGACACCCTCTTGGGAAACCATAGCTTCCAGGGCTCACTCCCTGGGGTTGGGGGTGGGAAAGTCCTCAAGGGACTGTGGCAACACCAGCTGCAATAAGGCCTTCCTCCCTCCAGCTCTAGGGGAGGGGTGAGGGAGGAATTGGTGGGGGAGGAACCCAGTTTCAGAATTAAATACGTTTAACCTTTTGGGTTCCTGGGAGGGGGTCCTTGTTTAGAGTCCCTGCTAGGGATGGGAAGCTGTGTTCTTTTTCCAGGAAGAAGGAGATGAGGATGGGGAAGGGGTGCCTAGTGTCCCTAAGGGTCCTGGCCCTAGGGGATGGTGGAGAGGGACTGGGATTTGGGAATGTTAGGAGCTGTACTGAGAGCTCTTGGAGCAGCTGTCTACGGAGTCTTTAAGTCCCCATCTGGACACGAAAGACACCCAATAGATCAGCCTGAGACGAACCCCACCCCCTCCCTAATTCAGGACTGACGCTGCCGCAAGGAGTCCCAAAGGAGAAGACGCCGAAAGGAAGAATCACAGGCAGAGAGAGGAAGAATCTCAGAGTTTCTGAGGCAGGCAGGGAGAGGCTCCGCCTCCAGTCTCTCCAGAACCACCCTGCCTGACAGCAGGCTGGGTGGGGTCGGGTGGCTGGCTGTGACTGTGACTCAGGTTTCTGTGGGCAGCCAAGGGCAGCCAGCAGGGAGGAGCCCGGACCGACAGGCCAGCCAGCTGCAGCTTTCACCTCAGCTGTCCTCTCTCCTGGGAATGCAGTAGGTTCTTCTCTGTGCTGGCTTCTAGGAGCTAGCAGACCCCTGCTCATACCCCCTCAATGGACTCTCATGTTCCTTCCCAGAACCCTCAGCCACAGCACTGACAGGTCACCGCCTCTAGGGAAGCCCCAGAATGTCTGTGCCACAGAGAGAAGGGTATAATAACGACTGGCCCTGCCTCTTGGAGGCAAGACTAGGGGAATCCTGGGTACTGGCTTTCAGCCTGAGCAGCCTGGGCCCCCCAGCCTTCCCTAGCCTGGCTGGCTCATGTCTGGGCAGGCTGGTTGTCATGGTGAAGGATAGGGACGAGAATGCAGCTGCTGCAGAGTCAGGCTACCAGGCCTAAGTGAGGAGAGGGTGCTAAGGGACTTCCAGCCCAGCCCTCTCAAAATTGGTCAGCTACGGAAGGATGGCTGGAGCTGAAACCAAAGAGCTATGATCAGGGACTGCAGGACTTCCCCTTGGTGATGGGTGAGGGTGTTGCCAGCATATTTCCTTGGTGTTTGTTGGGCTGTGTTTTTAGAGAGTGGCTGGAAGGGAGTACACATTTACTTTGTGTCCAAGTGCTCTACATAATGAGGAGATCCCGCAACTTGTCTAAAAATGGTAAAGCTAGGATTAAAACCCAGGACTGGCTACAACCAACGCCTGTTGATCTTTGCTTTCTGGGAGCCAGGCACTATAGTTATTCAAGGGATGGGAGCAAGAGAAAGTGACCTGAACTTTCTCTACAGACTGAATAGTCCATCACGAGGTCACAGTGGTAGGATGCATGTGCTGGCTGCATTTGGTGTTTGGGGATGGCAGTTGGGAGAGAGAGAGTGAAATGCTTGGCACATAGTAGGTGGTCATTAAATATTTCTGTAATGAAGAAGCCAGATCTATGAACCATGGCTAGTTTTCTGGGACCTCCTGCTAGTTTCTGGCTCTGAAGTGCAGCAACAGCAGAAGGAGCTAGTTAGAAAGAGGGACTTTCCAAGGCTAATCCCAAGGGAGGAATTTGCACAGCATCTTTGAGTCGGGGTGCAGGAGCGGGCTGAAGGTGGTGGGCGAGTGTGGCTGATACATGATTAGCGCAAGCTGCGGACGCCACCCAGCGGCCAGAAGGCAGCCCACGGAAAAACCGGCTCTACGAGTCAGGCGCCGCGGAGCACTCTGGGATTTGTAGTCTGGATGCACTAATGGAAGATTCTGCCAACGGGGCTGTTGGATGTTGTAGTCCGACGTTTACTGGGTGGTAATTACCCTCTTCGGCTGGACCACGAGTCCCATGGTGCCCCGCGACAGGCCGCGCAGGCGCGGTGAGTTGGGGCCGGTCGGTCTCCGAGGCTGAGGGGCTGGGACTCGGTCGAACACGGGGTCGCCGAGTGTCCCTGTTACGAGGTGTCCGGCACCATGTCGAGACAGGCGAACCGTGGCACAGAGAGCAAGAAAATGGTAACTCGGAGCATGTGACCTCGGCAGGCGGGGCGGGATGGAGGCGTTCTGGGGAAGGGGCCCGGTGCGGGGCGGGAGGCGGGAGGCGCAATTGGGAAAGGGCCCTCCTGTGAGCAATTGTTGGGGGGTTCTGCAGGAAAGAAGGGGGTGCCTACTTGGCGGGTCAAGAGGGGCAAGTCACTCCGGGGCGTGAAGCAGGTTGGAGGGCCCCTGGAGTAACTCGGAGACCCTCTCCTCCGAGGCCTCAGTGCAGCTGTGTGCTAGACCAACGACGGCGGAAAGAGCAGTGACTACCATGTTCTTGTGTGTTAGGCACTGAGCCATGAACTTTACATACGTTATCTCATTTAATTCGTAAAGTAACTCTCTCAGGTGGATGTTATCGCCATTTTACATCTCAGAGAGGTTACATCGATTTGGCCAAATGTATAGTTAGGGAGAGTGAAGATTTGAAAAAATCTAACTACAAAGTTAATGTTTCAGATTACTAGGCGATACTGCCTCACACTTTGACATGGGCATTGTAAGAGATACTCAGATACTGGTCTTGCTAGAAAGGAACTTTCTATTCGGTGGAGTAAGAGGTAGGCCAGAGTAGGTAGTAAGTGGTGCCCCTCTAGTGAGTGAGGGGGGTGTCCCTTCTTGTCCTGGAAATAGTGGACACCATATGATCCATAAAGTTTGGCTGCAGATGGCGGCTGCGGCTGGAAAGTAAGGTAGATAACATTTTTCTCCAAACTAAGGGGACTTCTTGGCATTTATTCCTTTTCTCTGGCATATTCTTACCTCCTCCAGAATTGTCCACACACAGTCTTTGTTTTCCCATTTAAAACCTTCAGTATCCAAGGTTGGGTTGCATGCTGTGCAGATCAGGGGCCCTTTGTTGGCATTCAGTTCTAGAGGGGCATCACACACCTGGAACCACCACCGAAAATGGGCTGTAGAAGGCCCCATTACTCTAGAGCAGTACTTAACTTTTATTCTCTTTTGCTGATGAGAGCTATGGATCTTCTTCCCAGAATTTTAAATAGACAAACATATACAGACATTTACTTATGTTTTGGAAGGGTTTGTGGACTCCCTGAAGATACTGCATGCATCACAGATTAAGACAGATGAAGAATTCCTATTTTTCGAGAAAAAAACCAAAGTTTAAAAGAAGAAAAAAAAAAGTGTTTTGTTAGGAAACAATGTCATGTAAGGAGAAAGGTATGGGAGTTGTTGGAAATCTGTCTTACTCCATTGATCTTCAGTTTCCTTGATTATAAAATGCGGCAGTAATGCCTACCTAAAATTAAATGAGGTAACTGAAATGTACAGGCATGGTAAATGTTTGTTTCCTTCTTCTTTTACCAAGAGATGAGCAGATATGTCTTCCTGCTTAGTTTTACTATGTTGTTTGCTCTTTATACATTTTTACTCTAAATCAATATTGAAATCTGTAATACCACTTTTTAACAGGAATCTGCAGGCTTCACTCTGAACCCCCAATATTCGTTCAGCTCTGGTGAAGTGAGGGAATTAGGGAGGCACAACAGCAGCCTGCCTCAAGGCTTTGGCAACTGCTGGTGTTTCTGCTTGGAACTTCCTTCCCCAGAGAGTAACCCTAACCCTAACCCAGCTATTCATTCACAGTTACTCAAACATCTCACCCTCCGAGAGGCCTTTCCTGACCATCTGATTCGTTCTCTATCCTCTCACTCTGTTTTTCTTCATAGCACTATTTCATCTTAAATATTTCATTGTAAATGCCATATTTACTTGTTTATTTCCAGAATCCCCCATGAGAAGGTAAACTGAACGGGAGTAGGGATTTGTTTTGTTCCCTGCTTCATTCCCAGCATCTAGAATGATGCTTGGCACTAGGGAATCTATTTTGAATGAATGACATGAAGGTTTGGTTCATCCTTTATTCAGTCCCTACCGGTGCCTACTTGGGGCCTATCACGTGATCCTCTCTGGCTACCTGGCTTTTTCATGCTCTTCTCTCTGTTTGGGGAGTTCCCACCTATAGGAGCCCTGTTCCTTCAGCTGATTGCTGTGTTCCCATTTAATCAGCCCAACCTTCAGCTGATCGCTGTGTTCCCATTTAAGCCTCCCAACATGTAAATCGTTATATGCCCAGGTAATTAGATCTCTGCTTTTAGTCTCTGCAAACAGAAACAGACCATTTGTCTAGCAGACTTTTCCTGAGCCCCAGCTGTATGCAAAGTTCTGTTCTAGGTGGTGTGGGAAATGTAGAAATAAAGTCCTAGTCCCTGACCTTGAGAAACACATATGCTGTGAAAAGGGCAGAAAAGTATGCAATACAGGATACAAATTTGTCTGAGAATGAGTCCTGGCTTCACTGCTTCTTGCTGTGTGTCCTTGGGCAAGTTACTTCATCATTCTAAGCATCATTTTCAGCATCTTTAAAACATAATTTAAGAAAGGTAATAATAGTATCTATATCATAGGGTTGTTCTGAGGATTGGTTGAGGTATTGCAGGTAAAACTAGCAATGTGATGGGGCACCTACAAACACAGTTGACACTCAGTAAATGTTGCAAGCTCCTTTATTAGTAAAGCTGTTAGCCTTTGTGTGTCTGTATAGTGTTTGGTTCTTGAATCCTGTGGACAGTCAGGCCTGCCCTTCTTTTGTGTTGTGTTACTAGTAACCCAACCCCAGTAGCTCTGTTCTGCAGAGCTCAGGTGAGTTTCTTCCTAAGTAGCAGCACTCAGTCTCCACGAAAGGAGGCTAGAGGGTAAGAGAGAGGGATGAACTCAGTCCTGTTACTGACCTTCCTTCCCCAGCTGCTAGGGGCAGGGAAGGGGCAGTCACACTGGATTACTTTCATTGACAAAAATAATAAAGGTGACTCTCGGAGCACTAGCTGTAAAGATCAGCCCCCTTAAGGAGATGTGTTATTTTGTTTGGGGGCACTAACTGAAAAGTTTTCTTTTCTGAAAACCATCAACTGCAGTAGCTCACCTGAGTGTAGGGCTTGGCTTAACTTCCTCTGCTCAGGTTGTGCCTGCTGTACTTGGAGATCATATTGGTTATCCCAATATTAAGCCATTCCTGTGGTTTCTTGGTTTGCATGGTGTCGTTTAAGTCCATTATCTCATTAGATCCTCCCAACAACCCTGTGATTGGCATGACAGATTTTACTGTTACCATTTTTGTGTGAGGAGATTGGGATTCAGCAAAGTGAAGTGGCTTACCTGAAGTCTCAGAGCTAGTGATGGCAAGTCCAGACTCAGGATCAGGTCTTCCAGCTACAAACCCAGTATTATTTCTGTATGACTGACTGTTACAAAATTCTTTCTGTTGATTTAAAATCTCCTTCTGTGAGCCTAGTTCCATGTGCTCTTTGGCACCACACTATAGAAGACCAGTCTAAGAATAAAAATAAAACCTACTTCTTGAGTAGGTACTGTGCAGCATGTACGGCACAAATGATATCTCCTTGGAATCCCACAGTAACCCTGAAGGGTAGAGAATATTGTCATCTCTGTGCAGATGGGAAAAACTGATGTTCAGGGAGATTAAGCAATGGCTTAGGATCACACAGCTTTTTATAGGACAGTGCTCAACTTTAAGACTGAGTCTCAGTTACTTAACCTGGTGCCTGTAAGTGGGAATGAAATGTTTGTTCTGCTAACCTCTCAGGGTTGTTATGAGGATCGATGAGGGACTGTGAAGATATTCTGAAAGTTTTACAAATGTTCATGACATTATTATTAAGCATAAAGTAATTTGAAAGTAGAAGCATTGGGAGAATGTGGTGCGTATGTTCAGTGAAGAAATCGGATCAGCTGAATTAGCTGACCTTAAAGATTCCATGGACCCTCTTGTCATGAGGGTCACAACACCTGAACACCTGGGTCTTCAGACTCTACAACCTTCTGTCACCCTGTGACTTCTTCTGTTCCCTCTTTTGTTTCCTCCTCTCTCTTCACACTGGTCTAGCTTTTTCTCACATGTGGCGACATTTCTCAAATATGGCTCCTACCTTGGGACCTTTGCATTTGTTGCCTAGAATTTTTTCACCCTGGTATTTTCATGGCTTACCCTTGCTTCCTTCAGGTGTTTGCACAAATACCACCATAACAGGCCTTGTCTAACTACCATATTCAAAACTGACACCCCCTCCTCCCACATGTACGTGAATATAAATACCCTCTAATTTCCTTGTATGCTTATTTTTCTCCTTAACACTTCCTATCATCTGGCAAACCATACATTTTATTTATTCAGTTTATTTTCTGTCTCCCTCCTATTAGATAGTCCCAGGTATGTGGTAAACATTGAATGAATGATTTTTTTTCTATACCACAACCCTACTCCTATTTTTAAAGTATGAAGATCTTTGAGTTGTGTATATATGTCAGACACTGTTCCAGATAGGCTTATTTCATAATTGAAGATGTAGACAGACTTGTAGATTAAGAGAGGGCCTGGAGAGCTGGCCTCAAGGATCCCATTGCCAGATTCCAGGCATACTGATTCTGTGACGAGTTTTTGGTTTTTTTTTATTGGTAAACTGGAGGCTGTTGCATGTATAAGGTGCTTAGTGATATCATGATATTCATGTTAACTTGGCATCATGGTGGGCTGAGGCTTTTGGAGTTTCCATCCAAGGGCTCATTAATAATGGAAGGAAAGCTCTCCTGATTTAATGCAGTAGTGCCAACTCTATGGACTGGTAACTGCTGGATTGTCTCCATCCATTCATGGCCCAGCCATTCTAGTGCCAAACCCTTAACTTTACTAAAAAATAATTGTCCGCCTTAATAGCTTCCCCTTAGTTGCTGTATTTGATAAATGGTCTCTGGGAGACACCTTGCTGACTGGTTTAGTTTAGTTCAAAGAGCATTCTGATTCTAAAACTGATTCTCTTTGACTTCCTAGTGCCACTAAGTTTGTTTTTTTAGGGGAGGTATTGATACTGCTGTTGTGGGAAATAGTGGACAGAATGAACATTGGCTTGGAAACTCTTGTTTTTTTCCCCGAAAATTACTTTTTTCAATAATTAGCTGCCCAAGGACAAATTATGTAACTGTTCTGAGTCTTAGTTTCCTCATTGCTAAAATAAGATAAATTCCTGCCTTTTCTTCTTTACAGAGTTATTGGGAGGTGTAAAATGAGATGATGAAAAATAAAATGCAGTATGTAAGCAAAAGGCACTCACAAAATTACTCTTGAAGTGACCTCATCACCAGGCCATGGGTCCTGAGCGCCTGGGCCTTAGCATTACTTGGACTTTGTTCCCCAGAAGACTTAAAGACAGAAAGGTGCTCCGCTCCAAGTTTGACAAGGCTTCATTCAGAAGGGTGGGGTCAGCCTTATTTCTGTGGGAATGCTTTGGCCCAAATGTACCATTAATATTTCTCAGTTTGTTTAACTCTGATAATACTTCCCATACCCCCGCTGCTTTCATTCTGTAGTCTTGATATTTGCCATTCCTTTTATCTTTTATGTCTCTTTGTTTCTTAATAGGTAGGTGACAGGATTCTTTATCTAAGAAAGACTGTGTGTGATTTGAACTGTGGTTGTATAGATACCACTCCAGGTCAGTATTATGTTCCAGGTAAATGAAGCAGTGTCTTCCTTTCAGAGTTACTGCCTTTCGGAAACATTTTAGTTATGTGTCAAGAGAAACATTATTTTTTCCCATGCTGGTGACTTAGGAGAGGGGTTATCAATGTAATGGACTTTGCCTAGGACTTTCTTCCTTCCCTGTGGACCAGACCCCTGGGTTGTCTGTTGCTCCTGGGTGGGGTCCTGGAAGTGCAAGTTAATCTGTAGGCCAGGACAGTCCGGACATTCTAAGGCATGGGGAAGCCATTGCTCACCCTTGCTGGTCATACACAGGCTAATTTGTAAGTGTCTGACTTGGGTCTTTCACAGTATCCAGTGAATGACTGCTGCTGCCACACCAAATGCTGGTGACCCAGGCTTGGGCTTGGCAGCTGTGGTGGGTCCTGGATTGGCAGAAGCCCACCTTGGCATGTTGGAAGAGTGACTGCTCCGTGTATGAGGTGCCTTTTACAGCCCACTTTATAGTAGCTGGCTGTGGCCCTGCCATGTTGATCCTGGGGAGCCAAATTACTTGGCTCCTCCACAGAGGTGAGGGGTGATGTTCTTTCCACCAGGCACAGGTGACCTTCTTTTGAATCCTGACAGTTGCCTCGAGGCCACTCCACACTCTCACCAAACTTTCTCTGGATGGCTTGGTCCTGATTGCCTTTTGAATCTCTTTTAGAGCTCTGAGCTCTTCACCCTGACCTATGGGGCTCTGGTCACCCAGCTGTGCAAGGACTATGAAAATGATGAAGATGTGAATAAACAGCTGGACAAAATGTGAGTAAACTCCTATGGGAGAGACAAGAAGGGGGCTCTCTGGCACTGTGATTCTACGTGGTCCCTTAGAGCCCAGAACATAACCAATATTTTGGGTACAGTTTGCCACTGAGCTCATTTATTGGAGGGATTTGGGATCATGCCCATTTCCCTTTACCACCAACATACTTGTGTTCAGACCCCATAATGCTGGTTGTTCTTTCATTTCTTTTCCAGGGGCTATAACATTGGAGTCCGACTGATTGAAGATTTCTTGGCAAGGTCAAATGTCGGGAGGTGCCATGACTTTCGGGAAACTGCAGATGTCATTGCCAAGGTCATTATCGTAGGCCACCTGGTCATCCTGAAGGACTGTCATTGGGAGGCACTGCTGACCACTCACTCCATCTCCCTTAGAGAGGCCCTTAGTATTCCAAAAGCCTAGTTAGGCATCCTTTGGGCCAAAGAAGCCTTCCTGGTGGTTTAGGACTAGCACAGATGATGGAAAGGGAAGGATGGTTAGGGTCATCCTGTGGATGAAAGCCCACCAAAATCAAAGCCAAATCTTGACTGTGAAGAGTAGCAGAGGAGCATGGGGGTTAAGGATACAGGGTTTGGACTGCCACAAACCTGGCTTCCAAACTGGCTCTAATAGATAGTTCTTAGGTAAGTTACTCTTAACCTCTTTAATTACCAGTTACCTCATATTTTAAATGAAGAAAGTAAGAGCTACTTCACAGGTTTGTTGTGAGGAATAAACGAAATAACCTGAATATTCGGGGAAGATTAATGCACTTAACGTAGTGTACACATAGTAAATGTTTGCTTAGTGATATTAGTGTTATGTGTTACAGGGTTAATAATAAATGAAGACACCTATAACTTTGTGGTGCCTCTTACCTAAAGGTTGATTCTTTCTGTTGTAGAACATGTTGGCCATGCCCAAACCCTAGAGCAGTGGAGAGTGTGCTTTGTGAAGGTTTGGAATTAGGAGGGTGGATAGATGGATGTCTTCAGACCTGTATTGTATTGGCTTTCGGGAAGAAGAGCCCAGATAGCACAGAGGACAGGGAAGTGGGTTGTGGCCCGTCTGTGCTCAGATGTTGGCTCAGGGCAGCCATGCTTGTCAGAAGATCAGTGTTTCCTTCCATTACGGAGTGGAGGTGGACAGCAAGTTGTTGCCTGATGGTGTGATGGCTTGAGGGAGGGGGGTGTGGAACTGTGCGCAGATGCTTTTCCTTTTTTGCCCTGAACACATAAAGCTTCAGTGTCTCGCAGAGGCCACAGTTCTGTTCTGGAGCCCCTAAAGTCCTTTGCTGGTCCTGTCTCCTTCCCAGTTGTGCCTTCTCTGCCACACGTCCCCACAGTGCTGGTATGTGTCTTCTCACAGGTGGCATTCAAGATGTACTTGGGCATCACGCCAAGTATCACCAATTGGAGCCCCGCTGGTGACGAGTTCTCCCTCATTTTGGAAAATAACCCTTTGGTGGACTTTGTGGAGCTTCCTGATAACCACTCATCTCTTATTTATTCCAATCTCTTGTGTGGGGTGTTACGAGGAGCCTTGGAGATGGTGAGTGCAGCTCTTTACCTTCTGGGATACCTGAAATGGGAGTAGGGGCTTGATAAATGTTTGAATGAATGAGTGAGAGAAAAGAAAGGCCTTTGGCTCAGCCCAGCACTTTTCTGCTGAGCTGGGATCCAAGCTGGGCATCGCTGCCTGGTTTGATTCTTCCTACTGGGCTGGGAGGTGGTGCTGTCAGCCCCAAAACTCAGGAGCATCCATTCCGGATTGACTTATTTGATGACAGTCTCATTTGTGGATGTTCTTTGCTAAGTCTTCTACAAGGGGGCATTGAAACTGGCAATCTTGTGCTTGTGGGAAACCAGTTCCCTTGTTTTGGCTTCTCAGATGAGTCATTACAGCTCTATCCTCAGTGGTTCCCCAGATGCTGTGGGTAGGTAGCTGCCCCTTCATTTACCCACTGTCCCCCAGGTTCAGATGGCTGTGGAGGCCAAGTTTGTCCAGGACACCCTGAAAGGAGATGGTGTGACAGAAATCCGGATGAGGTTCATCAGGCGAATTGAGGACAATCTCCCAGCTGGAGAGGAGTGACCGTCTCCGGGACTTGAGGGTAGCCATCAGGAGCACTTGGTGGCATCAGAAAGCCCCAGTGTTCCCTCTGCCCTCTAGAACTCAGTGACTCTTTAACATGGATGTTATCTATTCTTCTAGCCTTGTTTCCATTTTCCATGCTAATAAAGAGCAGACTGTGATACAGTCCATTCACCCCATAAGTGTGCACATTCAGGAGGGAAATTCTTCGCTCCCTTTCCCTCCCCGCTGCTTTCATTCTGTAGTCTTGATATTTGCCATTCCTTTTATCTTTTATGTCTCTTTGTTTCTTAATAGGTAGGTGACAGGATTCTTTATCTAAGAAAGACTGTGTGTGATTTGAACTGTGGTTGTATAGATACCACTCCAGGTCAGTATTATGTTCCAGGTAAATGAAGCAGTGTCTTCCTTTCAGAGTTACTGCCTTTCGGAAACATTTTAGTTATGTGTCAAGAGAAACATTATTTTTTCCCATGCTGGTGACTTAGGAGAGGGGTTATCAATGTAATGGACTTTGCCTAGGACTTTCTTCCTTCCCTGTGGACCAGACCCCTGGGTTGTCTGTTGCTCCTGGGTGGGGTCCTGGAAGTGCAAGTTAATCTGTAGGCCAGGACAGTCCGGACATTCTAAGGCATGGGGAAGCCATTGCTCACCCTTGCTGGTCATACACAGGCTAATTTGTAAGTGTCTGACTTGGGTCTTTCACAGTATCCAGTGAATGACTGCTGCTGCCACACCAAATGCTGGTGACCCAGGCTTGGGCTTGGCAGCTGTGGTGGGTCCTGGATTGGCAGAAGCCCACCTTGGCATGTTGGAAGAGTGACTGCTCCGTGTATGAGGTGCCTTTTACAGCCCACTTTATAGTAGCTGGCTGTGGCCCTGCCATGTTGATCCTGGGGAGCCAAATTACTTGGCTCCTCCACAGAGGTGAGGGGTGATGTTCTTTCCACCAGGCACAGGTGACCTTCTTTTGAATCCTGACAGTTGCCTCGAGGCCACTCCACACTCTCACCAAACTTTCTCTGGATGGCTTGGTCCTGATTGCCTTTTGAATCTCTTTTAGAGCTCTGAGCTCTTCACCCTGACCTATGGGGCTCTGGTCACCCAGCTGTGCAAGGACTATGAAAATGATGAAGATGTGAATAAACAGCTGGACAAAATGTGAGTAAACTCCTATGGGAGAGACAAGAAGGGGGCTCTCTGGCACTGTGATTCTACGTGGTCCCTTAGAGCCCAGAACATAACCAATATTTTGGGTACAGTTTGCCACTGAGCTCATTTATTGGAGGGATTTGGGATCATGCCCATTTCCCTTTACCACCAACATACTTGTGTTCAGACCCCATAATGCTGGTTGTTCTTTCATTTCTTTTCCAGGGGCTATAACATTGGAGTCCGACTGATTGAAGATTTCTTGGCAAGGTCAAATGTCGGGAGGTGCCATGACTTTCGGGAAACTGCAGATGTCATTGCCAAGGTCATTATCGTAGGCCACCTGGTCATCCTGAAGGACTGTCATTGGGAGGCACTGCTGACCACTCACTCCATCTCCCTTAGAGAGGCCCTTAGTATTCCAAAAGCCTAGTTAGGCATCCTTTGGGCCAAAGAAGCCTTCCTGGTGGTTTAGGACTAGCACAGATGATGGAAAGGGAAGGATGGTTAGGGTCATCCTGTGGATGAAAGCCCACCAAAATCAAAGCCAAATCTTGACTGTGAAGAGTAGCAGAGGAGCATGGGGGTTAAGGATACAGGGTTTGGACTGCCACAAACCTGGCTTCCAAACTGGCTCTAATAGATAGTTCTTAGGTAAGTTACTCTTAACCTCTTTAATTACCAGTTACCTCATATTTTAAATGAAGAAAGTAAGAGCTACTTCACAGGTTTGTTGTGAGGAATAAACGAAATAACCTGAATATTCGGGGAAGATTAATGCACTTAACGTAGTGTACACATAGTAAATGTTTGCTGTTAGTGATATTAGTGTTATGTGTTACAGGGTTAATAATAAATGAAGACACCTATAACTTTGTGGTGCCTCTTACCTAAAGGTTGATTCTTTCTGTTGTAGAACATGTTGGCCATGCCCAAACCCTAGAGCAGTGGAGAGTGTGCTTTGTGAAGGTTTGGAATTAGGAGGGTGGATAGATGGATGTCTTCAGACCTGTATTGTATTGGCTTTCGGGAAGAAGAGCCCAGATAGCACAGAGGACAGGGAAGTGGGTTGTGGCCCGTCTGTGCTCAGATGTTGGCTCAGGGCAGCCATGCTTGTCAGAAGATCAGTGTTTCCTTCCATTACGGAGTGGAGGTGGACAGCAAGTTGTTGCCTGATGGTGTGATGGCTTGAGGGAGGGGGGTGTGGAACTGTGCGCAGATGCTTTTCCTTTTTTGCCCTGAACACATAAAGCTTCAGTGTCTCGCAGAGGCCACAGTTCTGTTCTGGAGCCCCTAAAGTCCTTTGCTGGTCCTGTCTCCTTCCCAGTTGTGCCTTCTCTGCCACACGTCCCCACAGTGCTGGTATGTGTCTTCTCACAGGTGGCATTCAAGATGTACTTGGGCATCACGCCAAGTATCACCAATTGGAGCCCCGCTGGTGACGAGTTCTCCCTCATTTTGGAAAATAACCCTTTGGTGGACTTTGTGGAGCTTCCTGATAACCACTCATCTCTTATTTATTCCAATCTCTTGTGTGGGGTGTTGCGAGGAGCCTTGGAGATGGTGAGTGCAGCTCTTTACCTTCTGGGATACCTGAAATGGGAGTAGGGGCTTGATAAATGTTTGAATGAATGAGTGAGAGAAAAGAAAGGCCTTTGGCTCAGCCCAGCACTTTTCTGCTGAGCTGGGATCCAAGCTGGGCATCGCTGCCTGGTTTGATTCTTCCTACTGGGCTGGGAGGTGGTGCTGTCAGCCCCAAAACTCAGGAGCATCCATTCCGGATTGACTTATTTGATGACAGTCTCATTTGTGGATGTTCTTTGCTAAGTCTTCTACAAGGGGGCATTGAAACTGGCAATCTTGTGCTTGTGGGAAACCAGTTCCCTTGTTTTGGCTTCTCAGATGAGTCATTACAGCTCTATCCTCAGTGGTTCCCCAGATGCTGTGGGTAGGTAGCTGCCCCTTCATTTACCCACTGTCCCCCAGGTTCAGATGGCTGTGGAGGCCAAGTTTGTCCAGGACACCCTGAAAGGAGATGGTGTGACAGAAATCCGGATGAGGTTCATCAGGCGAATTGAGGACAATCTCCCAGCTGGAGAGGAGTGACCGTCTCCGGGACTTGAGGGTAGCCATCAGGAGCACTTGGTGGCATCAGAAAGCCCCAGTGTTCCCTCTGCCCTCTAGAACTCAGTGACTCTTTAACATGGATGTTATCTATTCTTCTAGCCTTGTTTCCATTTTCCATGCTAATAAAGAGCAGACTGTGATACAGTCCATTCACCCCATAAGTGTGCACATTCAGGAGGGAAATTCTTCGCTCCCTTTCCCTTCAAAGGGGCTGGATGTAGTCCTCCTTGGCTGGACTCGAAAGAGTTTAACCATTTTACATTCCTGTTTGAATTTTCCAAAGCAAAACTCACTTTGACCCCATTAAGAAGCAAGCCTAGCCCAACTATTCCTGGACCTTCAAGAAGCCATTGGTAAATGGCAACAGGGAATCCAGGGTTGTGGGACGTGGGAGGAGAGGCTGGAGGAGGGACCTGCTAGCTGTAGTGTGACACACTCTAATGCTTGCCAGGAAAGGAGCCAGTCGTGCTGGGAAACACTTCTGGGAAGCCACCCAGATCTCTCATTCCTCCCAGCTGTTTGGAGGCAACATCTCCTCTTTTTACAGAGGGTCCATCCTTTTTTCTTAAAAATTCTTCAATAAAGACACATTCTTGAGTAAAATCTCAATCATGTCCTGTTTTCTTTCTGCTCAGCCCTGGGAATTTTATGACAGTGGGGTGAGGAGACCAGCTAAGTTCCTGGCCCTGCTCTAGGATTTTACATGATCTAGGATTGGCTTCTGCCCATAGGTGAGAGAGTCTGGGAAACCTGGGAGCAAATGAAGCTCCTTCAGGGTCATTTTTGGGTTTTCTGTCTATAGCAAAATCTAGAAGTAGACCATTATCCCAGAGGCACTGGAAATGGACTCCTTTGGTCTCTTGGCTACTGAATTGGAAAGTTTGGCTAGAAAGACCATTTTAATTAAGGCCTGGTGTTGAGGTGCCATTTGAGTGCTTACCACGTGTCAGACATTTTACTGAATATATAGTAATTCCACTTTTAGAGGGAAGGCCACAAGTTGTCCGAGATGAGACAGCTAGTGAGTGGAGGAGAGGGTAAGGGTTCAAAGCCCCCACCACTGCAAAGCCCATGGTTTCATTCTGATGCCTGGTTAGCATTGTTGGTTGGGGGGAGGACAGGCCTGCGGCTCCCTCTGCCAGTCTTCTAGAGCTTAGGGTAGTTTTTGGAAGAATCAGATGTTGTTGGGCCATATGTAGTAGCATTGTTCTTAGGGACAGCCTAGGGCCTTGAGGTCCAGATACTCAGGGTGTTGGGGCAAAGTGGGACCTGCTGGCCTCTCCCAAGGTTAGTGGACAGGCCTGAGATATGGGGAGTGGCTATAGAGACACTGTGCTTGCAGTGTGTCCTGGCTATATAGGTTAGGACCAGGGTCCTGGGCTACCAGTAAGAGAGGCAGTTTGCACACAACCTACCTCCTCCAGCTAGGTAGGCCACCAAGGGGAAGGAAGTCATTTTTGTGTCCCCGCGTATAGGAAGGCTCATGCTACCTCTGAATCTTTCTCTGAGCCTCTTTATCGTTCCCTTCAAGTACAGTTTGGTGCCCCAGGAGAGGCACCCCATTTTGGACTACTGTCTCCTTAGCGTCCAGGACAGGGCTGAGTGCAGTCACACCAGATGCTGAGTGGATGAAGGCGACCTAGGGGAATGAGTGCGGGGGCCAGGTTTGAAAGTACTGTGGTGGTGACCTGCCAAGAAAAGTGATCTGCTCCACATTGTCCTTCTCTGGGGGGCTCTTGCCCTTCCTCTCCTCCCAGCAGTCGTCTGTATGGTGTGAGGTTTTGGATATTTCCTTTCCCAGCATTAAACTTGGGCAACATTACAGGGTTGGTGAGATGTGGAAACAGTCCCCTCGGGAACATCTCCAGTGACAACTTCACAATTGTGTGATGTGCACCTGAGGGCTGAGGGAAGGGAAAGGGCTGAGGACTGCAGAGCTGTTTGGAATGTCACCTGTTCATCTCTCCCAAACGAGCCAAATATGCAAGTCCCAGCAACATAACCCCCATTCTCCTTCATGTGCTGGCACGCCCTCCCAGCAAGATGGGGCAGTTTTGCCTGGCCTGTATGGGAGTGGCTGACTAATGAGGTCAGAAGTTTGGGTTCTAGAAGAGGTCTGGGGCTGCAGAAGGCCCTTGCTGCTGACCTTTGGACATGGCTTTGCCTGCGGCTCAAAGGAAAGGCCTCGTTCTGCAGCTTTTGGCCACCAGGGGTCTCCAAATCACCACTGTACTGTCATCCCATTGAGTAATCATTGGACCCCCTGGTTTTCATAATTTGCTAGAAGATGCACCTGATGGAGCAAATCTCAGGGTGGTCAGAACCTGGAAGTGGCCCCTTCCTCCAGTCACTCCCATGGGACTTGAAAGCAGAGCTCACAGGGCTCTCAGGCTGGGGGTCTACCTACTGAACCCAGGGCACTGCAAAAAACACATTGGCTAGCTCTGAGCCCTCCCCTAATCAATCTCTACTTCCTGAATGGAGCACAGCCCTGTTCTCTTAATGTAAGTCCTGTTCCTGTCCCAGACCCCCACCAGTGACACTTCCACATTCAGGTTACACTTTCCCCTAGTGGATTGGCCACCCCTACATCTGTACTGGGCATTCAGGTTTGAGAAGGAGGTGGCAACAGAGGCCAGAGCAGAAATTACATCACATAAAATTAAGTCTCCTAACAAGTAGTTCATTGTGGATGGCTGGGGTGGTGGTGTCGGAAAAGCATCCTCCAGAGTCCTAGAGCTTAAGTGCTACCATGTGCTGCTCCCTGGAAGCCAAAGGGCTGGTGGGAAGGAGAAGAGAGGGTGGTGGCAGGCGAGGAGCCTCACTCTTACGCATCCCCAGCCTTTGATGTAGGGCCAGGCCTGACCTCAGGATGGCCATTGGCCACTGCCAGGGGACCTGTGGAACACAGCACATTTGGGGAGCTGTGGGTTAGCAGCACATTTCTGGGGGCAATTTACCCTTCTGGCAGGAGGAGAGGAAAGTTTCTACTGTGGGGAAAGGGGTGGAGAGGGCGCTGCAACAGAGGTGGGAGGGAGGGTTGTGAGGAACAGAGGAGGGAGCCAAGGCTCAGGGCAGCGCCCTCCTGCTTCAGCCTGGCTCACTTAGCTAAGCTGGCTGGGGCTGTGGCCTCATCCAGGAAGCCTTCCCTGATGGACCCAGACAGCACTGGTGTGGAGCAGCACCCTAAGCCCACACCTTCACCTGGGCCAGTCCAGGTATAGCTCCAGAGGATGCAGAGAGAAGCAGCTGCTCTTCCCTCCTGGCTCTGGGGGCCTGGATTGTCCACCAAGGGACACCTAGGACTGAGCTGGGCCAGAGGAGAGCTGGGAGGATGTGTGAGTGCATGTGCAGAAGTGCTAATGCCTGGCAACAGCTCATGTTCGCTGAAGGCTGCTACCTGCTGGTGCTGGTCTAAGGCCTGCGTGTGTTATTTCTCATTTAGCATTCACAACAACCCTATCACTATTTCCATTTTGACAATGAGAAAACTGACACAGCTAGTACCTAGTAGATTCAAGACTTGTACCCAAATAGTCTGGTATTAGGCACCACACTCTTTATCTAGTACAGTATGTGTCATGTGTATGTTCTTGTGTTCCAGCGTGTATCTGTTTCCTTGTGTTCTTTGGGGAGTGTGTCTATATGGGAATCCTTTCCTTTAACAAAAATGTAGCCCTGACCTGGGGGCTGGGGACATGGAGATGCTAGGAGCTTCTGTCCATGCTGAAGCAGCCGAATGCAATGTGTGTGTGGCGGTGGGAGGAGAGGAGAGGTTGAAAATGAGAGACAAGGGCAAGCCCTGACTCTGCTACTTATTAGTTATGTGACATAGAACAAAATATTTGAACTGTGAAAAACTGTCAGGTTTTATCTGGGAAATGGGGATAATAATGTCTACCTTGCTGACTGTTTTGAGGATGAAACAAGATGAAGTATGTAAATTTCCTGGCATATGCTGAGTGTTCCCTAATCGGCAGTTATGGTTAACATGGTTGTTATTAGGAAAACCGTCTTGCAAAACTACTATGTTGTTATGTGAATGTCTGAGTGTACTCAGAGAGTAATTTTGTAAAATCAGGGCCACGTCTATGTTGTTCATTGTTGTATCCCCAAGCTTCTAGAACTACATTTCAGCACAGAGTAGGTGCTCAGTGTATGTTTATTGACTGGGTGTTGACTGAACATGGAGTGAAGAAGGCCTATAGAGGGAGGGGTGTGTGGGCCTCCACCAGGAGCAGTACTTAATTTATGGGGCTTAGTGCAAAATGAAAATGCAGAGTCACTTTTTAAAAAGTTATGATGAATTTCAAAATGACCCAGCACTAAATCATTAAAACATTAAATCAAGCCCTTCTGAATAGAGAGCTCTGTGCAATTACATAGGCTGCACACCCACCCGTGAAGCCCGCCCTGACTGCACTTGCCTGTGGAGCATCACCAGTCCTCAGCCCCTGAGCCCAGCAGTTCAGGAGAGAGTATAAGGAGACTCCAACCATGGCCTGCCATGCTTCCCAGGCTGCCTGAGGGGAGGGGAGGAAGGGGAAGGGACTCAGCGTGGGCAGGCGAGGAGAGAGCACGGGAGGGACCCAGTGACCTACAGACCTCCTCCCAGGGAGCCTCTCCAGAGCCAGGCCCAAGCCCGAGAGCAGCCCTCTGCCCTCCATCCCTTCAGGAGCTCGCCCCCGACCCAAAACCACCAACCAGGCTGCTGGGTGGTCTGGGGCATGTTTAGATGTTGATTGGAGCAAAATTGTTATAAGATTAGAATATTTAAGGTAGCCTTAATTTTCACAGTATTACTAGGAGTTCTGAGGATGGGGCTGAGAGATTCCCTGTGATGCAAGTGAGGAGAATAGTCGGGGCTGCAGGAGGGAGGCCACTTAATTTCCCTGGTGCCCAGGAGAGGCTGCTGGCAACTGAAAAGAAGGAAGGAGGGCTAGACAGACGGAAGGACTTCCCAGGAATTATAGAAGCAAGAGTCCTGTCCTGTAGCTGATGGGGGAAGTCAGGGTGGGGAGGGGTCTACAGAATCGCCAAGGACCTGGTGGAGCAGGAATGTACCAGCACCACGCCCTCTCCTCAGACGATTTGCACACCCCGGCCACACATCTGTGCAAACATACCTGCCTCCCCTCAGCTTGCCAGACAGAGGGAAGTGGTGGCAAGAGGAGGGTTCCATCCAGGCCTCCCTAGGCTCCAACGTCGGGTGGCTGGAACCCAGAGAGTTTTCTTTTTGGCAGATAAAGATAGAAATCTAGAAGGAATGGGAGCGTCATGGTAACAGTAATATGATTACTGATATTTACTGAGCCATTACTATGTGTCGGCTTGTGTTTAGCCTTGATATTTACTCTCTCTTCTAAGAGGCCAGATAGCACAGTGGGAAAGGGGAAGACCCGGATGCCAGTCTGCCGGGAGCCAATTCCCATCTCACCATGTGGGGGCAGTCAGTTAACTCATCTGTGCATCTGTTCTCCCATCTGCAAAGTGGACACAATAATAATGCCAACCTCAGAGCCTTGTTGTGAGGATTAAATGAGTTAACCCACATAAAGTACTTAGAAGAGTGCCTGGCAGAGTGGGAGCCCTGCAAGGGTTAGTTGTTGTTATTAGGCACTATCATTATCCCCCTTTTAAAGAGGAGGAATTTGAGGTTTGGAGAAATGAGGTCACTTGCCCACAGTCAGAGAGGCAGAACTGGGATCCAAACCCAGGTCTGCTTGACTCCTCAGCCTGTGCTCTGAGCCACCATCCGGGTGCCAGCATTGGCTCTGCCACGGGCTGTGCTCAGCACGTTCCAGGCCTCCTCTGGCTCATCTTAACCATTCACCCCATTTGATACCCCTGCTCATGCACATGACAGTCCTTGAATCCTTTCTGGCCAGCCTCTGATTTTTGTGGCTGAGGGAATTGAAGCCCAGGGAGGGGAGGCAACTTGTCCAAGGCCACACAGCAGGTGACTACAGGCAGAGCTGACCCACTAATATCCAGATACCACCAGAGGCAGACCAAGGTGGAATGTCCTGGCAGGTGGGATGAGGAGCCTGAACTGGTTTAGGCCAGAGTGAGCCTTGGTGGGAGAGTCTATAGATTTCTGGATCCCGGATACTCATTTTTTGCCTTGAAGTTTGCTACACAAAAAGCCAGCCGACAAGGAGGCAGCTGGGGCAGGGTCATGGCGAGACTCTCTCAGCTTCTTTTGGGGGCTGGGCAGCTGAGGCCCACCTTGGGGGGGTCCAGTAAACACTGGGGCCCAGTGAACAGGACAGGGCCCAGACTTGGCCTTCCAGGGCAGGTTGAAAGAAGGAGTTGAAGCTCTCCCTCCCTACAAAGCAGGGGAAGAAGGGAGGGGGCAGCGGACAGTGTATAGCCCCACAGAACCAGGCCAGAGGGCCTCAGACCGGTTTAAGGAATGAGTCAGGAGCATCAGGAGTACGATCGTGTGCGGCACTGGCTGAGTGTGTGTTTCGGTGTCTGTTTGTGTGGAGTCCATGGGGGCCCCTTCCCTAGCACAGTACACCCCTCACTTGCCTACTTGTTCCAACAGTGCCCCCTTCACTGAGCTCTCACCCGCACCCCCAAGAGCAGTTCACACTTAGAGCTAAGCGCTCTCTCTGGGCTCCCGGATTTAATCATCACAACTAGCCTATGAGAGCTTTTCACTTGGAGAAACGGAGGTGCCAGAAGTTAGGCAATTTGCTCAAGGGCATGCAGTTGGCGCTCAGGCGGTCTGACTCCAGAGTCTATGCTGTCAATCTTCACTGTCAACTTCAACCCTACTGCTGAGCTTCCCCCGCTCCCTGAACACTTGGCCGCCCTGATCCCAATCAAGCTGCTTTTTTGCACCAGCTCTTGGGGAAGGCTCCAGCTCTGCAGCCCAGCTAGTCCCCAGGTATACTGCCAGCTGGGCCCCTGCGCCTTCCTCGGTCAGTGCCCCAGCCTGGCTCCCCTTAGTCCTCCTGCTGGCTCTAGACAGGAGGCCAGACCCGAAGACCCGTACAATCCTCCCAGTCTGAGTGGAGTGGGTCCAGGATCTGGAGGTGGGTGAGGGTGAGAGGCCCCACTGAGGAGTGGCGGGACTGGTGTGTACCTTGGCAGGGGGACAGCAAAGTGGGAGGCCCTCGGAGGGCAGGTGGTAGGAGGGGGAAGGGGTGATGGAGGTGGGCCCAGACCCAGAGACAGGCAGCTTTGGGCTCTCCCAGCTCCTTTTCTGGACCTGTTGAGGGCTCAGCTCTTTCCCACTTAGAAACACAGACACACACACACACAGACACACACAGACACACACACACACACACACTTACCCCAGCTTCCCTTTTCCTGGCCTCAGTTCATTTAAATGCACCACTGCCTCCACCTCTTCCCCTGTGGCTGCTCCTTTAGCCTCTGCAGGCTGGCTCCTGCCCCTGCTGCCCACCCCAGCCACCCCTAATTACTGGTCCCACATGATGTTCTTCTGTGATACCTGACCCTGGGCCTCCCTGGCTTTCTGCTAACACTCTATCTTTGCCTTCTGAGTTACTACTCTCCTGGTTTCCCGCCTGCCTCCCCAGCCCCACCTTTTGGGTCTCCTTTCTTACCTCTTCCTCTCTGCCCCCTTTGACTGTTGGCATTCCCCACGTTCTGGTGCTGGCTCCCTGTGCTCCTTCTCTGGGCCTTATCCGGGTGGCGTAAGTCACCATCCATACACCATGTATTCCTGATTGCTAGCCCAGAACTCTCACTTCCCTTCTGGATACACAGAAATCCCACAGGCATGTCCAACTCAATGCATCTGACAACCCTCCTTCTCTTGGTCCACCACTTCCCCATTGTCTACCCAGAAACCTGGGTGCTGTCCTTGATACCTCGCTCTTTCGAGGCCCCTCACCCCCTCCTCCAAGTCCTGCCTATTCCACCTCCTTAACTCCTCTCACACGTGGCCCTTCCCTTCAACCCCCACTGTCCACCTTGTGGACCAGCCAGGATTTTCCAGCAGGTTTCTCAGCTGAGCCTCTGTGCTACTTCTTCCTCACAGAAGTCAGGGAGCTCTTGCCAAAGCACGTCTCAGACCAGGTCACTGCACTCCTCCAGGCTCTTCTGTGGCTCCCCATTTCCCCTAAGGTGGAGTCTAACCAGTTTCAGCATGGCCGACAGAATCCTGCAGTATCAGGGCCCTGCCATCCTCTCAGCACACAGGCTCACCTCCCTAAGCCCTAATGTGTCAATCATGACTGTCCAGCCACCCCTTGTCCCCAAGTCCTCATCCCTCAGCTTGGGTCACCACTTGCAGGACGCCTGTGAGGACTGATCATTTATGGGCCACAGCCCTTGTGCTACCCCTTCCTCACACCGACCACCCCTGCCCTCCCCCAAGCTGCTGGGTCTGTGTCCCCGAGACGGTAGCCCTCGAGGGCAGGGGTTCCCGGGGGCAGGCACAGGGATGCGCGTGGGCCTGAGGGTCCCTGCGTGGGTCCTAGGGAGGGAAGCGGATGGGAGGCGCAGGCCGGGAGGGCGCGCGCCTTGGCCGGGGCTGTGGAAAGAGGATGGTGGAGGCCCCGCCCCTCCGGCCCCGCCCGCGCCCCCGCCCCCCGCCCACTCCCGCAGCCGCGAGCGGCGGCCGGCAGAGCGACGCGGAGCCCCGCTGGCGCGGACCCCTCGGCGCCCCCTGCCCGGAGCCCGCGCGCCCGGGCGGTCCCTGCAGGTAAAGGCGGGAGGCTGGCACGGCTGCCCGGCCTGGAGGGCTCCGGGGGCAGCACCCAGCCCACGCTTCCCCCCAGACTGCCCTCGGCAGCTGGGCCGGCGCCTCGGACTCGGGGCGGGGCGGGAGGGGGCCTCGGGCCCGGGGTCGGCGCTCATCAGGTTCCTTGCTCCCGACGTGCCGGCCGGAGTTGCCCAGGCAGTCCCAGACCGAGCACCCTCCTCCCGTCCTCTCCCAGAGGCGGCGCTACCAGCCCCAGTCCCAGGTGGGATCCCAGGTGCTGTGACAGCATGTCACCTCCCCTCCGGGAGTCTCCCTTTCCACCCGCAAAACGGGAGCGACAGAGCCTTCTCACGGTCGGGGCGGAGAGCGGAGGCTGAGGGCCCTCGGAGTCCCCGCCAGCCCGGGACAGGGAAGCCCCTCAGCTGTCCGCTCTCCTCCCCGTCTCGCTGCCTTCCCTGGTGTGCTGGCCACCTTCCAGTTTCTCCCTTTTCCTACTTCTGCCCCAAGTCCCTCCTTTTCTAGGTGTCCTGGCAGCCCCCACAGACTGGAGACTGAGGTTCTGTGGAATGTCCCTGCCCTGGACTCAGCCTCCCCGACCTGGGACTGAGACTTGTGGGGTGAGGGGGCTGTTGCCTGGTTCAGAGGGACTAGGGGGGTTCTGAGGGCCCCAGAACAGCTTCCCCACAGTGTCTGGTCTGGAGACACAGTGGCCCTGGGAGTCCCTGGGTGGAGAAAAGCTGTTCAGCTAGAGGAGCCCAGGGATTGTGAGCTGGGAGGGCAAACCCCGAGTCAGCTTGCTGTGTGTGTCTGCCTGTGTGCAAGCCTGTCAGTGTGTGCATTTGTGGGGTGTGGTGGGGACAGCAGTACCTGCCAGTGTGTTAGTAGGGTGTGTGTCAGTATGTGCTTGTGTGAGACCCTCAGTGTGTGTGAAGACTCCTTCTTCAGGGGACTCTGGCAACCCAGAAGTGCTTCCTCCTGTCTGCCTTCAGTGCCTCTTGCCAAGACCTGTGCCCTGGTCTGGTGCCAGGGGTCCAGCCCCTCCTTGAGTGCCCTAAGCAAAGGTCACTGCCTGGGAGCTGCCGTGGGCCTTTGGAAGTCTGGGGACTGAGGGGCTGGGATGGCTGGAGTGTCAGGGTCTCTCTCTGGACCTGAGCAGATGGGTGGCCCTCAGGGAGCCCATTCTAGAGCCCAGGGGATGAGGTGAAGGTCTGGGGGGCACGAACTCTGCTGAGAAGTCGGCAGTCTCAGACAGAGCATGGGTATCCCCACCAGCCTCCTGCTGGGCTGGTGAATACCGACAGACCCTGGACACACAGTCACCCCCACTGAGGACACTCCACAGACATGCACAGTTGCTCACAGATGCAGCCCCCCCCCCTGTGTGGCACGTATGACAGGGCACACACAGATCTAGACTCTCCTACAGATGCATGGCAGGCCCCATGTGGCCCAGCCAGACATACTCTGGACAGCACACACACACCCTCACACTCACACTCAGACACACTCACCAGGGGCTCTCTGGTTTCACTGTATCCACCACAGTGAAAATGAGTGTTTCTGTTCTTTGGCTCAGAGGAAGAGGAAACAAAAAATGGAAGTGCATGTGTCTGCTAGAGTGGTAGCAGGGGAAGATATCTAACAGGTCTCCTAGCCTGAGCACCCGTCACCACCTCCCCTGCTCTGGGCCTGAGGTTGGCAGAGCCCCAGTTTCCTTGCCTGCTGGCCCCAGTCCACTACAGAGTCCCCCAGTGGCAGGCATTCCTTGTAGAAAAGTGGGGCCTCAGATGGGCTGGCCCCATCAGTGGCCCCAAGGCACTTACAGAGTTGGGAAGGAAGAACTAGAGAGGCACAGGGGCCTCTCATATGGTGAGCTGCTGTGTCTCAGGGTGGCCACCGGTGTGCACAAAGGGGAGGCGCCACGCAAGCCAGAAGTGCAGGGGAAGGGGATCAGGGAGGTAGCACCAAAGAGGAGCTCTGGCTGGGGCTTTCAGGGAGCATGAGAACCTTGACAGGTGCAGGAGGTGGAAGGGGTGAATGGGGGAGGGCTTTCTAGTCAGAGGGAACAGCACTTGCAAAGGTGTGGAGGTGGGAAGCTGCAGCGTTCCCTCAGGGGACAGGGAGTAGCTGTTGGCTTGCACAGTGGGGAAGTGGGTGGGAGGGACTGACAACTACTTTGAGGTCCGGTTTCCAAGGGCCTTGTCCAGAGAAAGGGTGTGAGCTGCAGAGTGCGGCAATCTGGGAATCACTGTGGTTGCTCTGGGGATCTTATAAGCAAGGAGACCACTGAGAAGGCTGGGCAGTTTGAAGCGGAAGGTGATGGGGCTGATGCAGGTGCTTGCCATGGGGATGAGAGGAGGAAATAGATGGAAAGGTGTAAGGGGACAGACTGGCAGACTGGTCAGGCCTCGGTGACAGATTGGCTGTGGGGGTGAGGGGAGGGCAGGCCAGGGGTCAGGGGAGGCAGGTGAAGGAGAAATGTGGGTTTGGACCCCAGGGTGTGGTTTGCTGAGATGGAGAGCAGCTTGGTGTTGAGCAGCTTGGTGGCCATGAGTTGGGGTAGCATCTGGGAGGTCTGGGGTGTATACAGAAGCCCAAGTGGATGTGTAAGGCCATATGTGTGCCATACATCAGCCAGGGAAGTCACATTCCCAGAAAGGGAGTCCCAGACCAGCTCTGTTTGGTGGGCATTTCCAGGGTGCTGGGTGTGGATAGCGGATCTTGAGTGAAGGCAGCACACACAGTGAGGGGAAGGGCCGGCCTTGGGAGTCAGACAGACCTGCATTGTCTATGTGACTTTAGGTAAGGGACTTCCTACTTCTGTGCCTCAGTTTCTCCATCTACAAAATGAAGATGGTAATACTTGTCATTTTAGTGAGTAATACAGGGTCATATTACCTGCAGAGAGGTGAGGAGTGGTCCCTGGTCACATGCATCGTCAGGGTGCAGCACCTGGGGCTTTTGTCCAGACTTCTGTTTGACGTTATACCAATCTGGTTGGATTCTGGTGAGGACCTGGCCCTGCTTCCATTCAGATTCTTGGGAAGTTTTGAATTGGGAGGTATCTGTCCCCATGCAACCTGGATGGGCTGAGATTCCTGGCTCCTGGAGGGGAGAAGGAGAGGGAGGCCGGGGGTTAGAGCCTCATGGGGAGAGCCCAGTGGCGCTCTCAGCTCCTCTCATGGGTGGGCTTATGGAGACTCAGAGAGGAGCTTGCCTGAGGTCACACAACAGCCAGTGGCAGAAATAAGGCCAGAGACCAGAACCTGGGCTCAGGCCTCCCTTCCTCCTAGAGGCTGCTCTGCTAGCAGGGCCCATCAGGGACCAGGGATGGGAGGGAACTTGTCACCAGAGGTTCTCTAATTTCAATTCTTCTTTCTATCCCCTTGGGGGAAGGTAGCAATAAGAGTTCACCGGGTACATACTGTGTGCCAGGTCCTATGTTTGTGTGTGTCATTTAGTCCTTTTAACAATGCTTTGGGCAAGGTTCACTAGCCCATTTAATAGTGGGGGAGTAGAGGCTCAGAGAGGTCTGTAATCTGGCCAAGTGTCCCCTTGCTGACCCCTGAGCCAGGATTCACTCCCTGGTCTGTGATGATGCACAGCTCATGTTCTCCCCATGACCTTCCTGTCACTGCCTTCTCTAGGGCTTGGTCCAGTGGGGGAAGGAATGGAAACTTAATTGTTGAGCATCCACACTGTGCCGGCATGTTCACAGCACAAGGTGCTTTTTTGGCAGTGGGAAACACGGCGGGTAGCAAGCACTAGAAGATCAGGCCCAGAGAGAGCCCAGAACAGTGAGGGCTGGGATGGTGTTTTCTGGTATCTGAGAACCAACTGTGGTTCTGATGGGCCCTGTGAGGGAGGGCAGCCTCTAGGAGGAAGGGGCCCTGGTCTCAGGTCTCAATTCTGCCACTGGCTCCTGGGTAACCTCAGGTGAATTCTCTGGGTGTCCATTATCCCACCCATGACATGGGCCAGTAAGTCCACACTCACTCTCCCTACAGCCTGTGCTGATTATGGGGTGGAGGGGACATTTCTCCTCTCCTGAAAGAGCTCAGGAGGCTGACTCTTTGGTGTCCACCCCATCCAGGGTTCACAGCCCTTACTACCCAGAAGTTTTCTCCTCTGTCCAGCCTTTTACCCTCCCACTGTGGCAGCTACTGGCCGCTGTGCAGCTCTGCATGGGCCTTCCAGGCATGCTCCCTCTGACAGGTGACCACGGCCCCGCTTGTGGCAAACATTCTTCTCATAGTTCTCGGAGCACAGCAAATCCTGCTGCTTAGCCAGGAATGCAGAGCCCCTCCTGCGGCAGCAGCAGGGGGCTTGGGCAGAGGAACTCCTGGGGGTCAGGCAGGAGGGGCTGAGGGGTGTGGAGCCCCCCTCCCCCGACTGTGTCTCTGCTCCAGGGAGCTGTGAGGCTGTCCTCATCATCTGTGGACTCACTCAGCTGGGGTCCAAGCTTGGGGATGTCCCACCACTGGCTAGCTGGGTGAACATGGGTGAGTGACGTCTCCCTGAGCCTCAGTTTCTTCTCCTATAAGCTAGGGTTTATAATACTAACCTCACAAGGCTTTAGGGAGATGTCACAGTTATGATAATTATAATAGTAGTGAACATTTGTTGAATGTTCCTATATGCCAAGCACTGCTTGAAGCCCACTGAGATTAACTTGTTAACTTGTAACCCTTATGAATGCTCTAGAAGTAGGAGTTGTTCCATTTTATTGATGAGGCAGCTGAGGTACACAAGGGAGGTCGAGTGCTGGTAGGAGGTGCTAAGCTCTTAGGCTGTAATGATTTTTAAAGCGAGACTCAGCCCAGGGCCTGCCGTGATAAGGGTTTGGAAAATGGGGACCTCTCCCATAAACCCGTGTTGGGAGAGGCTGATTGTTCGTTTCATGACCATCAGCACCTCAGTCTGGAAAGGTGGGGTGGAGAAGTGGGCCTGGGACCCTGGTCAACCTCTTTGGGAGCCTTGCAGCCCTTAGAGGCTGGTTTGTTGGGTGGAGGGGTGCAGACTGTCACACCCATATCTGGCTTGGGATTCAGCTGGTGGAAGGCTCTGTGCAAGGAGGAGATGTCGCTAGGGAAGGGGCTCAAAGAGATTAGGAAGGCAGCTGGGGGTGGAGGTTAAGAGCAAAGTCCCGTTGAAGCTGGCTCACACACTGCCCTGGTGCACCCACCTACTCCAGTTTCCTCTTCTGCAGGAGTGAGGGACTCTTGGTCAACTGGAGGGGGCTCCTGAGGCTGCTCATTCTGTTTCACTTTGCTGTCCCTGTTGCCATCTGGGTTGAGCAGCACAGGTGGGAGAAGAGAAGTGAGGAGAAGGCTGAGGTCTCCACGAAGCCCAAGAGCACCATCTGGCTGTTTGGGGGCTGGGCAAGCCCCAAGGTTCAGATCTCACCCCTAGGTGCTTCCTAGCCCCGTAACCTTGGAGAATGGATATCACCTCTCTGGACCTCAATGCTCCTCTTCAGAAAAATGGGACAGCAATCCCCAGTTTACAGGGTTATAGGAGAGTTTGATAAAATAATGCCTGGAGCATGTCTAGTGGTATCTGGTACATAAAATGTACTTGGGATTTAGAGACCATTATTATTAAGGGCTAACATGGGTGGAAGGGCTGTGGAGTCATCTTTGGGCTGGGCCCAGGCTCTCTGATCCTGATATTCAAGACATTTCTCAGGCTGGCCCCAGCTAGCCCTTCTCATCTCAAATCATCTGTGTAGTGGAGAGGTTAAGAGCCCCAGCTTTAGAGACAACAGCTTAGACTCAAGTTCAAACTCTACCTGTCATGAGCTGTGTAACCTTGAGCTAGTTACTTAACCTCTCTGTGCCCTGGTTTCCCATCTGTAAGAAGGAAAGATGAAGCACCTATTTCACTGGTTTGTTGTTAGTATTAAATGAGATAAGCCATGAGAAGAGCCCAGAACAGTGCCTGCCACATAGTTACTGATAAACATTAGTTATGATTAGTTCTTTTGTTTATTTTCATCTAATTATTTCCATCCCCTGAATACGTTCAGGGCTTTCACACCTCCACACCCTCACACATGTGGTTCACTTGACCTGACTGATTGCTTTCCCTGCCACCATCCAGTTAAATCCCTGTTCATTCATGAAACCCAGATCCAGTGTAAGTCATGTCCCCTCCTTGAACCTTATGGTGGGTGAGTGGCTGGGGCTGGAGAAGCTGGGGTTGAGTTAGGTAGTAAGGACCTCCCATCTGGGCTGTGTCAGCCTGGCTGGGCCCTCAGAGAGTAGCTTTAAGACCCACGTCTGGGGTCATGGTGTTAGTGGTGGGGATGGAGGCAGGGCTCAGCTGAGCTGGAAAGAAGGCCTAGCAGCCGCTGACTTCAGCATCTGGCTGCTTGTGCAGTGAGAGACGGGGCTGGGATGTCAGAGTTTCCATGGGAGTGGGCAGAGGCAAGCAAGCAGCTGGGGGAGAGAGTGATGTAGTCGGCAGGCCTCCCTGCCAGGTAGGCTGACTAGGCGTCTCCTTCCCATTTACCAAGGAATCATATCTGTGCCTGAACTACAGCCCCTGAAGCTCCCCTGTGGACAGCTGTATGACCTGGACTAGGGCTTGAGACAGCCTGGCATCATGGTTGATTGAGGCAGAAATGGGGAACTGGCCATCCAGGGCTCTGAACACATCACCTTCCCACTCAACAACCTTCCATGGCTCCCCATTGCCTTCCAGAGAAATGTAATCATGACATTCAAGGCTTCTTACTATGTTGCCCCAGCCTGTCAGCTCCTGCCTGTCTCAACCTTATGGCACTTCTGGAACCTTCCCTGTATCTGCCAAGCAGCTTCCTATTGCCTGAACTTCCTTTTCTTATTTGTCTGCCTTTCAGACTCCTATTCACCCTTCAGGATTCAGCTGTCATATCTCTTCCTACATGAAACCTCCTGGGAAACTCAGGGGAAGGCAATGCTTCCTGCTCTGTGCTCCCACAGCCCAGAGATCTTGGTCAATTCTGTGATGGCCACTTTTCTGATACCTCCAGCTAATTCAAGACATGGGGCTGAGCCATTTCTGTGTCTCAAAGCCCAGCCTAGGGTCCCCCACACAGGAACTTCCACAGGCAGGAACCCAGCGCAGGGCCTGACATACAGTATGGACTCTGGCACACAGAAATCTTCAGCCTGGGCCCTGGGACAGGAGGAACTCCATCAACCCAGGGCCAGGTATGCCATGTGCATTACTAAGTGTGTATGGAATAAATGAAGGGCGTTGGCAACTATGGGGCATACATCCTGGCTCCCTGTGAGGGAGACAGGTTGGGGACAATGTCCAGCAGATGCTCCTCGTAAGAAGCCCATGGCCGGCACAGGGTGGCTGGGGGTTAGGACAGGAGCTTTCCAGATACTGGCATTTTCCTCACTGTTTCTGTCTTTGATCCTCAGGCCTTGCCTCTGCTGGGATCTAACAGGGCCCCCCTGACCTGACAGGTAAGCTGGATTTGGTGGTGGGGCTCTCTGATATTCCCAGCTGGATGAGGCCTGTGCTGGCTGCTCCCTCCTGCTGCAGTGGAAGCCCCTCCCAGGCTCAGGGTGTCCTAGCAGGCAGCCCCTCTTGCAGGTGACCTCAGCTCCTTGCGGCCTGGGCTTTAAAGCCCCCGCCCAACTCGAAAGCAGCTTTTTCTCATTTTTGAACTATTTCGCCCCGGCTCCTTGGCGCAGCCCATGTTTGCTTTGCGTGCCCGGGTGCAGTGGCCTGGCCACGCTCCCGCCAGGCCCTCTCCCTGCCCAGCCCAGCCCAGCGGCAGCTGCCGCCACCGTGTGGGGAATTGGGATTTAGAGACCATTATTATTAAGGGCTAACATGGGTGGAAGGGCTGTGGAGTCATCTTTGGGCTGGGCCCAGGCTCTCTGATCCTGATATTCAAGACATTTCTCAGGCTGGCCCCAGCTAGCCCTTCTCATCTCAAATCATCTGTGTAGTGGAGAGGTTAAGAGCCCCAGCTTTAGAGACAACAGCTTAGACTCAAGTTCAAACTCTACCTGTCATGAGCTGTGTAACCTTGAGCTAGTTACTTAACCTCTCTGTGCCCTGGTTTCCCATCTGTAAGAAGGAAAGATGAAGCACCTATTTCACTGGTTTGTTGTTAGTATTAAATGAGATAAGCCATGAGAAGAGCCCAGAACAGTGCCTGCCACATAGTTACTGATAAACATTAGTTATGATTAGTTCTTTTGTTTATTTTCATCTAATTATTTCCATCCCCTGAATACGTTCAGGGCTTTCACACCTCCACACCCTCACACATGTGGTTCACTTGACCTGACTGATTGCTTTCCCTGCCACCATCCAGTTAAATCCCTGTTCATTCATGAAACCCAGATCCAGTGTAAGTCATGTCCCCTCCTTGAACCTTATGGTGGGTGAGTGGCTGGGGCTGGAGAAGCTGGGGTTGAGTTAGGTAGTAAGGACCTCCCATCTGGGCTGTGTCAGCCTGGCTGGGCCCTCAGAGAGTAGCTTTAAGACCCACGTCTGGGGTCATGGTGTTAGTGGTGGGGATGGAGGCAGGGCTCAGCTGAGCTGGAAAGAAGGCCTAGCAGCCGCTGACTTCAGCATCTGGCTGCTTGTGCAGTGAGAGACGGGGCTGGGATGTCAGAGTTTCCATGGGAGTGGGCAGAGGCAAGCAAGCAGCTGGGGGAGAGAGTGATGTAGTCGGCAGGCCTCCCTGCCAGGTAGGCTGACTAGGCGTCTCCTTCCCATTTACCAAGGAATCATATCTGTGCCTGAACTACAGCCCCTGAAGCTCCCCTGTGGACAGCTGTATGACCTGGACTAGGGCTTGAGACAGCCTGGCATCATGGTTGATTGAGGCAGAAATGGGGAACTGGCCATCCAGGGCTCTGAACACATCACCTTCCCACTCAACAACCTTCCATGGCTCCCCATTGCCTTCCAGAGAAATGTAATCATGACATTCAAGGCTTCTTACTATGTTGCCCCAGCCTGTCAGCTCCTGCCTGTCTCAACCTTATGGCACTTCTGGAACCTTCCCTGTATCTGCCAAGCAGCTTCCTATTGCCTGAACTTCCTTTTCTTATTTGTCTGCCTTTCAGACTCCTATTCACCCTTCAGGATTCAGCTGTCATATCTCTTCCTACATGAAACCTCCTGGGAAACTCAGGGGAAGGCAATGCTTCCTGCTCTGTGCTCCCACAGCCCAGAGATCTTGGTCAATTCTGTGATGGCCACTTTTCTGATACCTCCAGCTAATTCAAGACATGGGGCTGAGCCATTTCTGTGTCTCAAAGCCCAGCCTAGGGTCCCCCACACAGGAACTTCCACAGGCAGGAACCCAGCGCAGGGCCTGACATACAGTATGGACTCTGGCACACAGAAATCTTCAGCCTGGGCCCTGGGACAGGAGGAACTCCATCAACCCAGGGCCAGGTATGCCATGTGCATTACTAAGTGTGTATGGAATAAATGAAGGGCGTTGGCAACTATGGGGCATACATCCTGGCTCCCTGTGAGGGAGACAGGTTGGGGACAATGTCCAGCAGATGCTCCTCGTAAGAAGCCCATGGCCGGCACAGGGTGGCTGGGGGTTAGGACAGGAGCTTTCCAGATACTGGCATTTTCCTCACTGTTTCTGTCTTTGATCCTCAGGCCTTGCCTCTGCTGGGATCTAACAGGGCCCCCCTGACCTGACAGGTAAGCTGGATTTGGTGGTGGGGCTCTCTGATATTCCCAGCTGGATGAGGCCTGTGCTGGCTGCTCCCTCCTGCTGCAGTGGAAGCCCCTCCCAGGCTCAGGGTGTCCTAGCAGGCAGCCCCTCTTGCAGGTGACCTCAGCTCCTTGCGGCCTGGGCTTTAAAGCCCCCGCCCAACTCGAAAGCAGCTTTTTCTCATTTTTGAACTATTTCGCCCCGGCTCCTTGGCGCAGCCCATGTTTGCTTTGCGTGCCCGGGTGCAGTGGCCTGGCCACGCTCCCGCCAGGCCCTCTCCCTGCCCAGCCCAGCCCAGCGGCAGCTGCCGCCACCGTGTGGGGAAGCTGCGAAGGCCCAGGAATCTTGGCAGGCATGGGAAGGCCGCGGGCGGTGGGTGGCGCTCCGGAAAAGGCTGCAAATGCAAACCAGAAGGCGAGGGATTGGCCACTGAGAAGGGCTGCCTGGCCTGGCCCCTAAGCCTGGGGCGACCCTCCAATATCCAGTCAGGGTCAGAAGCTCAGGGCCTCTGCTGGGAAGTGAGTAATGGCACCATCTGAGGCCTGACTCTCTTGGCAGGGAAGGGCCAGTCCCCTGGCCACCTGCCTGTGGACACATGTTGCCCTGGGTCCTGCCCACTGCTGGGTCTCCTCTGGTTCATCTGCCCCCACCAGGCTGTTCCTACCTCCCTGGGCACTCTGTTGCCCCAGAGGGCTCCTCCCCAGGGGAGTAGTGGGGTGTTTAGTCTGCCCAGAGACGGGCAGAGGCCAGAAGCCAGGGGGGTGGACCTAGTCACCTGCAGGGAGGGCATTTTGCCCCAGTGCCCCTGCAGTCAGGCCTGAGAAGGACTCCAGAAGCACCACAAAGGGAAAGGGGCTCCATGAGCAGCCATCCCAAGGGCTTGGCTGGGTGGGAGGTGTGGCTGTCAGAGGCCTGGAGCTGGAATGCCTGGGCTAAAAACTGTATTAAGCACTTATAGTGTGCCAGTCAGGGATGTGGTGGGGGTGGGGAAGAGGGACCCAGAATGAGGAGATGTTCTGCCTGAGGGAGTTAGGGAAGACTACTTGGAGGAGGAGGCATTTGAACTGGGTCTTAAATGAGGAATAGCATGTTTGCCTGGAGGAGAAAGAGAGAAAGAGCAATCCAGGCAGAGCAGATCATGCAGGCAGGTGGGTGCAGGGAAACACGGAAGTTTGAGGAGTGTGGATATTAGGATGCTGGGGCTCAGAGGTGCCATGGACTTCTCTTATCCCCTAGATATGGGTGTTTTCCCCAAGGGTGAGTCCATGGCCCTTGTCCAGGCTGTAGCAAACTGGCCAATGAAACCCTATGTTTTTCATCTTCAGTCTATGTCTTTCTCTCTTGACTTCCAGACACACATGTTCTCTCCTTCTTGGACACCCCTACCCCACCCCATAAGCCCCCTAGTCTTCCATGCCCAGATGTTTGTTCTGCTCTAACTTTGGAATGTTCCACCATCACCTGCCCTTATGGACCTGTTGAACTCTGACCTCCTTACAATGCTGCTTCCCAAATTGAGCTCCCTTGTGAGCTAGGAGCCTTGCCTGAAGGGGTGAGGGATGTTGAGATTCTTGGTGGAACAGAAGCCTGGTAGGGGAGACAAGGTGGGCAGGGAACAGCAATCCTGTCCTGCTATCAACCTGGATGATTAGGTGGTCCCTAGGCAGCCCTGCCCCAGCCTGGCCACCTCCCTCCACCCCACAACTTCCAGATTCCAAGCAGCTCTTTGGCTTGGAGCAATCTTCGCACCTGTACATTTAAGTTTGAGGGGTTCAGATCTACAGCGACCCTGCAGGACAGAGAGCTCAGCTCATGGGCACTGCCCCCCTCAAGGGTCCACCCAGACCTGTGGGGCTGCTCAGGGATTACCCAGGGACATCAGACGCAGACCTGATGTTAGCAGGAGCATTAAGGCCATAAATGCTGGCCTTCTGGAGGATTCCATGATGTGACCAATAGCTAAAGATTTACAAAGGCTGGAACTCAGACAGGGTTCTAGGTAAAAGGACATAGGAGAAGGCAGAGAAAGACAAACAGGGTGCCAGAGAGAGGCAGACAAATGGGATGGTGACACAGATAGGAGGAGAGACACACCCAGGAGATGCCTGAGATATGCAGGCAGATGCAGGTCTGGATTCAGCCCAGAGACATGGAGGAGGGGATGGGCATGGCAGATGCCCACGTGGCTCCTGAAGTGAGCTGCTCCCTGGTCTCCTCCTGACATACTTGACTCTTAGACCTAGAATGTGTCACCATTTCAGGGTTTTGGTGGGCTCACCATCAGTCTCTCCACCTTCCTTGCCTCCTCCACGCTAACTGGTCCACACCCTACCGAGCTGTGTGCCTTGCAGAGTAACATGGGATTTATCCTGTCTGTACTAGGGAGCCACTGGCAAATCCAGAGCAGGGGAGGGCTGTGGGCAGAGCTGTGCCAAAGTGTGGTCCATACACAGGCAGCATCAGCCTTACCTGGGAACTTGTTAGAGATGCAGATGTTGGGCCTATCCCACATCTACTGAATCAGGGTCCCTGGGGGTGGGCTCAGGAACCCATGTGTTAGCAAACCATCTGATGCATGCTCAAGTTTGAGAAGCTCTCTTGGAGTTCTCCAGGATATATTGAGGAACCCAGAAAAACTAAGGGTGAGGGGTAGGAGAGAAGTTGTTATGATAACCCAGCTGAGGATTTGGCAATTTAATTTAGCAAACCTTTACCAAGTGGCTGAGATGTGCCAGGCCTGGACTGCATGTTGGGAGAGTACAAGATCTGTATTAGGGCAGAGACTATGGGGAAGGAACAGAAGTGAGAGAAGTAGAGGAGATGGAGTCCACAAGATTGAGTTGCGGGTGTAAAGGTAAAGGAACAGGGCTGTTACGTACAGTTGTGCAGGTTGGTTACTGAACAGGGGCACTCAGGCAAGTCAGTGAGTAGGGCCTGGGTCAGCAGGAAGGAGGGGTATAGCCTTTTTTAATTGTGCTAAGGCATTGGATAGGCTAGAGAGATTCCTTACTGCCTTGTAAGGGAGGATCAGAAGTGATGTGCAGCTTTCTTGCTGGGCACCTGAGAATGGAGGAGAAGGTAATGACAGCAGTTTGCATGGATGTATCTGAGGGACAGCCAGGCGAAAATGCTCAGTTCATAGTTGAACACAAGAGTCTGGGGCTCAGGGGAGAGGTTGTGGCTGGAGACAGGTATGGGAGCCTTTGGTGATGGGATTTAAACGGTGGGAGCTGCTGATAGTAGAAAGCTGCAAGTGAAACATCCAGAGAGGAGAGATGAGGCCTGAGTCAGCTCTGGGGGCAAGCCTGGGTCTGCAGAGTGGACAGAGGAAGGGGGCAGGGGAGACTCTGAGGAGGAGCCTTTCTAGGAAGGAGGAGAGCAGGGTTCCAAGGCGGGACCTGGTACTGGGAGAAGGAGACACCCAGGTGAGAGGTGGGAGTGAGCAGCCAGTGGGTGAAGGTAGAGAACCATCTTTGAAGGAGCTCCTTGAGAAGGCTGGAGAGAGAGGAGAGTGGCTGGGGGTGGATCATTAGGCCTGTGTGGACATGGGATGGAGAGGCTGGAGATGGGGTTGTGGGGAGGCATCCACAGTGAAAGGCCCTGAGGAAGAGTTGTGAAGGGGCCTGGGCCTTGAGTCGGATCCTGTTCCTCTGACACTCAGGAGAGGAGACAGGAAAGGGCTTCCCCATGTCTGCAAGCTGGGAGAGAGGTGGGGGTGTGCGGCCCCAGGTGCCCTGGAGAAGTCTGGAGCTGCCCGGGCAGTTGGGGGTGGGCTTCATGTCCAGTAGGTGAGGAGGGCAGCTCCTCTGCTCCTCTCCAAGACCCGTCACTCCACTCCAGTCCTGACAGGCTGCAGGATCCCTCCCCTGGTCAGTTCCATCTCAGAGCTGTCAGGGAAAAGGCCAAGAAGGCCAGGAAATTGACTTGAGGGAACTTTCACAAGGTCCTGGCCTTTGGCAGCAAGTCACCTGAGTTTTTTAAGGGTTGGAGGAAATGTTGCTTTGCAGCACTTGGAACTCAGGTTAGGCCCAAGGGGGACTTTCTCGCCATCAGGGTAGCAGGACAAGGCAGCACACCTAGAGGGGCTGATGGCTCAGATGAGCTCAGTTAATCCTCTCACAGATGAGGACACTTGAGGTTCAGAGAGGTTAAGGCACATGCCTGAGGTCACCCAACTGGTGAGCAGCTGTGCTGGAATGGGAGTCCAGCTGCTGCTGGGACCTGGGAGGGCCTTAGGGGTCCCCAGGACTTGACTCCTGGTAGGGGAAGCCTGATGAGAAACGCTGATCACCTGAAGTGGCAGAGACAGGGCTGGAGTGAGAGAGAAATAAGTCAGGGCCAAAGACCCAGGAGAGCACAGAGAGTGCGACTGGTTGAGTGGAGAGGCAGGAGGCATGGGTTGGGGGAAGATGTGGGGCAGCCGATCCACAGAAATGTCTCCACAACAGGAAGCGTCTCATAACATACCTGTGGTTTGGCCAGGCCCTGGGGCTGCCTGAGCCCTCCCCACGGCTCCCTCAGCTGCCGCTGCCTGCCTGGGGTTGGGGGCTTGGAGCGACAGGAGCCTGCCCAGGGCCGAGTTCCATCCACCCCCACTGGGAGGGGGGCTGTCAGGCCAGGCCAGCCACACCCCTGCATGGTCCTCTGGGAGCCCCTGCATCAGACCCCCCTTCCGGTCTGGACCTGATAGCTCATCGGTGACGTGGGCTGCGGAGTTGGGCAGGCCTTTGAACTCCCCAGGCTCACCTGGGCCCTCTGCTGGCCGCCCCGGGACAGGACCCTCTGAGAGAGGGAACTGGGAGGAGGAGTCGCTGTTAGCTACCTCAGCCCTGTCCAGCGAGGAGGGGTCTGTATTATCACCACTTCCTCTAACTGCAAGGCCCAGACCCCCGCCCCCCACCTCCTCCCCACAGTGGTCTGAAAGATCCTGGAGTGCTACCCGCTCCCAGCCAGTTCGCTGGCCGCCTCGGAGGAGGCCCAGGCTGCCACAAAACGCTGACTTGGACAAAACGCCGTTTTACGGGGATTTGTTGAAAAGGGGGGAAATCCCCGTTAAGGACTTGCAGCTGTCCAAACACACGTCCACCCTGCTGCCGCCATCGCTCAATCCCCTGAGTCAGCGTCTCCTAGTGCATCCCACCTCGTGCCCCTGCCAGCCCAGCCCCTTCCCAGATCTTCTGGTTCTTGTCCTTCCTAAGAGGTCACCAGGGAGGGTGATGGCTTGCCCAAGGTCACACAGCTGAGCCGGGCTTGAGCCCTGGGATCCTCCCCTGACCTCTGACATCCCAGCTTGGCCACCATTCCTCTTGGGTAGAACGAGGAACAAGTGAATGAATCCTTCCCTTTGCACCTCCACTCCTGTGCAGCAGTGTTCTTTTTGTTGTTATCATTAATGTGCAATTACATGAGCAACATTATGGTTACTAGATTCCCCCCATTATCAAGTCACCACCACATACCCCATTACAGTTACTGTCCATCAGTGTAGGAAGATGCTATAGAATCACTACTTGTCTTCTCTATTATACTGCCTTTCCCATGTCCCCCCTTGCTACATTATGGGTGCTAATCGTAATGCCCCTTCTTCTCCCTTATCCTTTCCTTCCCACCCATCCTCCCCAGTCCCTTTCCCTTTGGTAACTGTTAGTCCATTCTTGGGTTCTGTGAGTCTGCTGCTGTTTTGTTCCTTCAGTTTTTGCTTTGTTCTTATGCTCCACAGATGAGTGAAATCATTTGATACTTGTCTCTCTCTGCCTGGCTTATTTCAGTGAGCATAATACCCTCTAGCTCCATCCATGTTGTTGCAAAAGGTAGGATTTGTTTTCTTCTTATGGCTGAGTAATATTCCATTGTGTATATGTACTACATCTTCTTTATCCATTCTTCTACTGATGGACACTTAGGTTGCTTCCAATTCTTAGCTTTGTAAATAGTACTGTGATAACAATAGGGGTGCATATGTCTTTTTCAAACTGGGTTCCTGCATTCTTTTTTTTTTCCCTGCATTCTTAGGGTAAATTCCTAGGAGTGGAATTCCTGGGTCAAATGGTATTCCTATTTTGAGTTTTTTGAGGAACCTCCATGCTGCTTTCCACAATGGTTGAACTAAATTACATTCCCAACAGCAGGGTAGGAGGGTTCCCCTTTCTCCACATCCTTGCCAGCATTTGTTGTTTGTCTTTTGGATGGTGGCCATCCTAACTGGTGTGAGGTGATATCTCATTGTGGTTTTAATTTGCATTTCTCTGATGACTAGTGATGTGGAACATCTTTTCATGTGCTTGTTGGCCATCTGAATTTCTTCTTTAGAAAATTGTTTGTTCAGCTCTTCAGTTCATTTTTTAATTGGATTATTTGCTTTTTGTTTGTTGAGGTGCGTGAGCTCTTTATATATTTTGGATGTCAACCGCTTATCGGATATGTCATTTATGAATATATTCTCCCATACTGTAGGATGTCTTTTTGTTCTACTGATGGTGTCCTTTGCTGTACAGAAGCTTTTTAGTTTGATGTAGTCCCACTTGTTCATTTTTGCTTTTGTTTCCCCTGCCCAGGGAGGTATATTCATGAAGAAGTTGCTCATGTTTATGTCCAAGAGATTTTTGCCTATGTTTTTTTCTAAGAGTTTTATGATTTCATGACTTACATTCAGGTTTTTGATCCATTTCGAATTTACTTTTGTGTATGGGGTTAGACAATAATCCAGTTTCATTCTCTTACATGTAGCTGTCCAGTTTTGTCAAAACCAGCTGTTGAAGAGGCTGTCATTTCCCCATAGTATATTCATGGCTCCTTTATCATATATTAATTGGCCATATATAGTTGGGTTAGTATCTGGACTGTCTATTCTGTTCCACTGGTCTATGGGTCTGTTCTTGCGACAGTACCAAATAGTCTTGATAACTGTGGCTTTGTAGTAGAGCTTAAAGTTGGGAAGTGAGATCCCCCCTGCTTTATTCTTCCTTTTCAGGATTGCTTTGGCTATTCTGGGTCTTTTGTGGTTCCATATGAATCTTAGAACTATTTGTTCCAGTTCGTTGAAGAATGCTGTTCGTATTTTGATAGGGATTGCATTGAATCTGTAGATTGCTTTAAGCAGGATGGCCATTTTGACAATATTAATTCTCCCTAGCCAAGAGCACGGGATGAATTTCCATTTATTAGTGTCCAGTTTAATTTCTCTTAAGAGTGCCTTGTAGTTTTCAGGGTATAGGTCTTTCACTTCCTTGGTTAGGTTTATTCCTAGGTATCTTATTCTTTCTGATGCAATTGTGAATGGAATCGTTTTCCTGATTTCTCTTTCTACTAGTTCATTGTTAGTGTATAGGAATGCCACGATTTCTGTGTATTAATTTTGTATCTTGCAACTTTGCTGAATTCCGATATTCTAGTAGTTTTGGAGTGGATTCTTTAGGGTTTTTTATGTACAATATCATGTCATCTGCAAACAGGGGCAGTTTGACTTGTTCCTTGCCAATCTGTATGCCTTTTATTTCTTTGTGTTGTCTGATTGCGATGGCTAGGACCTCCAGAACTATGTTGAATAAAAGTGGAGAGAGTGGATATCCTTGTCTTGTTCCCAATCTTAGGGGAAAAGCTTTCAGCTTCTCACTGTTAAGTATAATGTTGGTTGTGGGTTTGCCATATATGGCCTTTATTATGTTGAGGTACTTGCCCTCTATACCCATTTTGTTGAGAGTTTTTATCATGAATGGATGTTGAATTTTGTCAAGTGCTTTTTCAGCATCTGTGGAGATGACTGTATGGTTTTTGTCCTTCTTTTTGTTTATGTGGTGGATGATGTTGATGGATTTTTGAATGTTGTACCATCCTTGCATCCCTGGGATGAATCCCACTTGATCATGGTGTATGATCCTCTTGATGTATTTTTGAATTCGGTTTGCTAATATTTTGTTGAGTATTTTTGCATCTATGTTCATCAGCGATATTGGTCTATAGTTTTCTTTTCTTGTGATGTCTTTGCCTGGTTTTGGTACTAGAGTGATGCTGGCCTCATAGAATGAGCTTGGGAGTATTCCCTCCTCTTCTATTTTTTGGAAAACTTAAAGGAGAATGGGTATTATGTCTTCTCTAAATGTCTGATACGTCCAGCTGTTCTTAGCTGATGTTCTTCAAGGCCTCATGGGTGTCCCCACCTCTTCCCATTCTAGCTCACATGAACTCTGTGGCCTGGGGAGGGAGCTCCCAGGGCAAAGTGATGCATATGTGTGCAAAGTCCGAGGAATGGACTAAATGAGTTATTGGTGTGGCCTTTAAATTCTATGGTGAATTGAGTTCAGACATTTATTGGGCATCCTGGTGTGTCAGCCGAGCCCTGTGCTGGGCACGGAGTGGGGGTAATGTGGTAGGTGGAGGGAGTAGAAGAGCCAAAGAGAACTAACAACCGTGGCGGGGTCCCATAGGCATCAGCAGAGCTCAGCAGCGGCATCTAGTAGGTGTTAAGGGTGCCCAGGAATAAGCAGGCATCAGGAGGTGGAGAAGCAGAGGACAGAATGAAAGTGCAGAGACCAGAGAGCCTCAGGCAGCCTGGGGGGCAGGGTGGGAAAGGGGTGGCAGTGAAAGGGGGTGGGGGGCTCAGGGGGGCTCTGATAGTGGCTGGGACTGGGGGCAGTCTGTGCCACTGCACTGCCACACTGTCCCACTCCAGAGGCATTGTTCCTCCTCGCAGCCCCTCTGAGTGGATCAGCACAGCCCTTCCTTCGGCTGCTTGCCCGGACTGGCACATGCCAGCCTCCCCTTGAAGAGAGGGAGCAAGCTTTGCCTCCTCCTACCCACAGGCCACGTAGAGCCAGAAGACTGTCCTCAGGTCAGTTTGCGTCTCCCCAACTCTCCTCTCCTCTCTCCCTCTCCTCCCTCTTCCTCCCCTCTCCCCACCTCCCGGCCTTTCTCCCTCTCTCCCAGTCTCCCTTTCTCTCCCCTTTTCTCCCCCCCTCACCTCCTCCTCTCTCCCTTTCCTGGCCCCATCCCTCCCTGTCCCCCTCCTCCCTCCGCCCCCCTGTCCTCTTCCCTCTCACTGTCTGGCCCTCCCCCGTCCTGCAGGGCACTGCATCACAGCAGGGAGAGCTTAGGTCCTTAGCAGATCCCTGCTCCAATCCTGGCTCCACTGCGTCCTGGAGCCTCAGGCTCCTTAACTTAGAGAAAGAGGAATCTCGGTAGTTCCTCCTTATGCAGAATCAAATCACTCACTGAGTGTAAAGCCCCTAGGCAGGTGCCAGACGACAGGTCCCTGCACCCAGTGAGTGTGACTGTCCCAGTCACTCAGACACTCCTTGTGCCAGAGGAAATGCCTGGTCTGGGTTCTGCCCCAGACCCGTCCCGCCTCCGTGGAGGAACACAGTGCAGGAGATGCTGGGGTGGGGCAGGTTCCAGGAGCCCCAGGGTGTGGTACTGATGCCTCCTGGAGCCCTGCCCTGCAAAGGAGGAGTGCCGGCTGCTGCTGCTGGGGTCCCTGACTGGACTCAGTGCCTTGTGCTTGGCCCTGCCTGCCTACCTCCTCCACATTCCTGGCCCTTAGCAACCTCCCAGCTGAGCCTGAGGCTGCCTGCACCCTCCATTACTCCCACCCCTGGTAAGGCTTCGGCTCAGCCTGGGTAGGGGTCAGGCTCCCCAGAGCCAGGGCAGCCCTAAGTCCTCCTGTGGCCAGAACTGCTCACTCCCTTCCCCTTGCTTCCTGCTGCAACCTCTGCCCTCTTCACCTGCTCCCCAGCCCTGTGCCCACCCTCCAGGAGGAACATTCTGGCTCTGTGCCTTTGTGAGCACTCTTCCCTGGCACCCCCCAGCTCAGGTGTCCAGTGCACCTGAGAGGAGCTCTGGAGAGTTGGGAAGGTGTGGTGGGGGGGAGCCGAGGCTCACCTGGGGAGGGTGCCCAGGTTTAGGTTCTGACCACACCCTGATCTCCTCATTTCTAAATAGGGCTAACAAGCCTCACTGGACTGAATTCAGGCCGGTGTAAAATATTAGGGCAGTTCCTGGCCTGAGCCTCCATCAGCAGGATCTGAGGGCCAGGCCTGTGGTGGTATGACCTCTTGAGTCCTGGCATAAGGAAAGAGCAGGTGGCCTGTGCTGAGGGCAGGAGTCTTGGGCGACAGTCTTCCATTTCTATGCCTATAAAATGGGAATAATAAGTGTATGAGCATCCACGGGTCATGGAGAGGATTATGTGAGATGAGGCTGTGAAGCCCTGAGCTTGGGCCCGGCCTGTGGGAAGCCCCGTAAGTGGTAGGTTTATTACTATTAGGCTGGGGCTCAGGGAGGTTGAGCGACCTGTCCAAGGTCACAAAGCAGACTGATGGCAGAGCTGCGTTGGCAGCCTCACCAGCCTTCTCCAGAGTCCTGCATCCATTCCTGTAAAGCCCTGTGTGATACTGAGTTTGGAGGAACATTGAGCTGCAGCTCCAGACTCGGTCCAACTTTGCTCCCCACACGTATCCCAAATGCAAACCCCTCTTGCGGCCAGGCCCCTAAGGGGTGGGGTGAGGGGAGTCCAGAGCAGGAATGCCTAGGGGAGTGGGACTTCCCGTGGGTGCACCAAATACCAGACAGTCCCTCATTCAAATACTGACCTGTGCTCGCTGTGGGCAGACCCTGCCTCCCTAATCATTGCAGCCCCAAGAAGCAGGTTGTTAGCCCAACTTCTAAAAAATAACATTTTTATTGAGATATAATTTGCATATCATACAATTGGCCCATTTAAAGTGTGTGATGCAATGACTTAAATGTATTTGCAGATTGGGGCAGCCATCACCACAGTCAATCTCAGAACTTTTTTATTATCCCTAGAGGATGCAGAAACCCTGTGCCCATTAGCAGTGACTCCCCATGTCCCCTCCTTCCGGCCCTAGGCAGCCCTGATCTTTCTGTTTCTGTAGATTTACCCATTCTGGATGGAATCATATAGTATGATTTTGTGACTGGCTTCTTCACTGAGCCTAATGTTTTCAAGATTCACCTGCATTGTAACAGGTATCAGTACTTCATTTTTTAAACTGCAAATAATATTCACTGTGTGGATAGACCACACTTTATCCATTTATCAGTTGATGCATATCTATGTTGTTTCTACTTTATGACTGTTATGAATAGTGCTGCTAGGAATGGTTGTGTACATGTTCTTGTGTGGACTTGTTATCCCATTTACGGATGAGGAAACTGAGGTTCACAGAGTGGAAACCTCTTGCCCAAGCTGGTGAGTGGAGGACTCAGGCTGTCTGTCTGCATTTAGAGTCTGTGCACCTTTCCCGCCCAGGCCTTGTTTTCAGAGCTAAGCTAAATGCTGTGATAGGGCTTGGTCAGGACAGAAGGGAGTGAGAAGTTAATTTTATAGAGAAAGGGTGGAAGCTTCCCTGGGCCTTGAAGGATGAGTGGAAGAGGGGAAAAGTATTGCAGGCAGAGAAATAGGAGGTGCAAAGGCCCAGGTGTGAGGCTGCTTGATGTATAGGGCCAAGTACAGGGCAGATGAAAAGCAGAGAAAGGGGTGGCAGGTGATAGAGTTGGGGGCATAGAATAGATTTAAAATGCCTTGAATGCCATTCTAGGCACCATGGACTTGATCCTGAAGGCAGTGGGGAGCCCCAGAAGGGAATCACTATAACGTGAAGTCAGACAGACCTTAATCAAATCTCAGTGCCACTCTCCTAGAGACCTTTGCTTTAGTTTTATCATATGGAAAATGGGAGTGACAATAATAATAGCTCATTAAAGTATGTAGGAAGGATTGAGTTGCTATCTCCAGAGAGCCAGCCCAGCAAACGGTAGTGGGTGTCATCATCGAAGGGTTTTTAGCAGGGGTGTGCTAAGGTCAGACTGGTGCTCTGGAAGGGCGCCTGGCTGCAAGGTGACAGGTCTTGGGGAAGCTGTTGTCCAGGGAAGGGCCCCAGGGAAAGTGCCGTGGTGATGGAGAGTCATGGGCGGGGCTGCCAGAGGTTTAGGAGGGAGCTTCTGCAGACCCACAGACTTTGGGAATTGCTTGTGAATAAGATCTAATTCCTGATCTTTTTGTGAGCCCCTGGGCCTGGTGCCAAACCACCCAGAGGTGGGGTTGATGGCCCCTCTCGGTTCCTCCCTGCAGCACGCCTGAGGACGCCATGCGGGGGGCTCTGGCGCCCTCGTCTTTGCTGCCTCCGCCGTCTCTGCTGCCCGTGCTGCTGGTGCTGGGCTTCGGTCTGAGGGCGGCCACCAGTGGCGGGGCCAGTGCAGCAGCCGGCTACGCACCGGTGAAGTACGTGCAACCCATGCAAAAAGGACCGGTGGGGCCGCCCTTCCGTGAGGGCAAGGGCCAGTACTTGGGTGAGCCTGTCCCCGCCCCACAGTGCTCGTGACCTGCAACTCCCTGCCGCCCGACCACCACCAGCTCTCCCAGGCCCTCAGCCACAGCCTGTCCACCCCCACCAAATATCTTCCCATCTCCACTTCTCTTCCGGATGCTGGTCCAGGGCCTCCCACCCCTGGAGGGCCCAGAAGCAGTGTGCGGCTAGCTGGCAAGCAGAGGCGGTCTCCAGGCGGGGTGGGGAAGGGCGGGTAGATGTGTGGGGAAGTTGCAGGGGCAGGGGTCTGCCCTGATGGGCTCTAAGGAGGGCCACTGGTGCCACCTGGCAGCCACTCCATCCCCAGGTCAGGTAGGGATGTCACCCCAAGTTTTTGGGGAAGGCCCGGCCTGGGTAGGTTGGGTGCTAGGAACCCCCCCAGGTGGCCACTGGATGCCTATCAGCTCCATCTTGCATGGAAGCAGGGAGGGGAGCCAGGGCGTGGTGTTCTCACTGGTGTATGCCATGCTAATGTCCCGGAGTGGGCATATGGGTCCCTGTTCCCCATTGTCCAGGCCTCTGACTGCCCCTTCTTTCTCTCTCTCAGAAATGCCTCTACCACTACTGCCAATGGACCTGAAAGGAGAACCCGGCCCCCCTGGGAAGCCCGGGCCTCGGGGGCCCCCTGGTCCTCCTGGCTTCCCAGGAAAACCAGGCATGGGGAAGCCAGGCCTACATGGGCAGCCTGGCCCCGCTGGCCCCCCTGGCTTCTCCCGGATGGGCAAGGCTGGTCCCCCAGGCCTCCCAGGCAAGGTTGGATCACCAGGACAGCCAGGGCTTCGGGGGGAGCCAGGGATACAAGGGGACCAGGGTCTCCGGGGGCCCCCAGGACCTCCTGGCCTCCCTGGCCCCTCAGGCATTGCTGTCCCTGGAAAACCAGGCCCTCAGGGGATTCCAGGGCCCCCAGGATTTGGGGGTGAGCCAGGGCCCCAGGGGGAACCTGGGCCCCCAGGTGATCGAGGCCTCAAGGGGGATAACGGAGTGGGCCAGCCAGGGCTGCCTGGAGCACCAGGGCAGGGCGGTGCTCCCGGACCCCCTGGCCTCCCTGGTCCAGCTGGCTTGGGCAAACCAGGTTTGGATGGGCTTCCTGGGGCCCCTGGAGATAAGGGTGAATCTGGGCTCCCTGGGGTGCCAGGACCTAGGGGGGAGCCTGGGGATTTGGGCCCCAAAGGGCCCCCCGGGGTAGATGGTATGGGGGTACCAGGGGTAGCAGGGGTTCCAGGGCCACAGGGCCCAGCAGGGACCAAAGGGGAGCCAGGGCCCCGGGGCCTCCCTGGCCTGATAGGCCCCACTGGCTATGGGATGCCAGGACTGCCGGGCCCCAAGGGAGACAAGGGCCCAGCTGGGGTTCCAGGGCTCTTGGGGGACAGGGGTGAGCCAGGTGAGGATGGGGAGCCAGGGGAGCAGGGCCCACAGGGCCTGGGGGGTCCCCCTGGACTTCCAGGGTCTGCAGGGCTCCCTGGCAGACATGGGCCCCCTGGGCTTAAGGGAGAAGCAGGGCCTGGAGGACCCCCAGGAGTTCCTGGTATTCGGGGTGACCAGGGGCCTAGTGGCCTGGCTGGGAAACCTGGGCTCCCAGGAGAGAGGGGACTTCCTGGGGCCCATGGACCCCCAGGACCAACTGGGCCCAAAGGTGAGCCGGGTTTCATGGGCCGTCCTGGGGGCCCAGGTGTGGCAGGAGCCCTGGGGCAGAAGGGTGACTTGGGGCTCCCTGGACAGCCAGGCCTGAGGGGCCCCTCAGGAATCCCAGGACTCCAAGGCCCAGCTGGCCCCATTGGGCCTCAGGGTTTGCCAGGCCTGAAGGGTGAACCAGGCCTGCCAGGGGCTCCTGGAGAGGGGAAAGTTGGGGAACCTGGCATAGCTGGGCCTTTGGGGCCACCTGGAGTCCCTGGTTCCCCAGGACTCACAGGACCTCCTGGGCCTCCTGGGCCTCCAGGTCCCCCTGGCGCCCCTGGGGTGTTTGATGAGACTGGTATCGCTGGCTTGCACCTGCCCAACGGTGGCGTGGAGGGGGCTGTGCTGGGCAAGGGGGGCAGGCCACAGTTTGGGCTGGGCGAGCTGTCCGCCCCTGCCACGCCGGCCTTCACAGCGGTGCTCACCTCCCCCTTCCCCGCCTCGGGCATGCCTGTTAGGTTTGACCGGACTCTTTATAATGGCCACAGTGGCTACAACCCTGCCACTGGCATCTTCACCTGCCCTGTGGGCGGGGTCTACTACTTTGCTTACCACGTGCACATCAAGGGCACCAATGTGTGGGTGGCCCTGTACAAGAACAACGTGCCAGCCACCTACACCTACGATGAGTACAGGAAGGGCTACCTGGACCAGGCGTCTGGAGGTGCCGTGCTCCAGCTGCGGCCTAACGACCAGGTCTGGGTGCAGATGCCCTCGGACCAGGCCAACGGCCTCTACTCCACTGAGTACATCCACTCCTCCTTTTCAGGGTTCTTGCTCTGCCCCACATAACCCGCGGGGGGCCCTGCCGCCCTGGCCTCCTCCTTTTTAGTGGTAGAGAGACCTTCTGTTACAAAGAACCTCCATTTAAAGAAAAAAACCAGTCTGAACAGAGGTGGGAACAGAGGCGGCCGTGGCCTTGGCCTGAACAGACTGACTTGGTTTCTCTAGCCATGCCGGCTGAGGTTGTTTCTGGAAGAGGCAGGCCTGAGTTCCTCTCCCCAGTGTCTGTGCAGTGTTGGGGTTGTGCCCCCATTGCAGGCAGGGCTCCAGGACACCTGGCCCAGCTGTCGGAGACCCCTGCCCCTGTGTCTGGGGCCCTCAAGGGTGGTGAAGAACGTGGCTTCTCGTGAGGCAGAACTGAGAGGGGACTGAGCGCCCCATCCATCCCCCCAGGGACATGTTCCCAAGTCCTGCCCTTCCTGCTGCCCCCCAGATGGCACCTCAAGGAATGGGGCATGGCCTCCCTCAGTTCTTGACTGGAGCTCTTCAGTTACCCTGGGACCTCCAACCTATGAAGGTGGGTCCCCTGAAGAGTTTTGTTTCCCCTCCGAGGGAAGGGGCTAGGAGGTGGCCATTGCAGTGGCCAGTATGGACACCTTGCCAGGATGGCAGTCCTAGGAGTGGGGCTGTGGCGTCAGGCCTGCCTGTGGTGGGAGCAGGTGTGCGGCCCCTCTGTGAGCTCCTGGGAGGGGCCCACCCTCCTTCACTGCTCTAGCTGCAGCCAGGGGGAACAGCGGCTCCTGAGGTGTCGGGGCATGGATCAAGGGCAGGATGGCAACTCTGCACACTCACCTCCACCTCCCAGACTGCACCCACCAGCTCTGGTTCTGTTTGGCTTCAGGGGGCGGCACAGGCCCCTAGAACCGCCACAGGCCAGCAGGAAGCAGCATCACCAGTCAGCCTTTCTCCTTTCACCCGGACGGGGGAGGGCTGACTCTCTCATACCTAATTAAGGGATCCTTGCCACTCTCAGCCCAACTGTCCGCAAGTAAAGAGCCTCTCATATGGCCCTCAGAACAAGGTGCATACAAGCTTGGGATGAAGGCTCCCGCCTGCTTTCCTTAGCAAGAACCAGCTGGTGGATATGTGTCTACTAGAGGGGTCAGTCTGTGGGGGCTTCCTCGCCTTCCACTCTGCTTCCAATTTCCTGTTCTGAGCAGGATTAGGGCTCAGGAGGCTGAGGCTCTGAGAAAGGGTGCCAACAGGCCCCTTTGGAAAGAGTGGGCATGGACATTTCTGCCATTCTCCCCAGTCAGAGCTCCCCTGAGGGATCCCCCTCCCATCCCCATAGCCCTGCGTTCAGGCAGAGTGGGTAAAGCTGAGATTAGTGCTGGGGGCAAGGATGGCCACTTGCCCAGTGGCTCAAGACCTCTTGGCTGGCCCTCCCCAAGCCAGCCCACTTCCCTGTCCAAATGCAGACCTGGGTCAACATGATCTCACTGTATCGCTCCAATCCTGGCCAACGTGACTGTCCATGTTGGGAAATGGAGGGCGACTGCTGACTTCTGACTCCAGCTCTCCCACCAGCCCTCCTTCCCTATTCACCACTTCTCTCAACAAAGCAGGCCATTTGACCGCTCCCTTTAACTTTCGAAAGGAGAAATGAAAACCCACAGTCTGCCTAAGTGACACTTTAACAACAGGTTTTGGTTGGGGTTCCTGGTGGATTTCTTATTCTCCAACACCCAAGAGAACTAGAGTCTCAAACCACGTGTGGTGGGGAGTCCTTTGCTCAGCCTCCTTCCTGGGTCAAAGCCACTGTCTGACCTATCAGGGAGGGGCTCTGATGCGTGGAAATGCATCAGCTCCCAATGGGCCTACAGAGGACACCAGTGTGCAAAAAAAAAAAAGCTGTTTTCCAGAACTGAGCTTCTGCTAATTGTCATTCCTGAAGTCTTTGGGTAAGGGTGGTTGATGTTTCTGAAATGTTTATGGGACCTTAGTTCCAGGTGTCCACTTAACTGACTAGCTTTCATAAATGTCAGATTTTAACTATGAAAACTACAGAACCTTGTGCATTTTTATATTCTGATTCCTGGTTTTTTACGATCAAGGTTTAATGTTCTCCATTAGTCATTTCTCTAACTTGGCATAGGAAGCTTAGTTCTCTACTGTGTCACAGATCTGGGAAAAATGCACTTGGGAATCAAAGAAAATGGGACTTATGTTTGAAAAGAAAAACAATGGTATTGATTATGTTGACACAACCTCAATAAAACCTGTTGTATAAAACTACCATGTGCTGAATTTGGCATTGACGTCAAAGTGTCCCCAGCCCCTGGATGTCCTAAATGTCCTGGGAGCTCTCTCTTTGGGAGTATACATTCCTCTCCAGTTCCCCAGCCACAGGTTCTGTCACCACTACATCAGAAAAGCCTGATGCACCAAAGATGCTGAGGCTTTGCACCAAGTAAATGCCAAGAAGCATTTTAAGAAACCAAAGTGAGGCAGTGGCTGGAGCTGGGGGAGACAATTAAGCTTCCCTGAAACATTCCTGCAAGCTCTCAGGGGTAGTGGAGCATGACAGCTGGCTCAGGATCCCAAGGGCCAAGTTTCAACATCTGATACAAATTATGAATGAAATCATGAATCTTTGTTCCTGAGGGCAGGGCTAGTGCCAGGCCTTTTGTTCCTGAGGGCAGGGCTAGTGCCAGGCCCAACGCTGAAGGAAGGGAGGGAGCTGTCCTGGGCAAAAAACACGTGCCCCAGAGCCTGCCATGCTCAGCAGCTAGGGATCTGTCCCTGGCTCTGGGGACGGGGACAGCAGACCTGGACCAATGCAGCCTGGTAGAATCCCGACAGTCCCGAAACCTCAGGCTGGCTGCACAGCTGGGCATGCTTCTCCCTGTACTGACAGTGAAAGGATGCTTAGATGATATGCTTAGGGGAGGTGTCTTCTTCCTTTCAATTTTCCTTTCTTCGAAATGTGGGCCAAAGCCTTTGAGCAGGGCCCAAGATAAAGAACAAGGCACACAGACTTCAGTGCACACAGGTGTGCCCTCCCCAACCCCACCCCAAAGGTTGACAGCCCAGTGGCATCCTCCCACAGGGTTCCTGTTCCTGGCCCAGCTGGGCCTGGGTCCTATTTGTGCAGCAACCTATGAAGAAATCAGGCTCTGAGAGCAGCGAAATCTGGCTGGTTCCTATCCACTGCCTGGGCCACTCTGAGGGATCTAACAGGAAAACTCACCAAACCAGGCCTGTTCTCCCCTTCCTGGCTGAACAATGTGGCTGGCAGGAAGAACTGGAGGAATCGGCCTCAAAACACAGCAGCTTGCAGTCTTGTGTCCCTCAGTCCTAGCAGAGTGCAAGCCAGATAAAAAGGCACCAGGCTTGAGAAGGTCAAGGCAGAGAAGAACCCATTCAGGCAGAGGAGAAACATAAGAAACAGTGAGGGATTTACTGAAAACTGTTTATTGCTCTGTGACTTCCACTGGAAGCTGTTAGTGAGCCCATGAGAGCCAAGGGCCAGGAATGTACCTGGAGTCAAGTGCCTGTCTCCTTGATTCATATAAACTTGCTGCCCAGGGGCCCTGCCAGTCACAGGCAGGCTTTTCGGCAAACTGGCTGAATTGCAACAAGGAGAAATGATGCTACTGCAGATCAATCATTTCCACCTCCCTGATTCCATGTCCTAGATAATAAAATGAAACGCCACGAGTACCCTAGGCTCTGCAGGAAGCCAGTCGCCCAATCCCAGAGGCCCTGCCCCGAGTGTGCTCCACCCACAACGTGGGGACGGAGGCAGGGCACCAAGTCTAGGGATCCTCAGGGCTCCGTATCTGAGCTCTAGCTGGTCCTGCTGGACAGGGCAGAGCCCCAGCAGCTGTGGCCCTCACAGACTCTTCTGGAAGACTCGGTGCAGGCTCTGGGCAAGGATATCTGTCTCCTCGTAGCCCTCACAGCTTTGCTGCCAGCTCTCTGGCACCTGTTCCATGCCATAATAGGCACCAGCAATGGCCCCAGCCATAGTGGCAATGGTGTCTGTGTCCCCGCCAAGTGAGATGGAATAGACAAGAGTTCTCTGGAGGCTATTGAAGGCAGAGGGGATCTCAGGGTCAGGCTCCATGCAGCGTAGGAAGCAGTAGATAGCAGTGGGCACAGATTCAAAGGCAGCAATGCCGTTCCCTATGGGGAAGCCAGATTACAGGAACTTGACCCTCTCCTGCTCCATGTCCCCAAGCTTCTTCCACCACATATCAACACTCTCAGCTTCAACTGGACTGTGATTAAGATCACAGGCTCTGGAGTTAGACTATTTGGGTTCAAATCCTGGCTCTTCCACCTACTGGCTGTAAGACTGGGAAAGTTCTCTGAGAAGAGCCCACTCCTCTGGTAGAGAGTGAACAAGTCAGTGACTCTCACAGGGCTGGCATGAGGCTGGCATGAGGCCACCCAAGGTGCAGCCTTCTGCAGAGTGCACAGGGCACAGTAAAAGTGCCATATAAATGACATCAGCTGTCAGAACAGGCAGCCTGCTGCCATTTCTGGGGACGTTTATCTGTAAGGCTGAAGATGGGTAGCCCTAGAGCAAGAAGGCACTGTGCTCAACCCCGCCAAGAACCCTACGGGGCCGAGAACCCCACAGGGCTGGCTCACTGTCACAGCAGCCTCAGGCAAAAGAGGGAGAGTAGACACGACTCCGAGCTCCCCTCGGAGGCCAGGACCCTGAAAGATGACGGGTGTTGGGGTGTACCCACCGAGCTCACATACCACCTCCTCTCTGGTCACTGAGTTCTGCCCCAGAAGCGCTCCAATCTTCTTTAGCCGGCTGGAGTACGGACGCTCCTCCATGCCCAGCCTGTGGGTTGAGGCAGGATTTCAGGGAGGTTGGAGCCAGCAGGGTGAAGACGGAGGGCAGGGGGAAGGGCCGTGTGGAAGGGCAAGGCAGGGATGTGGTCAGGGTGACACCTAGCACAGGTGTCTTGACAAGGGGGAGAAGGCTAGGTGTGAGCCAGTTGTCTGCTGTCTGGGGTCCTGAGAGCCCTGAGGCACAGCCAAGGCAAAGGGGCTCTTCCCACCCCTCCCTTGGGTCTGTGATTGAAGGAAGGTTTCAGCTTGTTGCAATGCAAGCCCCCCCCAACCACCGCGCATGCATGCTCACACACACACTTCCAGCCTGCCTCAGCCCGATACTTACTCCCTGGCATCCGAGATGGACTGGGCATCACTCTCCAGCTCTTCCATGTGGCCCAGAAGTTGCTCGAGGAAATGCTCACTAGATGACTCACCCTGCAAAGCCAGGTGCACAGCCAGGGCCTGCAGGATGGCACCGTTGTAGCCCAGGGAGGAGGCGTGAGTCAGCTGGGCCGAGAGCCGGGCGAACTAGGGCAAAGGCAGTGGAGGCAGGTCCTGCTGTCACAGAACCCGAGCCGCACAGCGAGGGGGCGAGGGGGGTAAGCCCCGAAGCCAGCCTGCCTAGACTACCTTCTGCACGTCCTGGACGCTGCTGTAGGCCAGGGAGATGCCAGCCACCCGCATGGCACCGCCATTGCCGTAGGAGCCCTTCCCGTTAAACTGGGCCTGGGCAGGCTCATAGACATCACGGCACTTGGGGCTGAGGAGCTTCCGGAAGACGGTGATGACTCCTGCACCGTAACCCCGGTCAGGGTCTTTCTTGTACTCCTGAGCAAATCTAGGCAAGAGAAGGGAGGTGGAATTAAGGTTTGAAAGATGCCTGTCAGGGTTGGGAGAGAAGAAATCTGGTTGGCTTGGTAAGAGGAAGCTTCGGGGATCTGAGGGGCCTGCACCAGCCGCACTGTCATCTCTAGCCTGGGAAGCTGCAGCAGCCCTAGAGACAGTGTCCGGCAGAGGCTGGGGGCCTGGCATGCATGGGCCACACTGCTCTGGTCATGTGGTGCAAGAACTCTGCCCCCCTGGTGCGCCTCACCCCAGGACCATCCCCCCTCACCTGTGAGCCATGTCCACCTCGTCGAAGGCTTCCTTGGCCAGCAGGGACTGCACCAGGGCCCTGGCCATGGCTGTGTCGTCTGTGTAGTACAGTGCTTCTGCAGGGACAGATGGGGGAAGGGGGAGATCCAGCTGCAGGGCTTTGGGTGGCAGCTTTGGCTTCCCACTTGTTCCTTTTATTCACCATTTCCACCACACCTGAAGTCAGCCTTGAGCTCCCATCCCGTTTCCTGGGCACAAGACCTTGGGATTTTCAGCATTCTTTATTTCAGGTCAGTTACCACGTCCTGCTGGTATCTGAAGGAGAACCTTCCACCCCCTTCTGACTGCCATCACTGTATTTCTAGTCTTAATACCACCTGCTGCGGGCCCCTCAAAGCTGCACAATCCCCACCTCTAGCCCAAAGTGTAAGTGCAGCCAGAAAATCCTTCCTCACAGTAGAAAATCGCTTTCCTCATCTCACTCTCCTGCTCAAAATGGCTGTCTGCTGCCCTCAGGGAGAGGTCCAAATTCACTGCCTTAGCCTTGAAGCCCTTCCCAGCCAGGCCCCTCCGTCCTCACCCATCTTATACCCACTGCTCCTCTACACACAGCCCCGGAACCAATCTCAGAGGCTGGGTTTCGTCCTTCCCAGCGGGGGCTGCTCCCCAGCTCCACCCGCCCTGTTCCCTTCCTCTGGGGGCACAGGACTTCTAACACAGAGGAGACACTGGTTATATGGCGACTTCCTGAATAGGCTACAGGCCAGCTGGGATAGGGACTTGGTTTTATCTGAGGGAAGAGCACACGCCCTAGTGAGCCCCTCTTCGTGCTCCTCATGCCTCCGATCCCATCCTAGCCGGTGCACCACAGCCCCGAAACCCTTTCCCCTCCCCTTTCACTCTTAGGAGGCCCCATTCCTACTTCACTAGGAAGAGAGGCTGTCAGTTCCCTTTTCTGCAGCCATGCTCTCCCATCTTCCCTTGATGGAGTGTGTCCCTCTTCCAGTCCACCCTAGCCCTGTTTCCTGGGGAATCTGATCTTCCTTTATCTTCTCTCCCGTCCCCTCAACTTCTCCCTATATGGTGGAGCAGCACCTATTGTCCCTTCCTTTGCACCCTGCACCCTCTGTCCCACTCAGGTGATGAGGGCATGGTGCTCACATCACCTTGTCCAACCAAACAGCACACTCCACTCCCTTGTTCAGGGGTGGACGGATGACCTGAGCAAAGCCAAGGAGACTCAATCTGGAACTTTCGATGGGACCACTGCAAAGAGGGACACCTCTGCTGGAGTTGCTGAGCTGGGAGCTGCTGGGGGCCAGCCATGGGAAGGGTCAGCCAGGGTGAATGCCACCAATGCAGATATGAACAAGGAGATGAACGGGGTTTGGGGGAGATGGTTTCGGTCCCTGGATTCAGCTCCACTTGAAGCCAGACCTACCTCTGGACTTTCCAGTTATAGGCCATCGTGAGTTGGGTTTTCTGCCACTTGCACCCAGTGGGTTTTAAACTCTTAACCTAAAATGTTTTCCCATCTTAATGTCCAAGCAAAAATACAATTAAAAAACAATGTCCATCTTGTCTTCACTTGTGACAGATCATCTCTCCTCTTCATAGGAAACCTTTCACTTCCTACTCCACTGAAATCTAACTTTCAAGTTTCAACTTTCAACCTTCTACTGAAAATGCTTTTCTCTGGTGAAAAGACTACCTTCTGCTTAACCTCTCCAGCATGACATCAATGTCTTCCATCATGAAATTTCCTCGGATTTTGTTGATACCCATGCCCCCTGCTCCTATGAAATCCTTTCTTTCTCTGGCTCCTTTTCCTCTTCCTGGGTTTCTGAGTATGGTCCTTTTTCTTGCTATTCTCCATGTTCTCCAAGAAGAATCATCCTCTGCTTGACTTCAGATATAATACCGAGCAGAGATCTGGGTGAGGAGTTGACTGCATGGAGAGGCAGACAGCTTTATAAGCAGGGGATGGTACCTGCCACGGGTTGGGCTTGAGGAAGCAGGATGTGAGAGGAACTGAAGCGCAAGGCCAAGGGTGGTATAAGATAACACTGGGGATGCAGGCCACTGACGGCCGGGCGGGACACGCTCAGGAATTTGGCTCTATCCTGAGGGTAACGGAAATCACTGCACAGTCTCATACCAGGAAGGCCGCGATCAGATCCGTTTTGAGCAGACTGCTTACTCCCTGCTGCGTGGAGACTGGACCATGGTGCTGACTCGAGACATGGGTACAACACATAAAATCAACAGGGGTGTATATACAGGGCTAGGCACCATTTGGGGGAATGACTCCTAGGTTCCTAGCTTGGCACGTTAAGGACGGTGCTGCCATGCCCCTGGCTGGGGAGTGTTGAGGGCGAGACGGTGTGACGAGGGAGCTGAGTCCAGTTCCGGTGCCCGCGGGTTATCCACATCTGGCCCCTGCTGCCCCGGGCAGCCTCACCTGGATGGAGCCCACGCCTCTACCGCCGCGGCGCCCTCCCTTCCCTAGTCCCCACGTGCACCCGGTCCCGCCCACCTGTCCGCGCGCTGCCCGGCGAGCCGAGGTCGGGCTCCAGGCTCTGGACGTGACGCAGAACTGACGTCAGGCTTACGGTGTCGTGCGCCTCGTAGATGGCGCCCACGCAGTCCCCGAGCAGCGCGCCAGCCAGGCAGCCTCGGAAGCGGGAGAGGGAGCGGGCCGCCCCAGCCCCTCCGCAGGCCGTCGCTGTCATTGCCGCCGCCGCCGCCGCCGCCATTCGCGCGGGCCAGTCGCCACTTCCGGTGCGGCCGGCGCGCTCCCCACGGCGCCGCTTCCCTCCAACCCCACAGCGCCTCTCGGTGGCCTGGAGCCCCCGCGCCGCTCCCCGGCCACAGCGCCGCTCAGTGGCTAGGAGCCGCAGCTCACGAATGCGTGGGATCCGCGTCTGTCCCGCAGCGCTGGTTCTGTTGGGTCCTGTCTCTTCTTTTAGCTTGCATTCTCCACACCGGTAAACAGCGTCACAACTGGGCGGGACGGCCATTAAAGGGTCTCCGAGGAGTGGGCACTGAGCCAGACCTCCGGACCCCGGCAGCTGCTCTTCAGGCCTCTGTACCCCTGCACCCCTGGCCCTCCCACGGCAGCCCCGGCTCTTGGTCCCCACTCAGGCCTGGGGCCCCATCCCCGAGCACTCCCATCGTGATCCTACTCCCTCTGGGCCTCGCCTAGGCATCAAGAAGGCAGGCAAGGTTGTAGCTGGGACAGAGCTGGTCAGAGGTCACGCCACTAGAGCCCAAGGGGTGCTGGCCTTGCCCAGAGAGGGGTTTCCTGAGGAGGGAGAAGGGAAGGAATTGGATTTGGATGGAGCTTGGGAGATAATGTTCCCGATCTCCGCTTTTCTGTACACAGGAGGGCTGAGTCCTCTCACTCCCTGCTGGCTGCGCGCAGGACAACTGGTAACCATCGGGACTGCGAATTCTGACATTTATTAGATCGATTCCCTCAGCAACCCCGCCCTTTTCCATTTCCTACTGACCTTCCTCCTCCTCCCTCAGCCCCCCAAAGGCTAGGCCAGCTCCAGTTGGCAGGTTTTGAGTGGGCTCAGAGTGCGGTTTGTGGTCCGGGAGAAGGTGTCCACCTCAGGCACAAACTTCTCAGCAGGCACAGTCAGCTTCTGACGGGTGTCCATGCACTTGGTGTCCAGCAGCATGGAGTTGGCCTTGCAGGCAATGTCAGCCTGCAGCCGGGCCAGGTGCTTGTACAGGGCGTCCAGAGCGTCCCTGGGTAGGAGGCATCATTACCAACTCAGTCAGGGCTGAACTCTCCAGCTCTAAGTCAGGAAGACAGCTGGGGAGCCAGCACGCAGCAAGAGGCCCCATGGGTGGGAGGCATCTCCCTGCCCCTCCTGCCCACTCCCCCAACCTACTGTGCCTGTGCCAGCTTCTGCTTCAGGGCAGCAATGGTTGTCTCTAACTGGTGAACTTCGTCAGTGAGGCCATACTGTGCCTGGAGGCAGAGGGGTGGGTTGGGAGCCCCAGGTCAGCATACTATCCTTTGGCTCAGGAGTCTGGGTTCTGCCCACCAGCAGCACCCTTGCTCTGCCAGGAGTATGTGCTGGGCAGTGATCCCCAGGAGACTTTATCAGGGTCAAGGGGCCTAGTGGGGTGCCCTCGCACCTGGTCCCGGCAGAGTTCCACATTGGGTCGGTAGGTTCTGGACTCCAGCCGGGTATGGCACAGCTTCAGATTCTGTAACTTTCTGCGCAGATCCTCCTCCAGGTGCTGGAGGTCCTCGTGCAGCTCCGAGATCTCCTCCAAGGTCTGTGGAGACAAAGTGGCTGATCTCCACCAGCTGAAACCATCATGGTGCCCCTGGTCCAGGGCTTCCTGGCAGGGCATTGGGCTCCCCATCCCACAACAGGAAGCCCAAACCCCAGGGGCCTAAACTCACATTCTTCTCTTGCCACTTGAGCTCACTGTACACTTTCTCCATATCCCACAGCCGCTTTCTGAAGGCAAATTCTGTGGCAACCCTCTGGGCTTCCAGTTCATTGTTGGTCTGGAGGACAGGAAGCAGGCAGGGCAACAGGAAGGTATAAGCTCATGGCCCTTGGAGGATATCACTCAAGTGAGGGGATGGGATGGCACAAGCCACCAGGGAATCAAAGATAAGGGCTGGAGTGCACACTTGGGCCACCCATTAGCTGTGGAGCAGAGTGCGGGAGTGGTCAGTCACCTGGGCAATAGTTAGGGCAATGGCCTCCCTCAGTTCTGTGGCTCCTTTCATTTCAGCCTCCGCACGGTTCTTGTTGAACTGACTGAAGTCATCCCACTGCGGGAGTGTGGAGGAGCTGCAGGGGCAGGGAAGCTGCGGTCAGGAGGGCAGGCAGGCCTCCAAGGGGAGCAGGAAAGACTGAGTGAAACACTTCTTACCCATTGGGGACACGTGTGGGATTAACCTTCAGAGAGATGTTTGGGGACTTAAGGTTGAGAGAGAGGCAGCCTCTGTCGATGTCCAATGTCTCCATTTTGCCCCGATGGTCAGAGCTGAGCTGCTGTCGGACTTCCTGCAGGAGGCTGGGAGGGAACAGACTCGATCAGGAACCATCCTTCCAAGGCCCCAGAATGCAGCCCCATGGTACGGAGGGGGCACTGAGATGGGGAGGTTGGGCGTCAGTGGAGCTACTGCAGCTGAGACAAAGACCAGCACAGCTGGATGAGCTCCCTGAGGTACACTTACAACCCCCACATGCTAGCACACACCCACGGGGCACATGTGCATAGCCCCACTCACAAAGTTTCGCACACACACAAGTGGTAAGGGGTGGTGGCAAATGGGCTCCATCTCTCCTGCTTCCAATCAACTGATAATGGCTGCCTAGAGCAGGGTTGGGAGAAGTATTCTCAGACCATGTCCAGGCAGTGGGACTGTCACTGACTGGACAGGGGCAGAAGGCAGCCTGAGAGCAAGTTGCTTGCTGTCCACAATACATATGCTCCACCTTTAAGACACAGCCTTGAGTGCAGGGGAAGTCCTGTCTCCCGTACCAGAGCTTCTCAAAGGCTTGGCTAATCTTCTGCTGCAAGGCCTTCTTGGTGGCATCAATGATCTGCACCTCTTTGTGCAGCTCTTCCTCCACAGGATCCTTCACCACATCAATGTCCCGCCGACTGTCCCGCAGGGTCAGGCACTCAACTGCCACATCCAGAGGCAGGTTCTTGGCCTGCAGGTTTTGCTCTGCAGATTCTTTCATCTAGAAAAGAGGGAGCACAGGAGATGGGGTGGCATCCACTGGGAAGCAGATCTCATCCCCACTTTAGCAGAGGAGCTGGGAAGTGACTCAGATGGGCCTGCCACCAAATACCCCCATCAAGTGCTCCCGTCCCAGAAGTGGGGAGGGACGGTAGGTCCTTGCAGAGGTCTCCAGGTCCCCTGTTTTGCTGCCTGCCTGTGTCAGCGCGTCGATCTCAGCATCTAAATCTGTTAGACACTTGTCCAGCATCTCTTTCCATCGGTTCACAGTGTCAATCCTCTCTGCCAGTCGAGTCCTATTGTCGTGCTCATCCCAAATGGTCTGGAAGAGACACAGCCTGATAAAGAGGGTGTTGGGACTGTGGGCTTTGCCTTTGTCCACCCAAGTGGGCTCCCGCGCAGAACCTGGTTGGTGGTCTCGTTGCGGAGGACCCGGGCCTCCTGGCGGATCTGGTGTGAAGCATCCCGCTGCCGCTCTGCGTTGGTTGACAACAGATAGCTGTTGGTGTGCCAGTCCGGCAACCGGAAGCGTTGACTGGGTTTGGCGTTCAGCGTGGCCATGGCGCAGGGGCGAAGGGTCAGAAACCCTAGCCCTGTTCCAAGTCACCCACCTCTGCTGGAGGGGGAAAAGAGGCTGCAGGAGACCACTTGGGAGATCCTCTCCTGGATCAAAAGCCCCTCCTCGGGATGTGTTCTTGCCCATTGTGCTCCAAGCTCCTTCGGGCAGGACGCCTGCTTGTAAACAGCCCTGCCTGGCTTAACTTGTAAGATCATTAACTAAGTTTCCTCCCACCCCTCCGTCCACAGACTCAAACTCCTGGACCCTGCAGGCAGTGAAGGGGGATAATGGAGTCCCTCGGGGTGTGTGTGGGGGAGGGCGGGGTTGGGGGGCAGGGAGAATACCCCTTAGTCCTGTTCCCACCCCTACTTCCAGCAACCAAATCTTGTGGAACTTTCTTTTCTTTCTCCGCCCTGTTTTGGGCCAGGTCGGGGATTTGCCCGTAGGAGCCCTCGTCCGCCGAGCGGGCACCGGGCTGGCTGTAGGGAGCTGCGGGCGAGGGGCTGGAGCGGGCTCCCTGCGCCCTCCGTGCGAGGAGGGGTGAGTGCGGGGGCCCAGGGCTGTCGCGGGCCAGCCTCCGATCCCAGGATAACCATCTTTGTTTAAATTAGTCCCCGGGCGCTGGCACGGAGACAGGGAGGGAGCTCGGCCCGGGCTGTGAGCCCCCACCGCCCGGCGCCGCGCCCCCTCACCTCGGCCTGGGCGCGCACTCGCGCCTCCCGCCGCCTGCTGCTCGGTTCCAGCGCCCCGGTTGCTAGGCACCCGCCCGGCGCGCGGCCGCCGCGCTTCTGTTTGGCTTGGCAACCGGCGCCCGAGGCCCGGAGGCCTTCGCAGGGGGAGGCTGCTGCCGAGCCGCGGCGGCGGGAGGGGCGGCGGAGGTGGGCAGCCGGAACCGCGCTCGCTCCGTTTACGAGTTAAACACTTACATGTTGGTAAAAGTTGTGCATCGACGTGGTAAAAACTACGCACCGTACCTAGAAAAAGTAATGTCCCGCTCAGGCCCACTTCCTGGCAGGTGTCCTTCCAGGAACCGTATGTGTACAGGCCATTATTTACACACATTTCTTGGATCCTGTCTTGCCCAACAACTCATCCATCTGCCTGACCGCCTTGAAGGAATGACGATCGCATTTGCAGGGTGCGCATAATCGCTGGGAGAGGTAACTGGGGGTATTAGAAGCGATACTCAAAATCCAACCATTTCTTTTAAAAAGAGAGGGGGGAAACCAACCGTGCCAGTTTTGTTCTCGGCCTTGGGCAATGTTAGGATTTAATGTTCATAACTAACAGGTGAGATGGGCATCATCCCCCCATTTTCGCAAGTAACTAAGGAGACGGGCATTGGCTCGAAGGCAGGGGCGGAAAACGCACGTGTGTGTGTATTTCCCGGGTCCACGTTTTCCGTTACAGCTCCCTATTGTCGCTGGTGGTGGGGCTGGAAATGGACAGGAAAGCAGGGACGCTGTCCTGGGCTCCTCCCTGAAGGCTATGCCGAGTGGTCCTAGGAGGTGGGTGCCATTACCGTGCTGCTCTTACAGGCGAGGAAACTGAGGCATAAAGTGAGGGACGTGCCCAGGGTCACACAGCTGTGGGTAGAGCCTGGATCCAAACTCAAGCAGTCTGGCCCAGAGGCCACATTAGGTCTGGAGGAGTCCAAGGAGAGTCCTCAGCTTTGAAATCTCAGTGATGGGGGGACAGTTATTCTTCACAAAGGGAGGAGAGGCAGAGAACAAGGGCTTGTTAGGCAGAAGGAGGAGTTGGCTTTTGAGAGATTTGAGGTGCCTGTGGTAGATCTTGCTGTCCAGCAGGCAGTTAGAGCCTGGAGTCCTGAAGACAGCCTGAGGCTAGAGCATTTCCCAAACTTCCCTGACCACAGAATCTGTTTTTTCCTAATGGAACATTTTCTGAACTCTAATGTATGGCTTATCAATCAGATGTGCATGGTAATTTGTGACATAGCTCTCTTGCTGGGATTAAAGAAGACAGGACAAAAAGGTCTTGGACAAATTAATTATTGGAAGAAATCAAATTTTGACCTATATGTTCTGCAATATTTTATAACACAAAGAAATAAACAAATAAGGCAGAATGGTAATGGCTTTGGCATATATCCCTGTGGTGGTGGCTGTGGTGTTCGTGGCTCATGAGGTTTCTGCATGTCCTGTCCAAAGGAGGAAGATGTCAGCAGAAAAGGTTAGACAGCTAATGGAGTGGACCAAGAAAACAGTGATAAGATGAGTGATGCTGTCCATGTTCTATCATTTTGTACTGGAAACACCAAGAAACTACATAATTGTGATATTTACTACTCTCCAGAAGCTGAGATCATGTGTAATAAGCAAACATACTGCTGAGAATTTCAGATCTTGGCAAATTCCTGGCAATGCTCCATTGCGTTCACCAACGAGGTATTTTTTGCTATAGTGAATTATGGTGAAAGCCTTGTGTCTTTCAAATGCTCCAATTGGTGTCCAAGTTTCCTCCACTTTTCTGCTGAAAGGAAATTTACATCAGATGACGCTCATCATTTGGAAGAAAGGGGTGTCATAGCTGAGCAGATAGGCAAGTTGGTAGCCAAGGGAACTGAGGGAAGGTCAACATCACAATCAGCCTATAAAGTATCACTGTCCCTTCAAGCTGGCTCTCATTGGTGAGCTTGCGTTTTTATTGAAATGGAATAGAAAAATGGATCTTTAACACAAGTCTGTGGGCAGTTTTACTTCTGTGCTTTGTGGTCATCTGGTCAAATGTGGATGCATATAAAAAGAGCTGGATATGCTCAAAGGGGTCCCAACACAAGACATATACGTTATATTCATGGATAGAGTTACTCTCAGTTTGTAACAGATGTATACATCATTACTCTGTTTAATACGTGCACTACTCAGGCACTGGTGCTCTTAGATAAAGCTGCCACATCTTGAATGAACATTATCAAGAGGGAGATACTGGCATGGCTGGCATGTATCTGGTTGTAATAATCTTCACCTGGCTGTTCTCCCCCTTCAGAGTTAAAGAACACAAGTATCCACTCAATTTATCATGGATTAAGAAGGATCCTAGAGATACCAACGATGAAGTGAGAAGTTTTTAAAATGTGAAAAAAAAGTGAACCAGAAGAACTTTTTAAAGTGATTGAGATTTAGCCAAAGGAAACACAAAACGCCTTAGCAATAACAAGCCATTTTCTCTCAAAATCTGTGAACAATGGTGGTATGTATCATCTCTGTTCTCCATTTTCTCCTCCCAGTAAATGTCATAATGAGTAGCTGCCTTAATGAATGCCAATGATTACAATCCTCAGAGAGTGCAACCTTTATTGAGTTAGAACAATCTTTAGAAGTACTTTACTTAATACTGAGTCAGCTGATCTTACTCTAATATGCAAAATAATATGTTGATAAGGTATCCCCACATATAGCTACTGAAGGTAATTGTATTACCTTTCCTGGAGGTGCATATTTGCCCAGCCTACTTAGTGTGTTGTCCTCTGAAGCCTAAGTATCTTTCTTTAGAGGGCACTTCCAATGCCTCGAGGCAAAAATACTATTTAGTCCTCCATCCCCAAGGTTTTCCTACTGAAATACCTTACTATGCTTATTGATCGTTTTAGCTATTACAAAAGAATTGAATACTAGATTGTAATTTCTCCATGATTATTAACTACCTTATATCTGGAATATTTCACATAAAATTTTTCTAATTTTTCTATCAAGTGGCCAATCTCTAGCAAAATAGTAGCTCCTATTTTGGTGTTGACTAGAGGCTGTTTTCTATCTAATTTAAATCTAACAGAAAAATAGATATAAAGACAACTGATAGGATGGATAAGAATTTCATTCACCCTATTCTGTTTAGGAGCATGCTAAAATATCAAGTTATCTCCAGTATGCAGAAATGCAAAATTGAACATCCTAATAGCTATTCCATTTCAGCCTTTCTTCCCTCTTAAGTGGAAACACAAAGTACACATTTGAAGAAGACTTTTGACATTTTTTTCCCTTTGTCTTTCTGCCATAAAGTTAAATCCCCAACAGCTTACTAGTGTGCTTGGCAATGACAGTAAAGATTTAAGTTGCAGTTTAACTATTAAATCAAATTCTGGCCTTCCCTCCAGAAATTGCTATTTTGGAAATGTGAGAACTGTGATTGAGAAATGTTTTTCAAGCAATACCAATTTAAGATCACATTAGAAGGTTTTTTGCTTTAACTTGGGACTTGCTTGGGCTCGGCCTCTCTCACTTTAGACATTTTCTGTTTGTTTGTACATTATTCCAGAGGAAAGTGCTTGACTCTGTCCTTTTTTTCCAGCTTTCTTTTCTGCTGGTCTTGCACTTGTCACAGGACAGATAAATTCATATAGAGATCCTCAAGGTTGAGACTCAGGCAAGGCTACATAGTTTCGCATCACACCTTAGAGAGAAGTAACTGCTGTTTCACCTACAGAGCTGCAGATGATTTGCCCTGGAGGTAGGAATGATATTATTCCCCCACTTGATTCCCCCTTCATGTCTTCAAAGCCCACTCTTCTTGGAAAAGAAAGAAGTTGCTCAGTTAAAAAGGAGAGTAGTTTCACTCCATTCAAAGTGAAGTGTTATACGTTTGTGCAGATACTCAAACTAGCATATCTAAAGGGCCTCCTAATGTAGACAGTAGTAATACTTTATTAAAGGTTTCAGCCCTGGGCAAGTTCACTATGGATTCAGCGAGACTGAGAAAAGACAACAGAATATTCTTGGGGTAAAAGGGGTTACACCTGGCTTTACTCTGTGGCAGGATGTTGAACACTAGAACCATGTCTGCATCCAGCAGTCCTCAGGTCCATAATCCACCTCTGTCTCTGCCTCTACCCAGAGCACTGGGCAGAACTCTTTATATTGTGACTCAGTCAATAATATCTCATAACCTACAGGTGTGGAAGCATTAGCCTGCAGTAGGCCAATTACATCAAGCAGTTTAGGGTCAGGTGAGGATCCTGGCCATAGGAATTTCCATTTTCCTCACATAGGGCCTCTTAATGTATTTTAAAAAATAGTATTCAAGAGGATACCACAGATGACAAACTTGTATAATCTAAAATCTGTAACAATTAAAGTACAAAAATAAATTAGAAACATGAAACTCACAAAAAAATATATAAAGATGGTTAAACAAACTTAATTTCATAGTTGTGTAAAATACAAGTGAAAACCATCTGAATGATGGTAGTGATTGAAATCCTGTCTCATGCAGCATCAAAATATCCTTATGCTCTTTTTTTGGTTCTGGTTTTTGCAACATAATGTTCAAATTTCATGTAGCAAAATACATTACAGTAAAAAAAGAATAATACTGTACTTTAGCAGTTTCAAGTTCTTTGAGTTGGGCTATAAGCAAAAATTCTAAGAATGATTTGTTTCAGCTGAGAGTCAGACAGCATATTAGGCTTCATAATCCCAACCCACTAATACGTGTTTTGTTTGTAAATAAAATTTCAGCCCAAGCATTATTCTTAAAGGAAAATGTTTCAGTAGAGAAAAATGCCACTTAATAAAGGCATTGCAAAGCTCTACGGACTGCAGAAATTTTAGAAGTAACAAGTGACAAAAGATAGGAAAACAACCATCTTTCTTCTACAGATAAAATTAAAGATTTCAGTCTCCTTTAAGACATAAACATTTTATCAAACATTGTAAAACTGATCACATCCTTTCCTGGTGTTGACAGATTACCTTAATTAATTTCCTAAAAGCATCTGCAAAGTATGCAAGTCTCAGCAGCCAAGAGGAATTTATCCAATGACCAGACAACTGAAACATGAGAACATATAGTTCAAGATGTATGGCTCCCTCCAAAGAAAAAAACCCACTTTGGAACTTTACCTTATTTGCTCTACATTTCTTTATATTTAAGAGTAGTGCTCCGAAAACCCTTTTCTATGAAGAAAAGTTTCAAGCAGTTGAGTCTAATATATTAAATTGGCAATTTGTTCTGTCCAGTCTAGCATGTCTTATAAATCATTCAGAGCAATAGGCTGATTATGGTCTGCCTAGATGAGTGTGATATTTTTGTGGCACTACACTTATCTACATTACAGGCTCTGTGATTTTTCAGCATATGACCTTAGCATCACTGTTACATATATTTCCTCCATTTAACTGTATGAATTTGGGTATAATTATTGATTTTTTTGTCTTTTTCTATACCAGTGTAGTTAATAGGCAAAGACTGACATTACAAGTGATTCTCTTCAGTTTGTCAAATTTATCAGCAGACACATAGTTTAAAAAAAACCCACCCATCAGTGTTTGTTAGTAAGCTAGCTAGTGCTTCTCTAGTATCAATAACAAGATCCTTAGAGAAAATAAACTACTGTTTGTGGGTACACCATCTGGGGACTTCTAGCAGGGAGAGGACTGGGGAAAACATCATAGCAAGAAGGGCTTAGACTTAACTCTCTTGATGTCCTGGAGAATGTAAATTTCAAAGGGACAAGTTTCTAATGTTGGGGCTGGACTGCTTCAACAGTGAGTTACCCCCAGGTAAGAAGCATGTCCTCAAGGAGATTCATGCATTGGGTGGAAGTCTCCCCTCCTGCTAGGGTTCCTTTGAGTTCTGCAATTACAAATTAAAAATGCCTGTGCAGTCTGGGCAAAGAGGTGGGGCCTGGAGAGAGGCTGCCCATCCAAAGGGGGCAACACCTGCTGAGCTTCCCCAAGGGTAGGCTGGGAAGAAATACTGAAGGAGTACTGTGAAGGGGCTCAATCTCCTCATGTTTCAGGGGAAGACAAAATCTGGATTTTCATGTGAGATCTTCTGATTTTTTAAATGTTAGCAATTAATAAAAATATTTTAAATACCAAGCAAAAGTTAATCGCAGGCCAAAACTGACCTGCCAATTCAAGACCTTTGGTTTGAGAATAGTAACTTCAATTATAAAAGGAAGTGAAAGGAGGCCTTTACTTACCTTGACTCTGGCCCACTCCTCCGTTGGAGTGTATTCAAATAATCGCTCTTCGCTAAAAAAAAAAAGGAAAATAAGTGATATATCTGAAGTTCAAACAGTTAGGAACTGGTTTCCAAAATTTGACTCTTGTGTTTTTTTTTGCATATCGTACCTGGGCTGTGTACCTGCGTCTGGGCCCATGAGGATTTGCCCAGTTCATTTCAGTTTGTTTTTCCTATATGCTCTTAAATTTGTTCACTGCTTGGCAGGGTCAGTAAGCCTGGCTTCTTGCCTCTCCCTCTTTTCACTCTACTCAGTGACTTTTATTTAAGGGGAAATGGAGTGGGGAGAACCCTTTGAAAACCTGCGCTCCATTCACATGCTCAGCACTATTAGGTGCTTTCCAAAGATTATGTCATTTAAAGTCCCCAAAGCCCTACTATCTTCTTACAGGAGGGGAAACAGATTTAGATGCATCAAGAAACTTGTCCAAGGTTTGAACCCAGGACCTATAACTCTTAAAGTGTAATTCTTTTCATTGTATCCCATTGGCTCCCTTTACCCAAGCCTGAAGAGCTGTAGTGATGAGCACACAACAGAAGATTTGAGCAAAGCTTTTCTTTTTATTGCAGTTTATTAGTGAAAATTACACTTCAAACTGAAGCTAAGCAACACGAAAATCATTACTTCTTTTTTTTTTAACCCAAGGATTGAAAACAAACACAACACAGTACCCTTCCAACATGTAGAATGGCAGAAAAAAGAGGCGTGGTTCTGTCGCAGGACATTGCAGGGACAGTTTGGCTCAGAAAGGAGTATGACAATTCTTCAAGGTTCTCAATCTCAATCCTAAATTTTTTGTAGTGATTTTTTGGGGGGAGATAATTTAATGGAAAGTAGAAAATTTACTACCAAACTTTAAATACCAAGAAAAAGAACTTTTGTTCAAAATCTTTATTTGCCTTCTGCTCATCATAATTACACATAATCTTCAAGGAATTAAAATAACCAAATCCAAAGCCTGGCCCCCAAGTACGCAGTGATAGGATTCAGCATTTGGTGTTTCTAATTATACAATGATTACTTGTGTATCACAGACTTGCTCCCGTCCCCACCATATAAAGTTCCAATTTCTTCTTAATAAAATGTGGCAATCTAACAGTATCACTCAGGATCTTATGAAGAGAAACCTATATAGCGTGTTACAAACTCATATCCACTGTTTCACCTGATGTTGCTGTGTAACCAAAATTAACAAAGGAAGGCTTACAGATAAATATTTTGAAATTATGCAGTCTTTAAATTACTACAGTAAATTGTTCTTACTAATGAAAAGCCAACAAAAAAATATAAGGGTAGGCCATGTATAAGACAGGGCAGGGAAGATGAGGAAGGAGGTTTCATCATTTTATTATGCTGACACTGGGTATCAGTAAAAATATTTGGCAAGAATAGTTAGTGTGGAAAAGGAGGATGGAGAAAGAGGTTACTCTGATTTTATGTAATAATTCAGTTTCAAAACATACTGATATCAACCCCCAAAAATAGTTCACATCTGCAATACAAATAGGCACGCACGGTTGAGATGGTTAAAAAGTAAAATTTAAAAGGCTATTTGCCCATCTGTAGGACATTAGCAGGTGGTCCCACCCTCCCCACATGTCCTATATTTACATTTTACTTTTTGGAAAAGCCTCTTTAAAAAGAGTACTATTTCCTCCTCCATTACTTAGGGTTTTAGAAAAAGCAGCAATTATCTAGAGTGGGAGTGGTTAGCAATGCTTTAGGGGTGTGCATTTGTGTGTAATATAAATGTTCTCTTGGGTGAGTGGTCAGATTACACTAGAATGGTTATATTACAATTTTAGTCCCCCAAACACTAAAGAGACACATGATTTTTTCTATACAAGCTTATGTAATAGTGTTCTAAACATGGAATATTTATACATACACGCACACACACACCTCTTCCCACTGCCTATAAATGCATTCAGATACTAGTCCACAAGAAAGGTCTTTATTCACAAGATATAGTAATACTTTTATGGGTCCATAAATGAAGAGAAACCTTAAAGCTACATATTACAGCAAAAATTGTTTAAAAGTATTCCTGACATATCAATGGTCTTAGCTACCTCACTTAGCAAGGTGGATTTTTTTGTTCATTTTCCAAGCATGAATCTCCCCAATTTTTCATTTTCAGTACTTGCAATTCTTATTATCCTATAAAACTAAGACAGATACCACCTATGTTAGTGATGAGCTGGAAAAAGCCCCAACTGCCTGCAACAAGGGGAGGTCAGCAGCTATAGAGATGAAAAATAAGTGTTGAATGTAGCCATACCCTGTGTATCTAAAATGCATCCTTTCTTTGTAAAACAACATCAATAAAAAACTTGTCTGTTGCTACACGGAATTGCTTACATTCCGTGGCGATATGCCCTTAGTTATTTCCTAGAAACAGGAGCCCCTTCCCCAGGGAAATGGGTAGGCCTGTTGAAATGTAAGGTTCTGTCCAAGATCCATAAAGATAACTGGGTCAGACACTAACCACAGGCTGTCTGGTATCACCTGCAAATACTCAGAATTGAATCAAAATGAAGGAAAAAAAAACATTTACTATATTTTAACTTTTACAGGTATATGGTGTTTGGAAAGCAAGGCTGAGCTCTTCAAAATTATGAAATAGGCATACTATCTTTCTTAAAACCAAATCCTTATGCCAACAGAGGTACCAAAGATCTGCCAAGAAACAAAGGGATAACTGGCCTTACAACAACCTGGGATGCCAACATGTAGCAAAAATGCCTGAAGGCAAAGGGCAGAATTAATTTCTGATTAATCTGATGTTTTTGCCACATTAACTCAAAATACAATGGCAGCTGCCATAGCACCACTAAAGGGAGTTTGGCTACTGAAGTTATTCTCTTGCCAAGGATTATCATAAAGAAACATTCAGCGCATGTGTTGGATATCTGGCAGGGGAAAAGCAGAACAGGGTACCTTTCTAAGTCCAACACCATACTGGGATAAGGGCTAAGGTTCTCTTATCCTTGTTTGATAAAATGATCTATGATAACTGAAGAACAGAGGCAAACTGGAAATAAACTCTTCTTACAACAAGATTCTATTATCTTGTAGTTCTGAGTAGCTTTTCTTTTGGAGAACTTGAGCACTGTCACAAACATCATCCTTCCTATTCTTGCAACAGTTTTGTGAGGTAGGTGAGGGCAGTATATTATCACTACCATTTCATGAGGAGAAAGCAGGCACAGAAAGATTAAGGTGATTGCCCAAGGGCACAGAGCAAATTAGTGGTAGAGCTCTGCCTAAATCCCAAGTCCCTGGCTCACATTTTAGAGCTCTTTCTACTCTAAAAGGCAACATGTTCTCAATGGTCTTTTTCCAGCTGTGATCTTCTAAAAGTTCCTGCATTTGAAAACACCTTATGCTTTCTCCTTTACAGCTCAGACTTGACCAATAAATGGATTGAATAAAAAAATTTTTACTATAGAATTCTGCACACACTAAGAGGCATATGTGACTGATATATCTATATAACTGAAGTCTGAATATATCAGTATGTAAAGGAAGAGGAAAGAATTCATTTGATGTAATTTTTATATATTTAAGAAGACATGTCAGAATAAAAGTCACAAACTTTAAAAAATTTAAATCAGACTCTGACTCATTAAAATCAGAAACATTGATTTTCCTTAAGAATATGGGGATCTCTGTTGCAGAAGGTTGAAACATTACTTTTAAGAATAGTTTTCCTTTATCACTTTGCTATAACATAATACTTCAGATATATATTCTGTTCTTATTATCACTATACAGTGAGCCAAACGTTCTCTGCCTGGAGATAATACCTGAGACACGAACACTTCAATCTTAATTCGCACTCAGCTAAGTTAGGATTTCTTTCCATCTAGAGTAACTGAAATTACATTCTAATGATTCTCATTGTAGCTCATTTATCCCTCCGCCTCTTATTTCTAACAGCACATGTGTGTGTGGGGTGGGGTGGGGTGGGGTGGGGAGAGAACTGCACCATTCCTAAATGGCATAAAACACTGATTGTATAACAAAACAAAATGATGACACTCCAGTAAACCAAAGGATAGTATGTCAAAGGAAACACTTTAGAACCCAAACAGGGTGCTCAAATAGTCTCTCAATCGAGCTACAACTTGTGGCATTTGAATCTCCTGCCCCAAGTACTTTAAAGACTATTATTTACTCAGAGTAAAATTCTATTGAAACTGCCTCTAAATCCTTTTTCTAAAGAGAAAGGGTTTGTACCCTGGGCTAGGAAATGAGAAAGCTCCTGGAAAACTCTGAAGAATCTTGGATGGGCAAACTATTAGAAGGTGTCAGTTAGCTTTTGCAGGGGCGTCACCAGCACCGTGAGAGCATTCCCTTTGAGTGGCACGGGGATATCTGCACTTCATGACCAGTGCGGGGCCAAGTCTGTCGCTACCAAAACCTAAGCTGCCTCTCGTTAAACTCCTTGGGGCCAAATTGCATCTATTATCTTGGTTGAACTATCTGTTAGGTGAAATCCCCCCTGCATTACAACTCCTTCACCAAAAGCAGTTTCTTTGCCACTTTGTCTGGAAATACCCTGCTTGGTGTTTTCTATGAAAAGGAAGAAGCCATACTGATAGCAATGCCGTGGCTCTATTTAAAGATAAATCCTTCATTTAATTTCTTTATTATCATTCAGAAGCAACTTCAAGGACTTTCTCTAACAAGAACAGATGCAGCTACAAGGTCTGAGACAACATAGGTTACAGAGGTACTCTTAGGTCTCTTCTGTAGGTTCAAAGAACAACAGTCTTTTTTTTACAATGTGGGTATGAGAACTAGACAAATACTAAACAACTGTGAGGTTTCTGTCCAAGGAGTCCAGCAAAGAAACATTTCCTCATTTCCCCCCTTGCCACATGCTTTCACAGACCCACTCGTCCATTGCGTTACAAAGACTTCATGTTTCCATGGGTTCTTATAATACAGTCACATCTACAGCATTTTTGCAGAAGAGTCCTTCCCTGTTTTGGTTCTAAAATCGTATTGAAGGGCCAAATTAAGGGATTTTTGTTTGTTCTTACAACTAAAACTATGAATCGATAACGATGGAAAATTTTAGGCGTGAAAGGCCCACGCAACCTCCCTTTCTCTGGTTTCTAGCACTGCCTCTTTAACTTCAATCATAAAATTACAGGTGTGCAGAGTCTTTGGAAATAATAATACTCCCTCCACCCTGCCAAAAAAAAAGAGAAAAGTTTTAATGACCAGTGCTCCCATTTGTTTCTATTCATGTAAGACTGTTCGTGACAGTTCTTTCTTTGGGATGGCTATTACTTACTGTACAAACATCTTTTTCTTAAGAGGTGCATTACAAACACGAACAGGTCACCAAGTACTTCACTCTGGTAATTCAGTACTGATGTCAGGTACCTTGATTTATGGAGCCAACCAGTTAAAAGAGCAAAGTAAGCTCTGTGTCAGGTTCCTATGAGTTTTTAGAAGGAAAAAAAGAAAATAAGGGACTATTTCTCCTTCAGGCTTCCCTGTACACGTTGGTCTACAAGAATTATATGCCTGTCAACCTAGGACAATGTTGAAACATAATGAATACAATTACTAAAGTTGTAAGGACAATAAATATCCTTAAGAGGGGGGCATATACGTTCAACAAAAATATATCTGTCTGTTTGAAACATGTTTGGTAGCAACAAATCCTATAATCAGAGTACCAATCTTTAATTAATACTTTATGTGGGGGTGAAGGAAGTAGTTCAGAATAGTGTATTATAGAAAAAATTGCTGTAATGCAGAAAGAGATGATATGGCTAATGTCTACATGAAACCACATGCAGACTCACTTTAAATTGTACTATTTTATATAACATAAAAATAACATTTTCCCAACTATAACTACTTGAAACTTTCTCATTTACTCCTCTCAGTGGAAGAATAGCACAGTAAAATGTCAAATATTGGGCCCCCATAATTTAGAATTTAAAACTCAGATATGGATAAGTTTATCTTTCAATCTCTTACAGAAAAAAATGGCTTACTAAGCAAATTCACAGTATAAAAATACAATGCAAACATATTACCTACTTAAATAGAATTCACTCTTCTTACCTACTTTTATAAACTGTGCCAATACAAACAGCCTTGATTCACTAGGGAATTGGAGTGACCACATATGCTTGAAATTAATATTCTACAATCATATTTTTCACTGCCTTCCAATTAATTCATATTCATAAATTATTATTACTTAAAGTTTTAATTAACTCAGGTATTATATTAATCAGTCTTTATCCCTGGCTCTATCTAGCCACTTAAACTCTGTTTCCTCACCGATGATCAGGATTGAATAAACTTTAAAAGTATGCTAGGGAAAAAAGATCAGGATAGCAAATCTTCCATATATTATTGGAGGGTGGGAAATCCCATTTAAAAGTCAATTATCGGTGACTTCTGTATCATTTGCTATTTGTTTTCCAGGCCTATAAAAATGGTGTCATAATCCTAATGCTGGATGCTATGATCATATAAGTAGTTTCAATGTAGCTTAAGTTAAAAAAAAGAAACGTAACAATCATTTATTTGACAAGTTGCCTCCAAACTGTGGATCAGGTAAAATAAATCCAATCTGTTAGTTTGCTACTTAAGGGAAAGAAATCTAACTTACAGAAAAGCCCTGCCTACCCTCCAAATTTAGAAATCTGTCTAAAGACTGTCTTTAATGTCCACTATATAAACAACATTAAATATTCTAAGTTAGAAAATAGTGTTAATGGTTTATTGGTAAAAATCCAAACTCTAGACTTACTGGAGTTAGTAGTTTGGTTGGTATATTAACATTCCATTGTAATCTTTGCTAATATTATAAAGAAAGAAGAAAAGCTTGAAATATCTATAAAAATAAAATACCTTAAAACCAACATCTACGCAAAATATAAAAGTTGCACACAAATAGCCAATAAATACAAACATCACAGTAGAAAAATTAATATTAAAAAAATAAACTCATAATTGCTATTGACATTATAAAAAAATGAAAAAGTTTAATGTGCACGAATATTTGCAAATAGACACAGTATACTCCAAACAATTGATATAATTTTACTATCATTAATACATAATGCAGCATACAAGGTTACTGAGGTGTGATGTTTTTATTTGTTTTTAGTCTGTTCTTTTCTGGAGGAATGCTCACTAAATTCACAAGCAAGAACTGGCTAGGTGATCACTTACTGCTGTTTACTCCTTCTAGTCCAGGGGAAACTTGCTTTATGGTAGATTAATAAACTCCTAGTAAGTAAGAATGGTCCTGCTATTATCCTTCCTTTTGTTTCCTCCAAAGCCCAGTTTTGCAAGTTCTGTTTCTAATTAACTGATAATACCCTTTTAGATGCACTGTCATCATTTTTTGTTGCTCCCCCATGCTAGAAAAAAGAGGGAATCACTTAAAATATTTATTGCCTAAAAAAGACAGTCTCCCTAAAGATAGAGACATAATAATTCAATTTTTCTCTTAAACTGATTTCCATGATGACTAGGCTTTCCTTTATAAGCAGTCTTCTTTAATAAAGATTAACTAGAAAAGGTTGCCAATAGATATTTACAGAAGGGACAATCTATGCTGGAAATTAAATAAAAAAAAGGAAAGGTAGCCTATGACATACAATTCTTGGCAAGTTACCCTTCCCGTTGGGCACTTGCTACGATACCTATGTTCTTGTTAAAAAGTTAAGCAGATTTGTTGTTTTATGTGCCTTATAGATTACCTCAACACAGCTGAGAACCAAAAGAGCTAATTGTTAAAAAATTTTGTTTTCAAACTTACAAAATACATTTGGTGGGCATTTACTAGATACTTTACTGAATAAAAGCTTTACTTGATTCCCTTGGACTGGATTCAGGACAATGAATAACATTATTTATATGAAACTGTCATATTCTTGGAGTTCTAAAATAATTTATCTTTAAAATTTTTAGCCTTGTGATACTTGAAAAATAAAAATCTACAGCACCATCTTCTGAAAAGGCACTTTCTAAGAACCGCCTTGCTTTAAAAAAAATGATTAAAAAATTTGATTCAGCATCTACCCTGAAGAACATCTTTGCTTTATTGAGACCCTAACAGAAGTACAGCATTAGATTTTGGTTACCTCAGACTTTGATTTCAAAAAGAAAGGGAGATCAATGACTGGATAGATTTAGACAGGATCTTAGTTTTGTTACACTGTTTGTTACCTGATACTTCAACAGGGTTTCTCATTGGTAAATCTCAACACTCCATATTAAATTTACCATCTAGCTTTAATTCAAATTAAAATATTTTAACTTCCATATTTTAAGAGCCAGATTCCTAAGGTTTAATTAACAGCATAAAAATCTATAGTACATTATCTTTGATGAGTCAAGAAAAATAAAATTTAACTAGCAGTAGATAATAGTAGCACAAGCCTTGACCATTATATCTTAAAACAAATTATTTGACCAACATGGAATATTATAAACTGAAATGTACCGTTTTTAAAAGGAAGAAAAAGTAAAAAACATTTTTTCCTTTTGTGAGATATATGTATTGGCAGGGTGTATGTGGAGAAAATAGATTTTTTTCCCTTGGAGTCAGCTTAGCTTTCACTAATCACATTGTCATTTCTAACATTGCCAGTGATCAAGAATGTTCTTAGTATAATAAGCAGGAATTTTTTTCTAAAATGATTTTTTTTTGGAGAAAATTCTTACTTTCACATTTCTGTACTGATTTTATACATCTATTTTTGGCTTATTTTTTGACTCCTACAGAATCACAAAAGTGCTTTATATGATCAAACGGGACAAAACAGGAAAATAAAGACAGACTCCAGAGTCAGGGTTATACCACCACTTAGAAGGCCTCACTTGATATAAACTTATAATTATTATTGTTGTTGTTGAAGGTTTAAAACATCCATGATTCTCAGAAAGAATGAAAAGGATTAAAACTTCATATGATAAAAAAGCCAAAATAAAGATGCCAATGCCGGGTTAATGACATCTTTTTGCAGCTTGACTGATAACTCATAAAAGGTAGTTTCAACAGCAAATTACTACTGGGGTCAAACCATCTTTAAGAGTATTCAACAGGAGAACATCCAAGAGGATGAGTTAAATATTTAACTCGGGTTTAATTATACTGAATAAAAATTATGCAGAGTTGTCAGTTAAGCTTCTTGGCAAAACATTTCTATCAAGTTTGAAATGGCAAGACTACAAAATATTCTAGCTGAATCCAAGTGGCTAGCTTCATGGATTTCTCAAAAATCATCACCCTTGGCAAATTCATGTTAAGCCTCTGAAAACCACCACCAAATTCCTGGAATAAAGTTGTCTAATTCCTGACCTATAATTCCTCTAATTACTTCAGATATAGGACTGGCATTCTGAGCGTTCACATTTTCCTTAAACACTAAGATCCTCCGCCAGCCTATTCTACTGAATGGCGACTTGGACTTTATTTCCCTTGAGTCTGTCATGAGGTGTGTCATACTAAAATCCATTAGAGAGTATACAAGTAAACAACAGGCAGTGCTGGGTCATTGGAGAACCTAGTTTGGAAAACTAGTATAGGTCTTTAGAAGGCTAGGAGTCCCTATGCTAGAAGGTAGAGAAGAATTTTTATCAAGTGCCTTCCAAAACACCCAGTACATTCCTACCAGAATCCCTTCTAGATTCTCTTCTAGGAAGGAAAATAATTAATAGGTTACAAATGGGAAAAATTTCATAGAAGAATATTGTTTTCTGAGAAATTTCTTAAAGATAAAATATTAATAAAGAATAAAGGGCATCTGTACTTCTGTGAAAATATGCTGAATACCAGTACTGAGGAGGCTGAGGTACCCTTTTACAAAACTGGGAAAGTCAAAATCCACATTTCTAAAACAGAGAGAGAGTATCTTGATATTAAATTGAAACTAAAATGGCAGCACCCTTTGTTACCTTGAAATTTCACGTTCTTAACCTCATTTAGGAAAAAAAATATGGGGGGGGAGTCTAACACTAGCCTTGAATCCTGCTCATCTCCTTATTATTTAGTGCAGTAACTGTCAGACTCTACTTAATTAAATAAATATAGCAGCTACACTATTACAAATGTAATGTCCTCAATGCCAGTAACTTGATACTGTAATAACACGTATCAGCACTTTACCCAGACACATTTGCCATCCAGAATATACATTAAACTCCCAACTCTTCTTCACATGAAAAACAATTATACCAGTTGCTGGGAACTGATATTTTAAAGTCACTATTACACATCATAGAAAATAGCAGAGCAAAATTTAGCATTCACTGTATAATTTAGTGAGTAAGGACAGGAACAGAAAAGTCACTGCTGAGTTTCATTACCATTAAATTCAAAACAAAACAACCTCCTCTTCTTTTAAATAAAAAAGATCAGGAATTCTATACCAGAAGTGTAATCATAATAATAACAAATTTCAAAAAGTATTTGTCATTTTGCTTTTTATCTTAAAATTCTAAGCACAAGGTTTCTTGTAATTAGGTTTGATATGCCAATTTCTTAGTAAAGAAAATAGAAATATACTATACATATCCTTTCAGGTTAACCAATCATAAACTAGCTATGTTGAAACTGTAAGAAGAAATGCTAAAAAAGCACTCACTTCAAAGGTAAAGCTTTATATTAAAAAAAAATGTTTTTTCCCTTTTGCTCTAGTGCATGTGAAACTAAGTAACTGAAAATCAGATAAAGCAGTGAATAGGGAAAGGGGATCTACAGTTCTTCCCTGGTTCCTAAAACTTCTCATATGAATTTGTGCAACTTACGTTGAAGATGCTTTACTCATTCATACTGAGTAAGCAAGTTTTTCCATCCAGGCTATACTATTTCCTTCTTTTGCCTATATTCCTGACTATATTCAGTGAAAATTTCAATGTGAAACAAAAACAAAACAAAACAAAACATGCTTTACAGGAATTTTTTGGAAGAGAGGGGAGGGTTGGGAGAAAATATGTATATACTATACAAACATCACCTCATGTAAAGACTTTTGAAACAGTGTTGTAAATTGCATTTCAGACACTTCAATATAATGAACATACAAAATACAGTACTTTCTTAGTTTTCTGGCAGAGGGACAAAAGATTTCATACCTGTTGGAGGACATGGGCTCAGTTTTAGGCTCAAAATACAGTGAATTGGCAGTAAGAGTAGATAACAGGTCAGAGAGAAACTAAAGAGTTAGTCCATCTGTTTTCCTGTGCAGATGCAATTCTGAAAGGTTAACAATGCCCACTGGAAACAATCTGTAATACCTATACTCTGAACCAGTGCAAAGAAAAAAAATTTAAGATGCAATTTTCATGAGTTACAAAGTGCAAAGCTCTCCTGAATCCAATGTTACTGATGAACTTGGTTCTGACAGCTTTATCATACTTTTTAATACCTTAAAGTGAAATCATAAAACAAAAGTTTTGTAAAACTTTTTTCCACATTTCAGTGATTTAACTCATTTAAAATGATGAACGTCCTAACTTTCTTTGTCCCCATAACCCTAATTTTAAAAGGAAAGTTACACTGGAGATAAGTTAGCAAAAAATGTTTTAAAAATATTATTTCATATTTTCCTGATTCATTTCAATAAATGAAAATGGGCATCTAACCAGTTTGATTCTTCAGTAAACATGATTTCCAAAGAATTTGAATATCTTCTATATCTTAAGCTATTTACCGTCTTTCTTAAATCAAAGTTGAACTTTATAACTAATATTCAAAGTCACTCATTTAGGAAATTTAACTTCATTATCATCATGATTTTTAAAAGGCTTGCTTTAAAGTTGAAAATTACAAAACTTTCCTTCTGAAATTAAGGCTGTATTACTTTGCCCTTTTAAAATTATGGAGGTGCCTGTTTCTGCCACTGCCCGTGGTAAAGATGTCAAACAGACACAGCTTTCCTTTAAAACTGCTTATTGCACTAAAAGCAAAAACAAGTTGTCAGTCCCTAAAATAAACATGATTATATTTCTATAAAAGATGTTGCCAATACAGTTCTCTAATTATTAAAGCACTAATCTAATAAATATAAAAGGAAAGAAAACTATACTTCAAAACACATACATATATGTTTATATATACACACACATATATATAAAAATATATATATATGGAAATCACATTAAGGTGTGAAAGGCAGCAAGTAAACTAGCCAAAAAGAAAAAAAATTTTTTAAATCCTCAACAACCCCTTCTCTTGCTCTACCCAATTTCAGAGGCCTCAACCCTACAGAGGTCCAATCATTTAAAATATTTAGTTTTTATGAAAGCTTTAAGGGGTTTTCATGTATAACCCACAGAAACAGAGGCTTTAGAATACTTATCACTTATAGAAAGAGTTATAACTTCCGACAAGGTTTTAAATTTATAGCAGCTTTAACAAACTCACCAAAGGAAAAGATGGGTTTAGGTCGCTACTGCTTATGTACACATTGCACAAATAGCAAATTAAGTTCAGAGCAGGAGGGGGCAGACACACACTCTCACAAAACATATATATATATATATATATATATATATATATAATAATTTTGTTTCTTAAGAAAGCAGTATCAAGAGTTGAGGACTCAAAATTGTATATGAGATGAGACAGGAGTAGCGTGTGCAAAATAAAAATGAAAATTTTGTTTGCTATGCTTCATATTCAAATGGACCAGATACATGAACACCTGAATGTCTCTGGGTAGCATTAGGGAAAAATAATGTAGGTTATGAAGGCGAGGGAGGTAGAGAAATAAAAGTGGTGATAGGACGATAATAAAAGGTAAAGAAAGTTCCCCCATGGAATGAACAATAAAATATATACACAGGCACATATATATCTATTATATACAGATATATATGCATATGAAATATACATGTGTATATTTAAAATATACACAGATACCTTTTACAAGAATACACAAACGCACATTAATTTTTTTGCACACATAATTTGAACAATCACTTTGATTATTCATGTAGGTGTATTCTTTAAACCATCATTGACTTTTCTTCACTTTTTTTTTGCAAAGATAGTTGTGCTGCCAAGCAACTTGAGGTAAAGGCATTAAAAGGGTTAGACTACAAGAAAGTAAAAACAAAAATAATGGCGATACTTCCTACAGAAGACCGCACAAAAAAGCAGTTGGCTGGTTTCATATTGCATAATGGTGCTGTGTTTCTTGATGAAGTAAACAATCTTCCTCGTATCAACATAAAAATCAGACCCTGGTCCCCACACAGTGTTGGTGTCTGTATGGCTGGAGGCATCCCCACTCAACTGACTCCACTGGAAACATACGTTGTATGTTGATTCGTCTTTCAGTTCTTCCTCTCAGAGAATATTCTTGGACTTTTTAAGCAAAGTACATTGTGCGTAAGGTATCTTGGTGAATCTGTACAGCCTTGGCAAGAGCTTGTGGATCGCGCCCATTGCTCTGTCCTGAAACGTGACTTCCTTCAGCACTATGAGAGAAGTAGCAATGAACACAAATACAAAGCCTATTTATGATGCAATAATTCTGAAAAATATTATTTGCTGTAGAAACCTTACAAAATATTAAAATAGAGGATGGCAAACTGAACTCCTACTGTCTATCACCCAGCTTCAATAATTATTAACTCAAGGCCAATTTTGCTGTACTTCTCTTACCTTCCCAAGGATTATTTAGAAGCAAATACCGGACATCCTATTATTTTGTCTGCATATCACTTTAATTACCAATAATCTCTCCCTTGAGTTAATTTGGTAAAGCAACTAAATCACTGTATCATTCTATTACTAATAATCTGCACATTTTAATGGGAACCCTTACCTTGGGTAGTCCTATCATTGCTTTTCATATGGATCACTGACTCTCTAAGAGCATGTAGAGCTTAATTCTAAAGGCAGGACTTTATGGTAAACAGACACATATTTACAAAGAGCACTTAAAGAAATTTCCCAAGAAAATCCTAAAACGCAGACCACCACACTTAGATTTGGATGAGAATCTGTATTTGTTATGTTTTTAGATTACCTGTCATGTTCTTTGTCCACGAGATGATATCTGGCTCTGAAGGCCACCAGGTGAGCATAATACGCTGGTGCAGGTATAGAAACAGATCGTGTACAGCGCACATATGTGTGGCAGAGCTGGTAAGTTAGCAGCTGAAGTTCATCTGCAGTAAAGCAGTTATCATCCCATAAAACATGATAATGTGAAGGACGGCTGGTACCCTACAGAGAAGGCAGTGACATATTCTGTTGTTTTTTAAACTTGTAAATAAATGTTCTGCACAGACTAATTTATATAAAAAACCAGCTTTGTACATTAGTAAAACATACTCTAATTTAATAATCAATAAAAAAACATTTAGTTGACTCTTGGTATTTATCCAAAAGCAAGGGCATGGACAGATATTTGCACTCCCATGTTCAAAGCAGCTTTATTCCCAAGAGCCAAAAGATGAAAGCAATACAATCATCTATGATGGATGAATAATAAACAAAATGTGATAGATACATCCAATGGAATATTATTCAGCCTTTAAAAGAAAGGACATTTTGACACCTGTTATAACATGGATGAACCTTGAGGACATTATGCACAATGAAGTAAACCAGTCAAAAAAGGACAAACATTTTATGATTCACTTATTTGAGGTACCTGGAGTAGTCAAATTCAGAGAGACAGAAAGTAGAGTGGTGGCTGCCCAGGCCCAGGGGGAGGGGCAAAGGGTAGTGTTTAATGGGTACAGAGTGCCAGGCAAGATGAAAAAGTTCTATACAATATGAATGTACTTATTAAGGTGATAGGACTGTATATTTAAAAATCATTAAGATGCTAAACTGCATGTTATGTATATTTTACAATAAAAAAAGCCAAAACATTTAGTTGAGCTCCTATGTACTATGTTAGGTCTTACGGATTCAAAGAAAAACAAAGTCAAAGTTTTCCTGTGTTTTGGAAAACACAATTTACTAGAGGAGTAGAGGAGATGGAGCACCTACAGTGCAAAACAAGGAATAAATGGTTTAGTACTAGTGAAAGTCAGTCCTAGCTGACAATGCCAAAGGAAGTGATTGCAGGGTAAGCCTTGGTTCTTCACCAAGAGGGGAATGAGATTTGGACTTTTTTGGGTGGTGAGAGTGAGAAGGAACAGCCTTAAAAAAGCACAAGGGGGCATAACATTTCATGGCATACTTGGGGACTAGTTAATAGGCTAGTATGAATAGAGTATTGTCCATGAGGGGAAAAAGATGAGGTTGAAAAGAAAGTTCGGAATCAAACTGAGCAATGTGCTCAGGAATTTGGGCTTTCAGCTATCCGTGGCACTGCCCAGTTTTTTTAACAGGAGAATTTTCAGGTGTGATGAGATTGGGGTTTTATAAAAGTAACAACAGCAATTGTGAGGATGGAAGAGAAAAAGGGAAATACTGACAGCAAGAAGAGCAGTTACTTCTGAGTTAGTTCTGGTATAGAAGATGAAGGTATGAACTAAGGAAATGGCAGTGGCAGAGGAGAAGAGGGTAAAGATTAGCTCATACTTTGACAAATATTTGAGTATCATTTGCAGACACTGTGCAAGACTATGGAGATAAAATTCAAATTATTACTAAATCCTACCTCCCTCAAATTATCTGTTTATAATGCATATATGATGTAAATATATGTATATTCAAAAATATTGTATATTCACACATTCAATATTTACTGCACCTTATCTTGTAACAGGTGCCAGGTACACAAACATGAGTAAGACACACATTCCAGAGATGAGACAGATAATACATAAATAAAACCATCAGAAATTGGGCTATAAAGAGAGTTAAAATGTAGGATAGCATGGAAGACTGACTATGTCTGTAGCTATTTTAGATTGAGTGGTCTGGGAAGGCCTGTCTCTCTGAGGAGAAGTCATGGAAGTGAGCTCTGAATGATGATGAAGGCTTGTGAGATCAGGGGGAAGAGCATTTCAGGCACAGGGAAAGGATAGGGCAAAAGTGCTAATTATAAACAATTCATTCAGTTCTTTCCTGTCACTGTTCTAGTCCCAAGCACCATCATCTTTTGCCTGGAATGTATTAACAGACTCCTGATGCCTCCAATACCACTCTTACTCCCCAGCACAGTATGTGCTCAGTAAGAGTGAATTAAAAACAAAAACACAACACATGTCTAACTATGTTAGTGCCCAGCTTAAAGCCTTTTATCAGCTTCCCAATGCACTTAGGCTAAAATCTAAGACCTCATCTTCCCCTAACAAAGCCTACATGATCCAGCCCAGGCTACCCCTCCAGCGTGGTCTTGCAGTGCAGTAGCAGTCTCCATGTGATTCCTTAAACGGCTAACATTTTTCCACCAAAAGGGCCTGCACATGCCTTTGGCAGGAATTCTCTTCCCCATTCTTGGCTTGGTTAACTCCTACTCATTCCTCAGGATCTTACCTTAAATGTCATTTCTCAGGGAAGCGTTTTGTGACGTCCCAATCTAAATCAGGACCCCATTAAAACCTCTATTGTTACCTTTCTTATATTGCATTTATCCCAACTTATACATTTGTGAGATTACTTACTTAATATGTCTCCCCCAATAAATTAAAAGAGGAAGGGATTGAGTTTGTTTGTTTGTTCTGTATACCTAGTATCAACATCTACCTCCTCCTAAGAGGTACACAATAAACATCGGTTTATTGAATGAATGAGTAGCCTCTGCCTTTTGGGACCTTATAGATTAATGGAAGGGGGAGAGAAACAAAAGCATGGTTATAATGCTGTCTCAGAAGTGTGACAAAGAGGTAGGCACGGGGTGCTCAGCAGAGTGGAGGGGAGTTTTCCTTAGGGAAGGATACAAGAAAGGCTTCTGGGAGGAACTAATGTCTGAGATGAATCTTAAAGAATGAATAGGGGAGGGAACCCTCCCACACTGTTGGTGGGAATGTAAACTGGTGTAGCCACTGTGGAAAGCAGTATGAAGGTTCCTCAAGAAACTAAAAACAGAAATACCCTATGAACTAGTAATCCCACTTCTAGGAATTTACCTGAAGAAAATGAAATCCCTGATTCAAAAAGATGTATGCCCCCCTATGTTTATTGCCACATTATTTACAATAGACAAGTTATGGAAGCAACCTAAGTGTTCATCAAAAGATGGACAGATAAAGTAGATGTGGTACATGCACACAATGGAATATTATTCAGCCATAAAAAATATCCTGCCATTTGGGACAACATGGATGGACCTAGAGGGTGTTATGCTCAGTGAAATAAGCCAGGTGGAGAAAGACAAATCCCATATGATTTCACTTATTTGTGGAATCTACAAACAAAACAAAACAAAATGAACAAGATAGCAGTAGACTCATAGACAGTGAGAAGTGACTGGTGATAACCAATGGGGAGGGTTTGCGGTGGGTTGGTGGGGAGGGTAAGGGGGATAAAAGGGCACAAAAATTCTCAATCATAATATGAGTTGGTCACAAGGGTGGTGGTACAGTATGGAGACTATAGCCTATGACTCTGTAACATCTTCGTATGTTGTCAGATAGGAACTGCACTAGTGTGGGTAAGGGTTTAATAATATGGGTAACTGTTGAACCACTGTGGTGTATACCTGAAACCAATAAGATTGGATATCAATGATTCTTCAATTAAAAAAAAAGAATGAACAGGAATAAGTTAGGTTAGGAATAAATACTTAAGGTGAGGGCATCACGGGCAGGACAGAGCAGTGAGACCACCTGAAGATAGTTTAGAATGGCTGTAGTGGTGGTGTGTATATATGTATGTCTGTGTATCTGAAAGAGGGGAGACACACAGAGGAGAAAAAGTGAGGAAAGGAGGAGGAGGAAGAGTGGGAGAAAAGAGTAAGATAGGGAGTCTGAGAGTGTAGCAGAATTGAAGGGACTGGGGTAGGGGATATCAGGAATTTAGTCTATATGTGCCCGAGGGAGGGAGACCTCATCTTGTTGGATATGGAGCACTAAATAGATGAGTGATAGGGTCTTATATGTTTTAATTAATCTGATGATGACTATACTAAATCAGGGACCCTTAAAAGCACTTCACAGTTATATAGGAAAGTAATAATGAGAGCTGGAACTAGGCAGGGAAGGTGAGGATAAGAAAAAGGGGTAAGTCCAAGAAGGAGGAGGTAAATCCTATAGGGTTGAGGGACTGATTAGATAAGGGTGGTAGATCAGAAGGCATAGGTAAAACAACTCCAAGAGATTTCAAAGTCATACAGTATTTAAACTTAAAAATTTAAAGGGCAGATGGGAGAAGAAGAAGCAAAGCAAGAAAAACAGAGGGGCAAGATGAAAGGAAGAAAATGTGGGTGGGAGTCAAATGGTGGATGGTTTCGGTGAATGAGTGATAATAGCCAAACAGCATCAGATGTAGGAGACATCAAGGAGCAACAGTGATGGGGTAGAGGGCAGGCTGTTACAAGGTGAAGAGGAAATGGTAAGTGTAGCTTTTTTGGTCTCAATATAAGAATTTCATAGAAGAATAAATATATAGAGAAAAATACATGGACCGCTGTGTATAGATTGATTTGAATTTTCACAAAGTTGACACACCCATGAAACTAGCACCCAAGTTAAGAAATTAAACATTAATTGCAAACACAAAGCCCCTTTGTGCCCTCTCCTGTCTTTACCCTATCTACCTTGCTCCTGGTAATGCAGCTTTTAATATCAAAGATTAGTTTTGTCTGTTTTTGAACTTTATAATAAATAAATGGTATCATAGGCATGTACCCTTTGGGTCTGACTTCTTTGGTTTAACATTTTGTTTGTGAAATTCATCCATATTGTTGCATCATTCTTATTGTCATATATTCTTGTCTAAATATACACTACTTACTTATCCAACCTACTGACTGTGGGTGTTTGAGTTGCTTGTACTTTTTGACTATTATGACCAGTACTACAATGAACATTACATACTGTCTTTTGGTGAATATAGATATGCATTTCTATGTTCTATCTTGGAGTCTATCTTGTAGTAGATGTCTATCTTGTAGTAGATGTCTATCTTGTAATGGAGATCCTGGGGCAGAGAGTATACATATATTTAAATTTAGTAGATAATGACAGTATTTTCAAAAATGTTCACATTAATTTATACTCCCATCAGCAGAGTATGAGAGTTTCAGTTGCTCTGTATCCTTAATATTGTCTTTTAAAATTTCAGGTGGGTTTGTTTAGGCTATTCTTTTAAGAATAGCTTAGTTA